CACGAGAACCGCTTGACATTTTCTAATCAATTATTTTTCTGTAGAGGTTTCATGGCCCATGGGCGATTACTGTACAGCCTGGTTGCGGCGCGTTTCAAGAGCCGACGGAGAGAATTTGATTGGCTGACGGGAAGAATGGCAACAATGAGGCGTTCCTGTCTGGGGGAATGCGCTACGCACAGAGGTGTCTCTCCCTCCTTTGACAAGAAGCAAGGTGTGCAGTGCAGTAGGCCATCACCGTCCCGTGGATTTGGAACCAGCCATGCACGTTAACCACCCTTTTGGAACGTTGGTAATAGGCATTAAGATTGCAGAATCCGCAATCACAGCCCGGGAACGCGGTTACGCTAAGAGCAGTAGCAGCCAACTTGACCAACAAAAGTTCTCTACTTTTCAACGGAAATGACTTGCTGCACGATGACCAAATTGTGTTGTTGGGTGCTGGCTGGCCGAATCACACGGGGAAAGTCGCAACTATTGGCTAGTTTCGGTGACGAGCACAGGGAAAAAGGCGGGCCAGCGAACGCCACAGTGATAGACACCATCCTAAAGAGTAACTTACAAGGAGCACCACTTAGCGCAAAGCCAGCTCACGCTAGTGACATCCCTGGGCGGCCAGAAGTGCTCTCCGGCCCAGGTGTCCGCTGGTTTTTCGCGGATATCGGGACGACGAGGCGGTGGAGCCGCGGCAATCTCTGCGCCTGGACTTAACCCAGCCGCCCAAATCATACACCAAAACCCCTCCTTTTGCCCCAACCAGCTTGCCTGGAGAATCCTCGAAACCGTATACTGGGGGCTAGTCCTCGGAGGGCAGGTCGACCCTCTGTTGGCGATGTCGGCACAGATATGCGCGCTGGCGGTCGGCGCTCCCCCGCCGGCCGGAGCAGCGTTGGTCGCCGACACGACTCAATCCTCACTGGTTTTCACGGCAAGTATCCAGAACCGTCGGGTAGTAGACGACAAGCTGGCCTACGGCAAGAGTTACACCCCTCCGGATAGACTCGCGTAGTTGTGGATGCAAGGTCATCCCCAAGGCGCGGACAGACGACCAACCGGCCGAAGCAAAGAGCAGTAGCACATTTATGCTCTGGCCGAATCACAAGCCTTTGTGGCGGCGATTTGGCTGTTGGTCCCCTTTGCACTCCCCTATTTGCCTCTCGTGGCCCCCAACGGGCGAAGAAATTCGCTGCTAATACAAGAAAGTGTGCCTATTAAAACAGGGTTCTCGCATGAACGCTAGTGACTGTGGGAATTGCGAGGCTGCCGCTTTTGCTGCTGAAAAGACGGGATGGGACGCATGTGCTAGCTTCCGTGTTGACCGAAGCCTATCTCTGCGTTTTGCCTCTTGCGTTCATTCATCTCAAAGTTACTTTCGTTTAGCTGGACGCATCGAGGACAGCATTATGGTGTGAATCGGCGGATCTCCAAATAAGGATGTCGGCCGCACTGGCGGCGATAAGGCACAGGCGGCTGGGGGACCAACTCGCTGAGGCTACAGGCTCACTAGTAATGACGGCCTTGCTCAACTCGGGCTGGGGCCGACGCTATGCGAGCCCACAAGGCAGGAAGCAGAATGAAGATGTGCGTGGGGAAATGTCGCCCGCCGGCGCAGCCTTCCGAAGTGCTGGCCATTAGCTAGTGGGCACGAAAGCCCTAACCAGTCATGGTGCAAGATGCGATGTGCTTCTGGGACCATTTTAAACGACGAGTCTAACTAGGAAGAGCATGGTATCTTCAAAAAGACGCTTAACCTGGCGCTGGAGACGCGGAATTGGCGTGCTGCGATTGGAGACAGCGACCTAGTTGCTGTTGGCTCTAGACAGGGCTAGGGAATTAGGTGATGGGTGATTGGGATTTCTGGGGCTAAGGGGTGTGCCCAGCAGCTGAATAGGGCTCTATTTTGCCTGTCGTCACATTGCAGAATTGGCTAGATGAATGATTGGCCTTGTTGGCGTGTGTACCAAGGTACCTATTGCCAGTTCACCTTGGTCGGCGCATTCCGGTTCAAGGGGCAGCCGTTGTGTGTCCTCTGGGTAGTAGTAGCCGTTTTTTTGTGGGAGACCAACGGGCTCGTTGGTCACTGGCGGCGCATGCCCTCTTGTCCGGCGAGATTACGAAACGAGGCCATTGCGAGGAGAAAAGGCGCTTAGGTTCTATTCCGCGCGCCTCTTTGCTCGATTTAGAGTTGCGCTCAAGCTTTGGGATGCCGGGCACGGCTTGTCATTGAAACGCGGGAAATCGTCAAGCCTCTGGACGAGAAGAGGAGCAGGAGGCGTTTATTTTTGGGTCACGGTCAGCCATGGATTGCAGGTTTGGGCAGACACTTCCCAAAGGAGACTAAGCGTGTGTGTGGACGGAATCGAAGCCACTTTGCTTGGGTTACATGGGCGCCCAGGAAAGCCCCAGGCTGGTCGTCCGCCCCAGAAGGCAGATTAGCGCGACCAGAATGGCCTAAACGACATCAAGCCTTACAGTGCTACTACTATTATTTCTGCCAGGACTAATGCTATTCTCGGGGCGATTGTCACGCCGGGCGGGGAAGGGACTTGTGGTAGCGCAGAATTGACCGAGGATGCGCTAAGGCATGCCCGTTAAGGCCATGAATCGGACTAGAGGATGCTGTTGGTGTTCCTGCTGCGGCGTGTGGTACAGAGCGCTGGGAATAACCCGAAAACAGACGGATCAGGAATACTTGGACACGCTGATTCAACATTTTTTTGGCCTCTCGCTTGTTTGCCTCCATGTGGCGTTTGTTTCGAATCGTCAAAGGGACGTGCCATCTCATGCACACAAAAATAAAAGAGCAGCGGATAAAAAAAGAGGACAGAGATGAAGACAGCTCTAGGCTGCGCTTGGGGCTAGAAAAGGCACCCGAAATAGCTACAATATGCACGGATGGCAGCTAAGCAAGCGCAGTGAAAACTGGCCGGCGATGAAAAAAGGAACGAGGCGGGAATCGCCTTAACGGCCAGCCGAAACTCTCTTCCAAAGAGAGCAGTCGCCGGATTGCATGGGAACGAAGTGAGGCTGCAACGGTATGGGATGGTGGTTAGATGGATTTTTACTTTGAAGACACATGGTGAACAATAAACGAGAAGCTTGTTGCTTTCTTACCACCCATCCCGGGCTCCGACAAGGCGTGCATGCGACGTTGAAGCGTGGGATAGGAACGAAGGTAAGGCAAACAGGGCAGGCTGTACAGACCAGGCAGAGATGATGCTGTACGGCCTGTAGAGCATCCAGGGAAATAACTACAGCACCTATAGCAATATCTACAGCAGTCAAGCCGCTCCACATAGGCGAGCCTCGCCATCTGGGGGGTGGACGGCAAAGGCGACAATTGGAATAGGAAAACCTCCGACCAGAGTGCAAGCCTCCTAATTTTTTTTCCACTCTTGTCATCCTCATGTAATTAGATACATCTGATGGGGCGGCAATCGGGGGGAGGGCAATGCGCAGCGACCAAAAAAAGACTACGAGCAGCGTGTTGGTTCGCTTCCCGCGAACGGAGAATAGGGAAATATGCACGAGCCGTGGATTGCCATACAAATCGCAAGAACCAACAGCCAATGGGGGCCCATCCACCCTTCCCACGGCCAAGGCAAAAAGAGAAGAAGACAACATAACCAACAGGGCGGGATGGAGAGCACCCGGGGCGCCGGGACGAACCAACAACCAGGCTGTCGGAAAGTAGAGGAAAATAAGCAGCAACAGGAGCGGCCGGAGGAGGAGGTCACGAATGTGATGTGATGTGCCTCTGTGTAAGAACGGCGTAGCATTGGCTCTCCGTCATGGAAAGGGAAGAGGAGCCTCTCTCTACTCGACTCTACTGTTGTTTCTCCATCGTCCGCCGCCGCGGCCGCCGCTCTCTCTCTCTACTCTGCTTGTCGTTGCCCGCCTCGGCCTAGCTCGCACGCAGTGGCAGTTGCACTCGCTGACCTCCTGGAGGAGCCACCACACCCGCGGCTGTCTGGCTCTCTCTACCTGCCTGTCAAAAGAAAAAGAGTACCTGTCTCGTCGGCCAGAGGTACATGGCCCACGGCGTTTGACAAGTCACTGTGGAGTCGCCAGACAACGAGGCTTGCTTCTGCTCTGCGCTATCTCCACGCCATGCCCACGCCCCCCCTTCCACTCCACCCAGGGAGAGGAGACCAGGGGTTCTCTAGCCTTTTTTGTTGTCGCTGTTGGTGGCGTTTTCTGCTTCTTGCTGCTGCTACTCTACTGCTCTACTTGTTGCACAGACGCCGCGCTGCCCGACTTACAGCCAGCCTGCGTTGGTAGCCTTCCTCCTCCTCCCCCTCCACCCTTTGTCTGTTTTTAGCGCAGGGTGTGTATCTTGTGAATTCTTTTTTATTTTTATTTTTATTTTATTTTCTCTTTTTTCTTTTCCCCTCCTCCCCTGCACACCATCTCCACTCTCCCTCAAACCCCCAACCAACACACTGCACACAGACTCACATCCACACTCGACGGCCGTGTTGCTTTTGGCTTGCCTTGCCCTGTTAGCCTTCTTTTTTTTGGTACCAAAACGGGATCCAACTTACAATCCTGGGCAGAGTGGTTCCTGGGGCGTGCCCTCTTTTGGGTATCTGCCGACCCACGCCTTCACAGCAGTCCCAAGATGTATATATCATCGCCATCCCGAACCCTTTGTTTCGACATTCTCATCCTCATCCCATCGACATCTTCAAACATTATATCTACTCCTCTTCTCTCCCTTCAAACATCCATATCTTCATTCTTGTTCCATCTTCTATCAAAGCAACAAACATCTTTACCCTCTTGTCTACTACTCCCAACCTTGCAACAACCCATCATCATATCTTAGCACACCTTGGGCAACACTTTCTTGAAACATCTTCTCTCAGCAACACATCGTCTTCTTCGATCGAATCCACTTCGCCTAGTCTCAGCTTCGAAACAATTCGCAGCTTGACCACGCCTCCTCGACACACATCTCTCTCTCTCTCTCCACACACACATACACAACCATCTTCGCAATGGAGCTTCTCGAGCTTGTCGACTACGAGTCTTCTTCTCGCCCCTTCCAGTGCGATTGGGACAACTGCAGCAAGGTATGTACTCAACCAGCCAAGCTTTACCATCTGCGCTACTAACACTGCTTAGTCCTTCAACCGCAAGTCTGATCTTCAGAGACACTACAGAATCCACACCAACGAACGTCCCTACGCTTGCACCATCCCTGGCTGTGGCAAGAGCTTCATCCAGCGCAGCGCCTTGACTGTTCACATCCGCACCCACACTGGCGAGAAGCCCCATCAATGCCAACATCTTGGCTGCGGCAAGCGATTCTCTGACGTGAGTGTTGCCAGACACACTACTCTACCATCTCCACCACTAACACTCCTCTCTAGTCCTCTTCTCTTGCCCGCCACCGCCGCATTCACACCGGCAAGCGCCCCTACAAATGCGGCCATGAGGGCTGCCTCAAGAGCTTCTGCCGCAAGACCACCATGGTCAAGCACCAGCGCCGCTCGCACGCTCGTGGCATTCACGGCATGGACATGCTCGATGACTGCACTTCCGAGTCTGAGATGGGCGACAACCCTGCCACTCCTGGCCAGACTCCCCTTGGCTGGGCTGTTGGCATTGTTCCCTCCCAGGCCGGCCACTCCATGACCCGCGCCAACTCCTTTGCTGACTTTGGCGGCTACAACATGCAGTTTGGCCATCGCCACAGCCTCTCCAGCGATGCCTCCAACTTCTCCTCCCCCATGGTTGTCCAGCGCTCCCTTGGACACTCTCCCTTCTATGTCATTGACCAGGAGAACCCTGCCATTGCCACCATGAACCCCAACATGCAGCCCTACTCTGTCCCCCGCCAGACTTCTGAGCGCCCTGCTGCCATTGACCTGACCTATGCCAACTCTGGCATTGCCACTCCCAGCAACAGCAGCCCTGCCTTCTCTCCTCCTGCCAACACTGGCAGCCCCCTTCTCTCTGAGGGCTTCTACACCACCCAGGGTGCCCAGAACGCTACCTACGCTCTTCAGAACGCTGCTGATGCCAACTCGGTTGCTCAGTACCCTTCTCCCGACGCCGACAACGGATCCTGGTACAACTACCAGGCTCCCGTCGACGTCTCCATTGTCCCTAGCTACGGCTTCGACATCTACACTCAGCCCAAGCTTGACTTTGAGGACCCTTCCATGCAGCTTCCCAGCAGTAGACTCGAGGCTCTCTAAGCGGCTTTCCGAGTGTTTCTTCTTCTTCTTTTGCACACATTTATCGGTCCAACTGTTTCACCATCAGCGACCTGTCCTTTTTTCACCTGTTCATGATTATTTTTATCATCATATCTCGGAGCACAGGCATTAGAAGCTCCTGAGAAAGAGAGCACCATCGGGACTATCCGCAACGATAGACCCAGGCACCGCTTGCACTGGCTTCAGCAGCCTTGCAGTTGCGTGTTGAGTGACTCTCGACTTTTTCTTTTAAAAGGCGTTTTAACAGGAGTTTTACGTTTTTTTTACTTGGGGATATATACCAGTCTTTCGCTACTTGTCACATCCGGTATTGGATACATATGAGTTTATGGGATCAGCGTTTTTTGTTTTTCTTTCAGCGCAACAGTTGCTTGCCTGCACGATATTCTTTTATATATATAGTTTCTTGTACTTTTCTTGGACATGGATTGTCCATATTACTCTAGTCTGTAATTTACCTTCAAGGAAATACAAATTCTTCAAACCAATCTACTTTGATCTCTCTCGTCTCTCTTGGTTGCTGCTTCTGCCTGATCTGCTTATACGTGTATTGGTGCCTTTGCACAGCTTCTTGCACTCTGTAGTAAACCCTTTCCCACCTTTTTAAATCCCTTTAATTTTCATTTTAAATTCTGTTCATTTACAGATAACCATGATTATTTTTATTTCTTTTTTTCGTCTTCCCACTCAACTCAATTGCTGTCAATTCTTCTTCTCTTTCCCAAGCAGTCTCATGCTTGCCTCCCATTGGCCCTACGGTCATAGCGTCCAACCACACTCACTCGCTGCACCAACAACTCCGGCGTCAGGTGACCGCCCCCCAGCGCCGAAACTCGGGGAACCCCATCGGCCCTCGCTGCCCTCGAGGAAAATGACTAAGCCGCCCGCAGCCACCAGAAACGTCAGTGAACTGGGGCCTCAACGCTTGCAACTCCAAGGCCGCCCATCAACGCTCACTCATCCACCACTCGCCCTGCCGGCATCACTCCCGCCGTCGGCATCATGAATACGGAGGTTTAATCATCTGCCATCGACAAACCCTTCCCCAGCGACCGCAATCGACACTCCCCCTCGCCCGCTCCGTCCGGACCGTGGTGCTCACGAGGCGCCCACATACCCCCAATTGACGCTCTGCTCGCTTCGTTCACAGGCGGTGCGTGCTGCTTAAACGGGGGCGCAACGGCGGACAAAAAAAAGGTGTCGAGCCGTTTTTCTTTTGTATAACTGTGTCGGCTTGCTGCTGCTATTCGTAAGCAATGCGAGCTGCTAGAGTGTCCTTGCCGGTGAGTAACCACAGCATTGGCTGGCCCCAGAAGATGGCGCATGACCATACTAACTTGCTTGCGCAGTCGGCTGTGTGCGAATCCTCATCCAATATGGCGTTCCGCGTCTCTAGATCGTCAATGCCACTCGCAAAGAGCTTCATTTCAAGGCGGGCCCTCACCACCGGTGCTGCTCTTGGTCTCCGCGCTGCTCAGTCACCTCTCCTCTCCTATAGGCCCATTACTACCACCAACTTCCCAAGGCTGCCGGCGACAATAATACACCAGGCTCTTGGCCTCAACACGAGATCGTTTGGAACGTCCAACGGAATATCCCGAAACCAGCTGGCCACCGTCGAAGAGTCGGCGAACCGGAACCCCGGCAACGCCAACCTGCAGAATGCCTTCTACCAGCTCCTGCTCCGCGCCAACATGCCCGGCATCCTCGTCGAACGATACCAGTCTGGCCGCTTCGCAACAAATGCCGCCACCGAGGAGGCGTATAGAAAGGCTCTGGGCACCCTGAATGCGGGAACCAACAATGTCAGCGCTGCCATGGGCAGTCAGACCGCCGCGACTCAGGGCGCATGGGGTCAGACAAACCAGGGCTTTCCCCAGGCTGGCGCCAACGGCAACTTTGGCAACGCCTCCATGGGCGGCAAAATGGAGCCTGTTCATGTCGTTGTTCAGGAATCATCTCGATCAGTCATTTTCCGCTGGGTCAAGTTCTTTGCCACTTTTCTGCTTGTCACGTACATGTGCTTTGCGGTTGTGACGTTGCTTATTGAGACGTTGACCTCGTTCCGACGTACCGCTCCCGGCAAGGTCGACTCGGAAGTCAAGGCCGAGAAGCAGACCACTAGACTTGCCGATGTCCACGGCTGCGACGAAGCCAAGGAGGAGCTGGCTGAAGTAGTAGAGTTTCTCCGTAACCCGGAAAAGTTCTCTGACCTCGGTGCAAAGCTCCCCAAGGGTGTCCTGCTAGTTGGCCCTCCCGGTACTGGAAAGACGCTTCTTGCTCGTGCCGTTGCTGGTGAGGCCGGCGTGCCCTTCTTTTACATGTCTGGTAGTGAATTCGACGAGATTTACGTTGGTGTTGGTGCCAAGCGCGTCCGCGAGCTCTTTGAAGCAGCCAAAAGCAAGGCTCCCGCCATCATCTTCATTGACGAACTGGATGCTATTGGTGGCAAGAGAAACCCCCGCGACCCGGCCCACGCTAAGCAAACCCTGAACCAGCTGCTCACCGAACTCGACGGCTTCGACCAGGAGACAAAGATTGTTATCATGGGTGCGACCAACTTGCCCAAGCTCCTCGACAAGGCTCTTGTCCGCCCCGGGCGTTTTGATCGCCACATCAACGTTGGACTCCCCGACTACCGCGGCCGTCTTGCCATTCTGCAGCACCACGCCAAGAAGCTCAAGATGTCTCCCGATATCGACTTGGCAGCCATTGCTGCTCGCTCTCCTGGACAGTCTGGTGCTGAGCTTGAGAACATGCTCAACGTGGCTGCTCTCCGTGCTAGCCGCGCCAAGGCTCACTTTGTTTCCAAGAAGGACCTTGACTGGGCATATGACCGTGTCATGATGGGCTCTGAGAAGAAGTCTATGATGGTGAGCGAAAAGGAAAAGGAGATGACTGCCTACCATGAGGCTGGCCATGCGCTTGTCCAGCTCTTCGACAAGGAAAGCCCCAAGACGCTGTACAAGGTCACTATTCTTCCCAAGGGCCAGTCTCTTGGCCACACTGCACACCTCCCGCAAACAGACAAGTACTCGCATACTGCTGCTGAGTACATGTCCGATATCCGCGTCCTCCTTGGTGGCAAGATGGCCGAGGAGATGCGCTATGGCGACGACCGTGTGACGTCTGGTGTGTCCAACGATCTGGAGCGCGCGACTGACCTGTGCTTCATGATGGTGACCATGTTTGGCATGTCTAATGCTCTTGGACCTGTCGAGTACGGCCGCCGCTACGAGCACTTGAGCTCCGAGACACGCTCAACGATTGAGACCGAGGTCCAAAACACGCTCAAAGGTTCGTACGAAGACGTGCGCAAGATCCTGACGGAGCGCAGAAAGGAGCTCGACTACCTGGCTCAGGCCCTCGTCAAGTACGAGACGCTGGATAAGGCTGAGGTGGAAAAGGTCATTCGCGGCGAGTCGCTTCCCGGGCGTCCTATTATGCCGAAGGGTGGTCTGACGGTGCCCATTCCCGACGAGGACCGCCAGCCTCCTGGCCTGGGAGGCAGCGTTTCTCAGACACCCGAGTCGCCACCTCCCGCTACGGCGTAGAGAGCAGAAGTTGAAAAAAAAAATTCAAAGCTAGGGATAGGAACCGGTTGGTTGAAGCAAGGATATCACTGCTATTACTACTACTACTACTAGCGCATCTGGTGCACTCACAAGCATGGCATCTGTTGAGTATGGGAGGGATACCACTGAAGCATTTATTTTCTACACATCCCTTTGTATATTAGGATTCATAGAGCTGTTTTTATTGATATTATTGACATAATTCTTGCCTTGATCGTCTTTCTTTTTATGTGTGTTGTGAATTATATGCCGCTCGTACACGAATGACGCTAGCTCGATGCTATTCGGAAGATGGGATGAGATGGTTTGTGAGTGGAAGCACCGCCAGCTGCCAACTGGGTGTTAGGTATCTAGATTTAGTTACATAATTAGAAAAGGATATATAGAATATTAATACAAGTAATCTCAAGCAAAGGGGATGGTCTAGTGGTGCATATCCTTGCATATCAACTGAATCCTTCGGGCGATAGCTGTTTGAATCTCGAGAATGATATTAAGTCTCGGTGGCGTAGTGGTTTAACGCGTCCAGTCACTTGTGGCTGGGAGAACGGGGGTTCAATTCCCCCCTGAGGCTCTTTTTTGATATAATTCTCTTCTTTTTTTTGTAACTGTTATTTCGTAGGTAGTTGCATAGCTCCAGGGGAGTGACGTCAATGGTTAGCGTAGTGGTGCAACCAACTAACGTTAGTTAGCCTTTGCCTCTATGGATTTCTGAACCAGTCTCTGTCCTTGCGTCATCCATTTTCACCAATTCATCTACACACATTTGGTTTAATAGCTTAATTCTTCTTCCAATTCAATCGTCATCATGACCAAGGTTCTCGTCACAGGTAAATTCCGTTGCAATCAGCACAGACCAACCCCTCCATCCGTTAAGCTCGACTATTTGCTAACCCCGCACTCTCAACATTCAAATAGGCGGCAATGGCTTCATTGCAGGTAAGCCACCCTTTCATTCTATCCAATTCACACTTATTCCAGGTAACTAACAATTGTCACAGCTCACATTATCGAACTCCTCCTCACCAAGGGCCACACCGTCATCACCACAGTCCGCTCCGAAGTCAAAGCCAAGCCCATCCGCGATGCACACAGCGACAAAGACGAGCGTCTCCAAGTCGAGATTGTGCCCGACATGACCACCGAAGACGCCTTCGAGGCCGTCACCAAGATTCCCGGTCTCGAAGCCGTCATCCACACCGCCAGCCCCTTCCACTACAACTGGACAGACCCCCACGAGCTCATTGGCCCCGCGGTCAACGGCACCAAGGGCGTCCTGGCCGCCATCAAGCGCAATGCGCCCACGGTCCGTCGCGTCGTTGTGACGTCGTCGTTTGCCGCCATTGTGAATGCCGACAAGGTGACGGACCCCAACACCATCTTCTCCGAGGCGTCGTTTAACCCCACCACCATTGACGACATCAACAAGAGCCAGGCGCATGCGTACCGCGCGTCCAAGACGCTGGCGGAGAAGGCGGCGTGGGACTTTGTCGCGCAGGAGAAGCCCAACTTTGACCTGGCGACGGTGAACCCGCCGTTTGTGTTTGGTCCTGTGGTGCACCATCTTGCTACGGTTGATGCGATGAACACGTCCAATGAGCGTCTTGTGCAGATGCTGCGGGGACAGTGGAAGACGGAGATCCCGCCTACGCTGGGCGTCAATATCTGGGTTGATGTGCGTGATGTTGCTGTCGCGCATGTGGCTGCTATGGAGATGCCTGAGGCGAGCGGTAAGCGTCTGTTTACCACGGCTGGCCGCTTCAGTAACCGTGAGATGGCGCGTATTGTGCACGAGAACTTCCCTGAGTTTAAGGATAAGGTTCCCGGGCCGGATGTTGCCGGTGGCGAGGGCTCGCCTGCGGATAAAATCTTTGGCTTTAACAATGATGAGACGACAAAGTTGCTGGGTATCCAGTGGACGTCGTTTGAAAAGTGCGTGGTGGACTTTACAAATGGGGTCAAGGGTATGGACCTGTAATGAGATGGTATGGTAGAGTATCAAGGAATGTGTATTGAAATAAATAACGTGGTTCTGTAGCTCTAATTCTAGTCTATTTCAAGTGTTACTTCCAAGTCGGCAGGCTCCCGTCGTAGCTTCGACGCAGCAGCTCTAAATCATCTTCACCAAGGGCTCGCCCCCGCCGATATTGTACTCGAGCAGGGCTCGGTGTTCGGACTCGGCCAAAGTTATCCTGTATTCGGTTGTAGCAGTACTCGGCGTGTATGAGCGGGATATCGTCTGACGTCTTGGGCGCTGGAAAGTCGGTAGCTAGTCCAATTTCTGCCGTGACAACGCCGTCCTGCTCTTCGATTCTCGACAGAGCCTCATCGGTATAGCTTGCTGTTTGGCGGCGCACTGTCTGTCGTCGCATTGGCTCCATAGGGAATGCGTAAAAGGTCGACTCGGCAGCCACGCTATCGGCGGCCTGTGATACTGCCCAGCCAATCTCCAGATCGAGCTGTTTGCTAGAGATGGGCCGCGGCGGCCGTGCTGGCGATTTGAAGATGGGAATGTGAAAAGCTGTTCTGTTACCGCGTTGGCTTGCACTGATGGATCTCTGACTGAGCGCCCGTGATAGGAGAAATCGACGCTCTTGAAGACGCGGTGGAGGGGTAACGGTGCCGCTCTCTGGGCTGGCAGTGTTTGTTGTAGATGATGAGAAGAAGGGTGAGCCTGCCCGTGTAGGCGTCGCTGGCAAGACAGCTTGGTGAAAGCTAGTAAGAGTTGTGCGATTATTGTTCTTCTTTTGCTTCGCCCGTCTCCTGCAAAAGATGGCTAACGTGACAACCACGAGGAGTATAGCCATTGCGATGCTTATTGGGGCGAAGAGTATGACGTTTTGAGACTTGGCGTATTCGTCTACAGCTGCTTGGATTCTGCCAATCTCTTCATTCGATAGGCTGTCATCCCAGATGGAGGCAGGCGTGTGCTTTGTTTCGTCGTCCATGATGTGAGTTGTAGATGCCTAGCACCAGCCATATCTCACTGTATTTGCACATTCACAAAAAGCCAATGCTGTTGAAAAAACGGCATTTTTTTCGAAGATGGAAAAGTAGGAGAGGGCTATGCAAGAATATGTGCGACAGAGATCCGACGGCGAGGGCGAGGTGCGTCGACGGCGACGGCGTAATCGAGCATTGTGTGCTGCTCGAGCTGACACAGAGCCGATGATGTCTGAGTAGCGACGAACTGGTATCGGCTCGGCTTGTTTCAGAATTTTCCTTCTCCGCTTTGAATATAAACATGATAATTCATTCATCATGTCGCTTCTTCCGAGCTAAATTGTCCCAAGATTCTAGCCCATACTTGGTAGGCGATAGACTACATGTCTAGAGGCGGCGAGATTCTGCACATTTCCAGTTCTTGACTAACAGCATCTCGACAAATTGAATAGCATCAAATAGGCTGTACCACTTGGACTCGGCTACAGAACATCTCCTCACGGTGACACCGGCAGCAGAGACGAGTCTATTTCCAGTGGTTGGATAGGCTACTGGTCGCTGCCCTCGTGCAACATGGCAACCCATTTTCTGGATCCGCCTCGTAAAGGTTGTATCACGACATACCTGTGCAAGTGTACTATCGGTAATCCCATACAGTTGTGCCAAGTTGTTTATACTGAACGCACAATGGATATAGCTCGTGATCAACAAGGGAGATGCGCTAGTAGACGGCCGGACAAAATAGCATCATCTCTTGTTTTCTTGTTTTCTTCTTTTTTTTTCTTTTCGCATCTTCTTCTTTCAAATTCCGTATTTCTCTTAACTTCAGTGTGCTTTTCTTGGTCTCGTGTCGCGGCGCCTTTGTTGTTGTATGCAACTGATCGGACTTTTCGACGATGGCCCGTCCCTCGGCAAGTTGGATCAATCGCTGGCACGCGATTCGCTAGCGACGTCTTTTTGGCGAGCCACAGCGCCTCATTGCCGTTTCTTCAGCGGTCCACCAGTCCCCTGTATTTTTTTCTTTTCAGCGCTAGTTAGCGCTAGTTACAGTGGCGCGCAGGCGATAGTCCGAGGGAACAACAGCACCAAAAGTGGAACCGGCGTTTTCCCCAGACGGCGCAAGCTCCGGTCGATGGACCTCGGCCGACGCAGAACGTGGGGTTGGCGCAAACAAAAAGCTCCCGTCGGTGTTTCCAGCTTCATCCTTGACCAAACTCCCTCTTTTTGCTCTTCCAACATTGTCATCACTGCGAACGAAAGATGGCAGACAAGGCAACGCAGAGGATCCAGGCCATTGGCGGCCAGCTCAGCCAGACTGGTCTGCCCGCCATCCGCCGCGTAGCGTCCGGTGCCAACGTCCCACGTGTGCAGGGCAAGGTCATTATCATCACAGGTGCGATACACCACTCAATCTCAGCTCCAGAAAGCAGCAACAGCTAACAAGCATCCTTTGGAACAGGTGCCAACTCGGCCATGGGCATTGGACGCGCCACTGCTCACCAGTACGCCGACAACGGCGCCCGCGCCATCTACATTTGTGACTTTGACGCATCCAACCTCGAAAAGCACAAGAGGGAGATCAACAGCGCCTACCCGTCTGTCGATGTGCACGTCCGCAAGTTCGATGCCTCCAACGAGGAGCATGTCAAGCAGGTTGTTGACGACGCCATGAAGCGCTACAAGCGCCTCGACGTCTTTTTTGCGAATGCCGGTGTTGCAGGCAAGCCCTCGCTCTTCACTGACTTTGACGCCGCCGAGTTCATGCACATTATGAAGGTCAACTCGCTCAGCGTCTTTCTTGCTGCCAAGTACGCCGCCCCTGCCATGATGGAGACTAGCGACGACAAGCCCGAGGCCAGCGGCAGCATCATCGGCACCGCGTCCGTAGCCGGTATCCGCTCCAACGCTGGCTCGACACCCTACTCGGCTTCCAAGGCAGCCGTTGTATCGCTCGCTCAGACTGTGTCTTACCAGCTTGCGGGAACTGGAGTCCGTATCAACGCCATCTGCCCCGGCTTGATTGAGACCGGCATGACTGAACAGGTTTACACCTCTGCCCGCGCCAGAGGCACCGAGAAGAAGATTGGTCAGCTGAACCCGTTGCGCCGTGGTGGCCATGCTGATGAGATTGCCCGTGTCGCCCTCTTCCTCGGCAGCGATGAGAGCAGCTACGTCAACGGTCAGGCCTGGGCCGTGGATGGTGGTCTGAGTGCTGGCCACCCTGTTGTCCAGGGTAAGATTGGTTAGATGCATCATGTAGTCTATTGTAGTAAAGTTTATAATCACGACGTCTATTAGTATCAATGGGTGTAGTTTTTCTTTTGTGAATATTCATTATTTCGTAAATCATATAGAGGTGTGACTGGGCGGTGACGGATAGACGCCTACGAGTCAATGTCCATGGCGTTGCCGGCACCTGCAGCGATGGCTTGAGAGATGCGGTCCAGCTGTGTTGCCTTCCACACCTTGTAGTCTATGATTCTGGCTTCGCTTAGATAGTCGTACCGCTCCTGGAACATGGTGTCGGCTCGTCGGCCTGGTCCTGCAGCGGCTATTTCCGTATCCTCAACGTCCATGGCATCCTTTCCGTTGTTGCCTGAGCTGACTACGTCGACAATGTTTCGAAACCAATCGCTGTCAAACCAGCCGGCTGCTTTAGCATACGCTGTAGCCTCGTCGAAATCCTTTACTTTGAGCTTTACCCAGCCGTCCCATGCACCGTCTTCTTCCATGCCGATGAAGACGGCTTCTGAGCGGGCACGGTTGAGCAGCTCCATGACCGTTTTACGCATCGGCGTATATAAATCTTCTTCTTCCGAGTCTGTTGACGTCAATAAAGCAAGTTGAATGAAAACGGCGTGCACAATGGCTACCAGCATCTCCGTGGGGTGCTCGTTGACCCAGGCGTCTTCCGTCTTGCGGCCACCAGGGCAGGCGATAATCTCTGCTCCCGCCAACACTGTAGGAGCAATCCGTTTGTTATCACTTTCACTGCACATGAATCGGATAGCGGGTGCTATCCACGGGTGTAAGCCGTCTCGGAGGGTTTCTGTATCGTCCTTTTTTGTGGATGGCTTCCTTGAGGGAGTGCCGTCAGTCGTTTTGAATTGAGCCAAGGCTTTCTCTTTCGTGGGTGTGGCTCTTGACGGGATGGGGCGTGCTTCGGAGTTGGGCGCCGTAGAAAATTCTACAGGGGCTGGCAGTGAGGTTCGTGTTCTCATAGACGATCGTCTGCTGCCTGCTGCATTGGGAAGAATATTGTCGAGGTGTTGATAGAGCTTCTTGTAGATACGGGGAGGGATTGGTGGTCGTGGTTCAATGGTTGGTAGATCGAGGACAATTTTGAGTCTGTAAAACGCAAGTTGCAGCCATTTCCATATATCAATACATCCTTTGTTAAATCGCACCTTTCGCAAGCAATGTTTGCGCATGCATATTGGCGGGCAATCTCTTCTTCGGCTTTGAGAGTGCTGGCCTTGGAACGAGACTGAGCAAGTAGTGAACCCGCAAGATCGACTAGCTGAGGAGGTAGATCTTTGTTATAGGTCGGAAGCATCGACACGAGTGCCAATTCTATTTGACGACTCATTTTTGGTGGTGTTTGCGGATGATTGTGTGTGCGTTGGGGTGCATCAATGGGGAGAGGGACGTGTTGAGAAGACGCGCCGCCAAGGGAACCTCTTTACGCCAAGTCACGCGCTGCACGACGACCGTTTTTGGTCTTGGCACCACAGTCATCCGAGACGTCATGTCATCTCCATAATCGAGGCGCGGGCGCGTACACAGCCACCAAAGTCAGAAGCCTATTTAAAATAGAGTATTTGCCTTTGAGCAAAACAAAAGGCATTCCTCTTAAGAATTTTAGTAGACAGTACACAATTTCCAGTTGCCATCACAAGCAAGCAACATGGCCGCACAAGACAGTCCCCCACCCTACGATGAAGACAACTTCAGCAGACCAACCGATCTAGTCGAGCCAATAACCCTCTCTCTGGCTGCAAAATCTGTGACCCAAATCTACCCCTGTATTAACGACAAGCCTATCGAAATGTACCGTTTGTCTTGGGACATCCTCCACAACCCAACCTACACCGGCAAGGTCACAGTCGAGCGGGTGAACCACTCACTGCGAACAACGGTCAATGACAGCTATCAGATGCGGTCTTGTACCCAAGAAATCTACACTATACAATGCAATCCTTCCATGCCCAAAACTGCATCCGCCGCGCAAGCTGAGTACGGCATTCCCAAAGCGTGCATCCTGCGTATCAACAAGAACCGCGGTATGGGCAACTTTGGGTTGAAGAAGAGCTCTCTACGTAAGAAATGGACCGTCCTACCGCTCAAAATGGACAAGGCCACAGGACATACGGTATTTGATAAAGATTCAAAGGCGCTGTTCCACATGGAGGCTAGGAATAGCGGGTTGGCGTGGATGAATACGGAGGGGAAGGAGATTGCCGAGACTGAGGTGGTAGGTGAGGAGCATCGCTTGGTGATTAAGGAGCCGTTAATGCGTGAATTAGTGGACGTCTTGATTAGTATATGGGTTTGTCAAATCTGGGATGTGCTCTCGAGAGAGGCCGCAAGCAAATCTTCAATGTCCAAGTGTAAGTTTCGTGTCCAACGATGTGAGCTTGAAGCTAATACTGTACAGTTTTATCTATAATGTCACACACGAAGCATGGTAGAGGGCCGGCGGGGGCTTTAATAGGAGCTTAAGCTCTATTAGTTGTATTACTAGCCAAGCTCTATACTTCCAATATAGACTTATAGATTCCTTTCTGTAGAACTAAATGGGATTAGACGCCACTTAGTGTTAGGAACGATGGAAGTGGTAAATGTGCCGGAACTGGTAGTCCAGTTGTCATCCACGGGCACCCATCAATCCGTAGTCTTGTCGTCATAGTTGTACTGTTGGATCACGCTCACGCAGGCATACGCACTGCCCTGTAAGCTTGTACAAGTACTGCCTGTGTCAGGGTTCCATAACACCAGATCGGCGACGGTGATACCGGCGTCCGAAGCAAGCTTGCTGTATGACCCCCCTGGGAGTACAAATGAGAACTGTCCACACACGGGGATAACGTCTATAACCGGTAATTAGTAATCCTTTTTGACAGTTGGTATTTCCAACCGGCCCGACAGACTTCCTAACCGGGTATTTCCACAAAGGCTATTGCCTAATCAGGCAAGCACAAGTGACGGCTCATGGAATAGACAATTTATTGACAAGATTGCATAATATCTGATATTTAGTACGCGTAACTTCTGCTACTATTTTTCATTGCGTTTTACTTGTACTCGGGCCTGGCGACGCTAAGGCCGTTTACCTAGTGCACGGTACTTGTTAGTTTAACTAGGCAAATTGAGCAGGCTAAGGTATCCAAGCGTGAACCAACACTTGCTGTAGAAATGAGGCGGCGATTAAAAAGACCACTTTCATGTTATTCCAATGCAACAAGATTATCGTAATAGTATCGTGTCGTAAAAATGTCTCATTATGAACCGTCCTCGGCCCCCGTCTGGGGCTTTCTGCCTTCTGAACAGTATCTCTTGGTGGGTGACTTTTAAGATTCAACACTAACATGCTAACGGGTCACAGCACCATTGGAACCGTGAATCAGAGGAGACGGTTGAGATTCAAAGGCAGCGACTAATTCGCGACTTTGTTCGAAATGTAGATGAGACCCCGTTTAAATGGGACATTGTTCGTCTGAGTACATGCCTAGAGGCGCCGCCGCCTCTGGACGTCCCCCCTACCGAAGGGGACATCGAGACAATCTTGGCACCGTGGCGGTCCCAATCTCTGCGCTTTGCAGCAGCCAAGATTTGGAACACAACTATAACTGACTGTATGGTCTGGGTGCGAACGCACTACGATGCGGACGAAGCTGTCCGACAAGAGGACGACGTGCAGTTTGCAGCGTGGGTAGCCGAAATCGACGATGAAAACCACTTTAATGGCAATCCTTCAGATGATCTCGAGCAGGCACTAAAGTGGTTGATCCTCGAAGATGAATCTCGTTTCAATGTGGGTAGAGACTGGGAGCTTGTACTCGATATCATGCCGGAGCTAATTATCCCGTATTCCGAGAGCGAGGGCGGTGCCGTCGAAGCGGCCGCTCAGTACCGTGACCCTCGGCAGTGGCGCCGCGTAGCCAAGAGAGTTCAACAATATCAAGAAGAAATGCGGGATAAGGCATCAAAGTTGACTAGTACGGAAGATCTCATTGCTCTAGTGGAAAGCGCCAACATCTTGCAGGAGCTTAGCTTATGCGCAGTAGTGATTCTTGCCGACAAGGATGCCTTTGCGCAGAAACGGCTAAAGATGGTCTTTGTCGATGGACACGGTCACACCATCCGCTACGCGCTTGTCGATAATGATGACTGTTGGTGGGAGGTACGCAGTGAGCTCTTTCGCGGCACTCTCGACGGAAACCCCTATTGGCTAGGCGAAGAAGAGGGATCTGGCGTAGGACCTGCGTATAAGGCTGATGGAGTAGTAGGCAAGGAGTTGTACGGCATCCAGGATTTACTATAACGCATGTCACAAGTAGCTTATCATAGACTCTTCTGATAGTGGATGTATCAAGTGCTGCACAAGACCAAAAGCAGAAGAAATATTTAGCAAGATACGAGGGTTTACCATAGTATATATATCATGTTCAATTTTTAATCTCGTACTGATAGACCATCAAGAGTACACTCCCACTCTTGCGAGAATCTGCGCTTCGCAATCCAGCGGAAGGCTTCTTCAACGTAATCTCTCTCTATGGACCCTTCTGGTAAACAGTCATATGCAAGCCTAAAAGGGAATGCCACCCGAGATGCAAGGCCGCTAGGGACTGTTCGAGCAAAGAACCCCATGGTTCGACAAATAGAGCATGCGAGGCTATACAAGTCATTCAGTTCTGTCTCCCTCGGTCGTGCATCGGCTGAAAAGATCAGGATGAGAGCAGCATAGTAATAACACATTGCCTGTGCAAGTACTGGGTCTGGGTAGACTAGCGTTGTACTACAAATAATATCTCCGGTGACGCGGTCCTGACGTCGAAAAGTTGAGAGATTATCTTGTATGTGCACCGGAAGCTCTGCGGGTTGGCCCCCTGGATACGAATCTGCCCATTCTCGCTTCCATTGATACAAGGCTTGCTCGATGCGATCTGCTAACGTCCACAGTTCTTCCTGCAGTAGACTGGTTTCGACAGGTGACTTTGCTGGCGAGCAGTTCTTAAGTCGATCGGCGTATGCTAGAAGCGCCGGTATCTCAACGATATGGTCCAAAAGATGCTGCAGGAGGTCTTTTGGCATTGATCCAGCAGACCAAGGTTCGTGTTTCCATTCCGGCTGGGCAAGGAAGGTCGGGGAACGTGTGGTTACAGCTGCGAACACCTGGTGGGAATCAGTCAGTAAACGTGCAATAGCCTAGTAATGGAACGAATTGACAAACAAAGTAGCATCGCAGCTCAACAAATAATCCGTGGCCAATACCTAGAGCATGCCGTCTGGCTCCACGAAACTCTAGGAGCTTCAATATGCCCAGGACATGTGTAAGAAAGCCATTTCCCCTTGTCCGACTTACACCCTAATTGGCGCGAGAGCTTAGTTATGTGACCATGCAATCTAGGGATGCACCTACCTCATATACTGCACATAGTACCGCAGCCCATAATACATCATCTGATGCGCTTCGCTCCGGGTGGTATACAGCGGCTTGTAGTGACGCCAGGACGGATAAGTAGATCCTGTCTGCAGCAGATATGAACCTCCAATCACTAATGGAGCGGCCGAATTGGGCGACTGAGACAGCCGTAAATGAGTCACAGAGCAGAGTAGAGGAAAGTCTCGATGCGGCCCCTACCCGCCAAATCTGATAGGGCTGTCCAGCATGGATCCAGTGGAGTGGCTGCCAAGCGGATGGCATCTCTGGGCCATACGAATCGAGAAACCGTTCCAAGAAAACTTCCAAAACCGGCCTTGAGGACATGTATATCGGGTTTGTAGCCTGGTGAGAGTCGCTGTGATCCGCTAATATTAATGATTCTGTTTAGTTAGCTCTAATATTCCCCTCGGAGGAGCTGACGGGGACTTGCCATGTTCATGAACTATTGCGTCAGGATTTGAAGAATCTCCATCGGACCCTTCAAGTGGCAAGTGTGGGCCAAATGTACTCGGTTCGCCATCTATACTAACTGGAGTTGGAGGTCCTCCATCGATAGACTCTATCTTGGTGACGAAGGTTTCTGACGGGTCCTTTATGGCAGACGCCCTAGAAACTGGTGAAACAATCGGCCATCGGCTGTTTTGAGTGGGTTCTGTAGCCAATGGTGGGTTCTGATCAAATTTAACTGTAATAGTCCGGCAGTGGATGATATCTTTCTCACTTTGTGAGATGGGAAGGCGTCGAGCCAACTTGGTGACGAGTTTGTGAGATAATGACGACCTACCGGCGGCGTTCTGTATGTGCCTTAGCATTTCCAGCACATCACCGATGATACCCAGAACTTGATTGCGTTCCGGAAGGTTAGAATGTTGATCATGAATAATGGCGAAGCACAATATAATACCCAAATCAACAAGGGACGAGTGTGCGATGTGGTATTGTGCGCAGAAGGGGTAGGTGCTATGAAAAAGAAGGATATGGGCATCACGCAGCTTCAGGCAGTAGTCTACTGCAGAAACTCGCGTTTCTTGGTCCTCACAAGACTCTTTGTCGCCAAATGTTCGGCATAGATAGCTCTTTAGAGGCACAAGCATCATGGTATAGGCCATGACGTGCAAATATTGGCGCTGCGCCGTCATCCATGGATAACTCTTATCTATACCAATATCAGGGTCGGCGATGCGTAGTATCGGTGGAAAAGATTCCGTCCATTTGTTGACAACATTCTGAAACTCTCTCACCCTTGCAGCATTCATTGGTTTGTTGATGTTGCCGAATTTCTCATGCATTATCTGGATAACTTCGAACTGCAATTTGATATGGTGTATAGGGGATGGGGCAGCTTCCTCCCGATGGAGATTTGGTGAAACAATATCGCAGTCATGGCGATTGATGAGTTGTGGGCGAGAGAATAACGTAGATATCTGCCTGTAATGGAGATGGAGGTTAGAAGATATGCATGGGTTTGATAAAGAGAGGGCAATAATACCAATCCCAAACATCCAGAATGCACCAGGTCCTCCTTCGCATGTCTCGATCAAACTCAGACAGGCCATCTGCGCTAGATTCTTTGTTTAAACCTAATGACGCGAGAGCAATGATTAGCATATCAATGGGAGTTCAAAGGCAAAAGGAGTGAGTAAAATCGGGTACAAACCTATGGCTTGAGCCTCGCGAACCGCCGCGCCAAGTGCATGCCAGCAGTCAAAAAAGTCGCCTCGGGAGCTATGCCAATATGACGTGAGGAGGAGCTGCTGAACCTGCAATAATCCCCCTTGACCAACGGGAATTTTGCCGCTAAGCTCAATGGCGGCCTGGTTGCATCGGTCAACAAGGTTCTGGATGGGCGTGTTGAGGTCAGCTTCGATCTTTTCTTTGATGTCAGAATTGAGACACAGTACGGCGCATGTACATATGCGCAACATGAGGCCAACAAATGTAGGGTCTAGTGCTGGCGACGGTCGACGCAGGCCACATCGCCAGGTCGAGTAGGCCATCATCAGCTTCGTTGGATCAATAATGTAATAACTGTAATTCACCGTCTCTGTAAAGGTGGACAAGAGTATTTCTTCCGAGATCCGGTTAACCTAAAGCTGCGGCATCAGGTACGGGGAAATGATTACCTAGATGATGCTGCAAGGGAAGCATTTCGAGTATGCGCATATCGTCAGCGCCAGTGGCAGTCAGGTCGCCAACGGGAGAACCAGGCTTGCCATGGGAAAATGCATCGTCAGCTCTCTGCGGGGATATATCTTAGGCTGGAGATAGACGGATGTTAGGCAGCATACCTTGACCAACTTGGAGAGATTCATAAGACTAGAAGGTCTGTAGCCAATAGCTTTGAGGGTCGTCTCTTCGTCAGTAACGTCGTCCACTGACGCTGTCTGCCTTGTTCGAAGCGCATCTTCTTCAGCGTTTGGTCTCCGCTTTCGCTTTCCGCGCAACAAATTGGCTTTAGACAGTGTCGAATGGTTTGCGGAATCTTTGGGGTCAGCCTTACTCGGCAAGTCAGGTTCGTTGTATCGACACCTATCGGGGACCTTGCGACGACAACAGTGTTCGCACGGCCATTCCCGGTCGCACTAGAGAAAGAAGCCGTTATTAGCTTATTCTTTTTCCCAGTATGAAGCGATGTAGCAGGGTATAAGGGTAGGAGACTGCGTCGAAGCCTCGGATCTGGCGGACGAGGCAGTACGATGAAGTTTGGTGGAGGACATACCCGTTGTTTCCTGCGCTGACATTCAACGCATGCCACACGATGGTAGGATGTCTCCCATAGGGCAGACGTAGCGCTCATGTTTTTTCCATGAAGGATAAGGAGAGAATACGTGATGATGGAGATATGCACGTTGTAGTACCGGCTGATTGGAGTTTACTGTGGTTGGTACAGTAGCCGCGCCAGGTGCCCCACGGTTGGCGCTAAGAGTTCCTCAAGTCTGCCCGTCCGCCCGAGGTGCGTCCACGTGAACGATGAGAGAGAGAATAAAAGGATCGTTTGCCAAGTTGGTCTACAAATTGTTTAACTTATTCTATGTGATAGATGTAAACTGCGAATATGCAGTCTCGATTATCCGACTCTGCGTTTATGAGTTAATTGGAACCGCCGCCCATTGTTGTGACGCTGTTGCACGCGCTGTGATGTTCCAATTTCAGCACTGACTACACCAGTATAGCGAGCTGCACAGTAACGCTGGACTTTATATCACAAGAGAAATCCACGATAATTTAGTGCATATAGTGTACACATATTATTCATTAATATTCATTTGGCTATTTTAATATATTTAATTGTACCATTCCGCTCCACTAGGGGATGGTCAATTCGAATCTATATGGAAGCACTTGTTCCTTTTTCTCACCCGCTTACAGCACCCAGATGGGATTTTGAAGCACTGTATTTTTTTTGGTCCAGTGGCCGCTGTTAGCGCTATTCTGTCAAATTTACAGGGGCGCCAAGCCAATCTTGGTTGTCGAAATGCCAAGTGGGGCGTTGCTTGCTCGGCGCTTGTTGTCCACTGAGATGGTCTCGCTGGCCAAATTGATCGCCAACCAACTCCTGATTCTCTTCCTTTCCCACCATTGTCGCGGATCTTGCAGCGTTCAGCGATCTCTCACCACACAATGCTCTTCCATGCGTTACTAAGCGCCGCCCTCGCCGGTTATGTCGTTGCGCACGGCTCTCACGGCGGCTCACAAGGATCAGGAGGCGCACCGCATCACGACTCCCCTAGCCACTATCCCAACTGGATGACGCAGCACATGTCTGGTACGAGACGACTGCGACACCGAATCTACGATTGCAATACACATACTAACCCACGGTTCGCACAGAGGAACACCACATGGACGGTTGGGACATTGAGTCCTTCTTCGGCCTCCACGACTACGACAGCGACGGCTACTGGCGCGCGCAAGAGATGCAGCGAACATACGGTCTCATGGACCCGTCGAACAAGCACATGACGTACGAGCAGAAAGAACACGTTCTCAAACAACTACTGGAGCTCATGGACACCGATGGCGACAACGCAGTCAGCCGCGAGGAGTGGAAGAGCTTCATCGCAAAAGGCGAGACGCTACCCGATTTGGGCACTGGCCCCGGCCACCACGGCGACGACGAGTATGAATACGAAATCCACCATTGGGAAAAGTACCACGACGATAACACTAAACTCGAAGACCTGACGCACCCGGAAGATATTGAGCACTTCAAGATGCACGAGGAGATGGAGGAGGCCGAGCGCAAGCTGGAGGAAATGGACAAGAAGGCCATTATTGAGGAAAATATTCCGGCCTTTTTCCGCAGGCATTAAAGACGGCGCTGGAATAAACTAAGACGATAATACCACAAAAACTTGTACTACAACCTGGGGACTGGGGACGATGAAACGGCGTTGATGCGGGGCACGTTTGTTTATAATCTATCGACACGACATGATGATGATGGGGATGATGAGAAAAGAGATAAAGATGGATGAATACACACGGTATATATAACATTGGAAGGTGACTGATATAGGGTCCATCGCGGCCCTATGTTCTGCGAATATAAATATCAAATACACAGTGCCAGACACCTGGCGCAAACGTCTTAACCTTTTCTACATGACTTGACCTGCATTCTGCGACTGTTCCCTGTGTCCATGTCTTGAATCTAGCTTCCATCTCCTCAGCTTGGCCTTCGATGTCGTCGGTGGCTACATTCTCATGCAAATGTAGCCAAGTCTCAGGACTCTTGGATGTTATCGCCGCAGCGGCTTGCCATATTAGCTCGCTGGTGGGTAGAAGACCGCCATTAAGGTGTCTAATGTTATGCGCCGTTTCCATGTCATGTAGCTCGGCGATTTTCGACTGCGCATTCTGATTGTCGTCTTGGAAGATGACGATCTGTTCGCCAGTAGCCATAATCTCCGTCATTGGCAGCGTCAGGTCTTGGCCACGAACAACCTTGACAGTCCATTTGTTCATAAGGGCGCCTCTTCGTAGACCTTCCACACTCCATGGATTCAATTCCCACCCTAGAATCCGCATCCCCATGGTTGCGTAGGAAAAGACAAAGTAGCCAATACCCGCGTACATATCAACAGCCCACGGTGCGTCTTCCTGTGCTGCTGGCCGAGGAAATGTAAGTAGACGTGCTTTCTCCTTCACGTTACCGCGGCTAAACATGGTCCATCTTGGAGCCCATGTTTGGTGGATGCCGTTCTGTTTGGTCGTCACCCACAGCGCTACGTTAAACTCGGCATCTGTTGGCTGTTCGCTCTCTGTTTGAGAAGGACCAAAGTCGCCGTGAATCATCTGTAAGCCTGTTGGACTGCGGAGGATATTTTCTTCCGTTTCTCCCCCTTTCAGAAGAGGAATTCCTTCATTGATAGCAAGATGTGTGACTGGCGATTTGGCAACATTGGACAGCTCTTGCGCAATGGTTATCCACAACGGAGATAAGTCGCTCTCTGAGCATTGAGAAATTGTTCTTGCCCAGATTGGTGAAGTAAAGCTTCCAGAAGGGAAAATAGCCATAGGTTCATAAATCGTAAACCGTTTCGGTGCCGTTGCCAGTAGGCCTGCGGCAACGCCATCGTCTATGCACGTTGCTTGCGCTGCCCATTTGGACACGGCGCTTTGCATAGGGTTGTATGGTGGCGGTTTGGGCATTTTGAATAATCCCTTAGGCCGGCTGATTTAATGACATGCTAACTGCACGGATAGAGATGAATTATCGCATGGTGGCTGTGAACTGGGCTGTTGCAATTGCTGGTGTTTAGGTTAGGTGGAAGTGGGGGGACGAAAAGAGAACTTTTAACAAGCACCAACGTTTCTATTTCTTAGGCCACCCTTAGTATCATCATCAGTAGCTTACACCTAGTTAACAGGAATATAGATCAAATCGTAATAATATATACTAAGTAGTTTAGTTAGAACCAATTAGAGGAATGGTAAAATAGTTACAAAATGCAATATTAACCATAGGTTATTCAAAATTATTTCACGTTAAAATTAAACTCTACCCATCACCATGTACAGTAGTGAACGCTACCCTACAAAGCCATTACAAAAGTATCAAAGTTCTCCGCATAGGTATACTTATTTCGTATAAGATTTATTTATATGCGCCTCGTTCGCTGTGTAATAACACAAAATCAAGAACAAATTAATGGACGGCTTATCCTTTACTAACGTTGCTAATAAACTGTCTGCTTTTAAACTCTATTTCGGTCCAGAGAAAGTTTTCAATTACTCAATTACAACAAACAACATCACCGGCACCTTTACTCTGTAGTAGTCGTACCACTGCCGTATACCTCCATTCTTTAGCAAGACAGGGCGATGTATGGCCCTCGGCATCTCTCAAGGTGATATCCGCGCCTCTCTCAAGCAGTAGTCGTATAATAGGCTCATTGCCCCTATTGGAAGCCTCCATTAATGCCGTTCGACCGTTATAACGCTTTGTATCGATATATACCTTTTTGTCGAGTAGCAGTCGCACAATAGTCTTATCACCTCGGCGAGAGGCGATAAGCAGTGGTGTATCCCCGTCCCTGCTGTCTCTTGGGTCAGCATCTGCTCCCTGGTCCAATAATAGTCGTATAATAGTTTTATGTCCAAAAATAGAAGCCTGTAGTAGTGCCATTTCGCCATTGCTATTCTTTCCATCAACATTTGCCCCATTCTCGAGCAGTTTTCTTACGATACCCTCATGTCCTGCTTGAGCTGCGTACATTAGTGAAGTTGTTTGCCGCCAATCCCCTGCTTCAACATCACAGCCGCTCTCAAGAAGAAGCTGCAAGATTCTCTCATTTCCGTGTTTAGCAGCATACATCATTGGAGTTTTCTGATAATTATCTCCCTCTTTAATATCGCAATTGTTCTTGAGGAGGAGCCGCACGATACTCTCATCTCCATGTTCAACTGCGTGCATCAGTGAGGTTTGTTGCCAAAGGTCCCTCGCCTCAATATTACAACCTCTCTCCAGAAGAACTTGCACAGTACGTTCATGCCCATTCTGAACTGCATGAATTAGTGGAGTTCTTGCCTCCTCATCTTTCGCCTCAAGGTCACAGCCCCCCGCAAGAAGAAGCCGTACGGTAGCCTCGTGTCCATTTTGAGCCGCCAACATCAGTGGAGTTGTCAGACTACCATCCTTAACCGCAATGTCGCACCCTCTCTCAAGAAAGAGCCGTACAATACCCTCCTGTCCGTGTTTAGCTGCGAACATTAGTGGCGTTCGTTTGCGATAATCTTTGGCCTCAAGATAACAACCTCTGTCAAGAAGAAGTCGTACAACACTCTCGCGTCCATGTTCAGCTGCATGCATTAGTGGAGTTTGTTTCTTATCATCCGTTGCCTCAAAGTTACAGCCTATTTCAAAAAAGAGCCGTACAAGAGGTTCATCCCCTTTTGTGGCGACCCACGATACTAGTGTCTGACGCTCTCCAATCTGCATATGTCGCCCATATTTTAGCTGCCCAAGAACGTGGTCAGGTGGGCTACCGGCCTTTGTCCGCAACATGACTTTGACTGCATCCTTACTACCATTGGCAAGAGCAGCAAATAGTGGATATTTATAGCGTTGTCCTTTGATCTCAATGCTTGGGTCTAGATCCAGTGCAGCTTTCATGAGTTGTGCGAAATTGTTCTCTGCAAAGATATACAAGAAGCTTGCACCAGGTGTATAGCGACGGATATCGCGTACTTGAAAGGCGTTGATAGCAGTAATCCACATAATGAGTGGAAAACTGGATAAAAACTCAATCTGTGAAACTGACTTGGCTGCAGCGTCGGCGTGGTAGAAAATATGGTGCGTGGCGTATGTAACGAATGGAAAGCTTTCTGATATGGAAGCACGTAGTAGCTTTGCTTTATTAGAAGCCGCCGTCGGCAGTGTTGAGGGCATATAGTCTGAAATACCAGACGAGAGATACGCATAACAACATTGCTGCAGCTGAGCATGGCTCGAGGTTTCAAAGCTGTCCGTATTGAGCCCCGGCCATAGCTGGTCCAGGCCATCTTTGAGAAAGAATTCCCGCACTGATTCGTGAATGAACTGAGCCCTTTGTACTCGAGACCCAGTCGTCTCTGCAAGTCCTTTCGACGAACTTAGAACCAGTTTGATCATGTCGTCTTTGGAAACTTCGTCTGGGTCCCATGATTGCAGCGCCTCTGGACTCAGTCCAGATACCATGGCGAAATAATACTCTTCTAGCTTTAACGGACGCTTTGCAAACAGAATCCACTGTACGCAAAGCCGAAGATCGTCCAGGTGCTCCTTGTCTCTTAATATGATTTCTTTGAACAAGGCGCTCAGCTGTACTGGTAGAGCAGCGAGACGCTTCTTGACATTGTAAATTCGGCCACCGCGGTATTCTTTCTTGAGAATGCCAACGACTAAAACGACCCACATGAAGATACCTTTCGCTTTCTCTTGAATCTCAGATTTAACGTCGTCGGCAATTTTACTTTTGCCAACTTCGAGCTTGTTGCGTATGTACAAAGCAATGTCCTGTTCATGGCCATCTTGAACCTCTAGATTGAGCTTGTGGCCGTGTTGAATATCGATACGGGGGTAGTGACGACTAGAGAAGCATATATTAAGTCGCCAAGAATTTTGCACTGCATGCTCTCCAAGATCTTCAAAGTACTCTATAAGCTCTTCCACTTGTTCAATCGGGCACTCATCAAGAGCATCGACAAAGATTGCTAGCGGATGTTTGCTGTTCGTATAAACTGGCTCCTAGTGACTGTCTTTCCCAGATCATACTGCACCACTCCTTGGCCAACAACACCGTCACCGAGTCGGATGTCAGCTGTTCCAGGAGCGCCACCGCCAATTCCAACCATTAAGTATAACCGTATAGAAGGAAATGTCCAACGCATGTTGCTTGTAACAGCTGCGGCTTTATTGGTACCATAATACCCTGATGAGAGGCAGGTGATGACGATGTTGTGCACAGCGATGCTGCCTAGTGTATATGTATTGCTGTCGTTTTTGACTCTTGGTAGTGGTTTATGTACAGTGTCCAGCATGGCCTGTGATGCCGACAGTTCTTTTGGAAGCGCACAGATCCAGCCAATAGCGTAGTCGCCGTGCGAGAGCGTAGTCGGTACATGGCCACTTCTGGATGGGCGGACGTCTAGCCTCTGTCTCTTGAGTGGCCTACTCATCAGGCTGCCGTTATTGATGTTATCCTGGTGCGTGTTCTTGTTGGCAAGGGAATTCGTTGGCACAGGCCCGTGTCATTAAATAAAGAAGTACTGGATATCGTCTCCCAAGGCTGCCAGTAGCTTTTGTGGTAATGACGGCCACTCCTGACAACCTTCAGTGGCACGAAATGTTGAATAGATCAAGCTACACGATCTTGCGGTGAGAAGCGCATTGTGTAAAGAAAAGAAGGCTGGGCTGCGCCCCTGCACGAGGCAGACACCATTGCCCTTCGGCGGTTATAGCTGAATGGTACGCCCAATGGCGGCCCGCAGATCGGTTTCATGTCCCCTGTTTCCGATGCAAAGGACTATGGCCCCAAAAATTATTGATAAGGTGTCTCCTGAGTTGATATTGTTAGCTCTACTTTTAACTCTAGAGTCGCGTTGCCCACCACTTTAAAGAATGAAGATTTGAGTAACGCTTGATCCTTGTAGGAAATGTTTATCCCAACGAGACAAAATCATCACGGGACAAAGCGGCGGCTGTGATGAAATATGGATATCTTAATGTTGTAATTCTAATTGTACAGATGCCATCCTAAATCGTTCTGATGTTTATTCGTTAAAGGAAATAGTCACTCGGCCCGCGTCTGTTGGCAGGCACATGTCTCAGATCGTCTGGGACCGCTGAGAAGATGCTGAATTTGGGATCCAAGTCCTTGTCTACCGTCATAATGGATGCTACATTGCCGCATCTATAGCAGTAGTTGGGCGCAGACCACACTGTCACCACCGAGCTCTCGTTAAAATGATACTGAACATTGTTAGCATAGCTCTAGCTCGAGAATGATACAAGCCTGTAATAAAGCCATGGACCAAAAGAAAACGTACCTTGTATCCTTCATTTACCAGCTGATGCGCTCTAGCAATCAGCTTTAATCCGTTGACATAGTTAAATTCTGTCGCCACCTTGTCACCAAACAGCCATCCTGCACCACGCGGACTAATCGCCCACGTCTCGACTTCCTCTGGGTCTGACCACACCAAGTCGCAAAAGGCGCCCTCGTGTGGAATCTCCTGGGCTCTAGCAACCACACGGATCTGATCTATAGTTCGGATTTCGGGACTCAAGCCACCGTGGACACACAGGAGCTCGCCGTCGACAATGGCGGCGAGCACCAAAAAGTCGAAAACGTGACAGCATGCCTTCCACACCGATGCGTTGCCGTATTTTTGCTGACACTCTTCATAGAAACCGTACACTTGCGTAATCTGTCTTGATTCGTGGTTGCCGCGGACAAGGATAATTCGGTCTGGGTATTTCGCCTTGAGGCACATGAGCAGCGTAAACGTCTCCAAGCTAAAGTATCCTCTGTCGACGAAATCACCCAAGAAGATGAACCGCGTTTGCGCACTCTGTGATGATGTGACTGTGCTCTCCAGGGCACTGCTGGACTTGGTGTCGTCGGCAGCAGCATCTTCGCCATCGTCCCCGCCGCCAGAGCGTATTTGCTTGTTGAGCTTGGAGTCTGTGATGTCGGTCGGGGGCTCGAGGTCTTCCGATGTGATAACTGTTGTCGATGTCTTGGGGGCCTGTATGTCCGTCTCACCAGGCATGCCGCCTGCGACGCGGAATAGCTCGAGAAGATCGTAAAACTGGCCGTGGATATCGCCGCAGACGGTGACGGGTGTGCAGACGGGTTGGATGTTGGATTCTAGAGATATACAGTCAGCAAGCTAAGTTCCCGCATAGAGGCTGTTACCTGTAGATGCACACCTTCCATAAGGATCTCCTTGACCTTTTCGCAAAGCTCCTTCATTGCGCGCTCTGGAAGATAATGGCATTGCTTGGCTTCCTCGAGCCACTCATCAAGCCCGGCATTGGGGCTGAGCTTTGCCGGGCCGGGACGGGGGACACTTGACGCCATGTTGCCAGGAGTCTATGTCGTTGATTCTTCCGGCAAAATTTGGCGAAGCTTTGGTGTAGGATGTCGTTGTTTGATGTCTTTGGGACGGTTGTGAGGTGTGAGCAGAGGCGCCAAAGCGCTTAGTGATTTGGTGGCAGGCGGGTCAAACAGCAGTGTCGGAGCCAGCACGCACCAGCGCCACCAGGGGCCGCCGGGAGTACCTCGGGTACGACAGAGGGGATGCTGGATAGATGCTGGCAGGAAACACAGATGCCAATCACAGGATGTTTTCAGTACAAGTTGAGAATCATTTAAGCCTTTAAAGAAATTATGTGATACTATACTAGGTATACTGATTTTTTTTTCGGTCGCCACGTCTGGCACTGCCAGCGCACACGTGACCAGATACTCAGAGCCGTTTGCCATGCCTTGCACCTGTCCGATGGCTGCTGTACTGGTGCTGTGGGGCGCAGAGCGATGCACTATAACTTTTGACCAAATGCAAAAGCGCATTTGAACGGCTGAGCTGCACGATTCAACTGCTGTTGGCCCGATATCGTCTGCGATCCTTCACCGCGCAATGCCTGCACAGGCGCCGCAGATAATAGCTCGCAAGGCCAACGGGGCAGCCGGCTCTGGGCAACAGGCAGCCGGCGAGCCAGCCAAGGTACGATGATGCCCTATGACGGCATAGCTTCGATACGCCAGCGTCAGGGCCGTTATAGTTAACCTCTATGCGTATAGGAAAAGTCAGGCAAACGATCTGGCCATGGCCGCTCAAGACGGGGACGTGGAAGAGGCGACAAGAGAGGAGAAAAGGTATGTGCTCGACCCGGTATTGTCGAACCAAAAGGCTCACGCGATGATTGCAGAAGAAGGACGAGGCTGCCAAACCACGAGCTCCTAAACCAAAGCCCGTACTCGATGGCTGCAAGGTTGTAGTCAGACGAATCCCACCTTCCATGACCGAGGCAGAATTCAACACCATCTTGGGCGAACCGTGGCAAGTTGGCCAGGGCAAGGTAGACTGGTTTTCTTACGCCAAGGGCAAGATCCCTTCCGAGTGAGCTACCATGCGCGCCAACATGCCTAAGGACTATCTAGAAGACTAACGCTGTAAACAGCACGGCAAAGAATGCACGACCTGGAAGAGCATACATTCATCTTATTAAGAAGGAAGACGCCATCATCCTCGACGAAGCTGTCCGAGCCGCCACCTGGGAGGATGCAAAAGGATCTTTTACCAACTCGTGCCTTGTTGGCCCTCCTATCCTCGAACACTCCATCTACAAGAAAGTACCGCTCAACAAGAAACGTGGTGATTCGCGACAGGGAACCATCGACCAAGACCCCGAATTCATGGCCTTTTTAGAAGAGCTCGCCAACCCGCCCGGTCCCAATGCCAATGGTGAGGCCGACGATGCCGATGTTAATCAAAAAGTTACGACTACGCCGCTTGTCGAATTTCTTAAGGAGAAAAAGGCAGCCAAGAGTAAGGAAGCTGCTAATAAGAAGCGCGAGGCTAAGAACAAGACCGCTGCCGCCAAGGACGACGAGAGCTCGAAGAAGCGATCCAAAGATGGAAAGGAAGCAAAGGGCGACAAGGCAGACAAGGCAACCAAAGAGCCCGTCAAGATTCTCTCTAAAAAGGCTGCTAATGCTGCTGCCTCGTCTAGTGTTGACAATGGAAAGAAGGCTACTGCGAAAAATGTGCCTGAAGCTACTACTACATCTACGACTGAGGACGCACCCAAGAGCCGTCGCGCTGGCATCGCCGCTGCTGCCAAGATTCTTCAACGTGAACAAGGCTTGAGTCCTGGAACAGCGCATCGCAAAGCAAGACAGGAAGCATCAAAGCCAGAGGCTACTGCGGCCAAGTCCAGTGGCGGCGGAAAGGAAAAAGCTGGTGCTGATGGAACTGCTGGCACCGAAGCTGAAGCCACGGACGCCAACAAGTCTCGCCCTTCCACACCGACCGGCAAACAACAAAACACCCGCAAGCGTGGAGGCAAGGGTGCAGAGAAGAAGGCTGCCGCTGAGACACCTGCCCCAGTCCCTACCATCTTGAAGCCACCAACCATCCTGAAGAAGAAGCCCGAGGAGGCCAAGCCAGCCACTGATGCCGCGGCCCCTGCTACCCCATCTGCCACTCCGGCACCAACGAATGTTAAACCCGCCGCCCAGGCAAATGCGAAGTCCGGAGCTAAATCTGGCTCTGGCAAGAAGCAGACCACCATTATACAAGATGGAACCCGAGGATTCGTGCGTCATGTCAACAGTTCTCAGGGAATCACCGATGCTACGCTCCGAGAAGCATTATCTGCTTTCGGCACTGTGACAGCCGTTGATGTCGACAAGCGCAAGGCATTCGCCTACGTTGACTTCTCTGATGCTGACGCATTGACCAAGGCCATTGCTGCCAGCCCCATCACTGTGGCTCAAGGCTCCGTTAGTGTTATGGAGCGTAAAGAGAAGAAGCCAACACCAGCACCAGCCAGCTCAGGAGCCGCAGCCGGTGATAAGAAGGATGATAAGGATAAAGAAAAGGAAAAGCCTGCTGGACGAGGTCGCCGAGGCCGTGGTGGAGGTGGCGGCGGCGGAAAGGCTTCCGCAGCAGCAAGTGCCGCACCCGCACCAGCTAGTGATGGTAACGCCGCAGCTCCGGCTCCTACCCCAGCACCCGCGGATGGCTCTGGTTGAAACTAGGCGGGACTGCATATAATTGCATTTTAAGCCGATCTATTGAAAGACCACCAAGCTGTGCCTGCTGCATTGCGCTGACTGAGGCGTATTCCGCGGGACGTCTAACAAACGCAAGCTGCGCAAGTAGTCCCTTACAGTCGCCCACGCGTGCAGCGAAAGCTGTGTGCCTTGTGCAACTAGAGAAGAAGAGTCCACCCCAGTATTATCATTTATGATATATGTACCTTGTCTGAAGAGTCGGGTGACTCAGGTGACGGTACTTGAGATGGACTTCAGGTCCAGCCCTACGGCGTCACGACGGAGAAGAGTGGTCTAGACGAAGACGGAACATATATAAAGGAGAAAAATACAAAACCTTTGTTTTTATTGCGCAACGCTGTTCGTAACTGTGTCCTCGAGAGACGGCTATAGATATCTACAATACAAATTCATTACTTCTTCATTTTGATCTGCACACATGGCAACTGTCTGCTCAGCTTAACCACGCAATGGGATAACACCATCCAGCTTGGAGACACTTTCGCCCCAAACAGGCCCAGGCAAGACTCGCAGGGCAACCAAGGCAGCGTAGACTACCATAGCAAACAGTATGCCTGCGACAAAGGAGAACTTTTCTGACTTGATACGGGCCACTCTGGCCTTGGCGTCGCCGAACCAGAGCACCTCTTTGAAATGGCGTCGCGAGGTACGCAGCCCTGGGAGCCCATCAATGCTCCAAGCGTTGTCTCTGCGGTGAATATTGCCCTTATTCGTAGCGACGTATTTGCTAGCAGATAGATCGAGAGTAGGCCTCATCTCAAAGACACAGCGCTCATCAAGCTTACCGTTCTCGTGCAGTGGCTCAAACTGCTCCCGGAGAAGCTCCTCGTCAAACATGGGATGACCAGCCTCCGTCCTGCCATTGTTCTCTGCGTCGGCATAGATACCCTTCTTGATCATAGGTACACCGTAGCCACAGCTCGTCTGGACCTGCCAGACCTTGCAGATTATGACGGCGCGGGCAGCATCGAATTCCTCGCGCTTGCCACCAGCGACTTTTTGGAGCAGGGCCGGGAATCGGGGATTGTCAAACTCGACGACCTCGGAGCGGCAAAAGAGGCGCAGGATGCGCGGGGCCGGGCCGAAGCTGATGAAGAGCAGGCAGAGGCGGCCGTTGTCGTAGCTGTGGGCAATGGTCTCGCAGCCGGAGCCGATGCGGTCAATGTAGGCGCACTCGTTGGGGTTGAAGATGGCAAAGTGGGATTCGCAGAGGCCCTTGGGCGAGACGTTGACGCGGCGGCCGTGGGTGGCTGCAGAGCCTGTGAAGAAGACGGGTTGGCATTTGGCCCAAGCGGCGATGTTGTCGGGGATGCTGTCGTAGAGCTTCATGGTGTTTGCGTTGTGTGCTGTTGCTGCTACTGGTACCAGGTGATCTTGGTGATGATTATGAGTTGTTGGTATAGCTGGTGCTGCAAATTATTATTATGATGGAGATATATCTTTTGATGGATATGACACAATATTGGCGATGGCCTTTGTTGGAAAAGGAAGAAGAAATGGAAAAAGAATAAGTAACACGAAATACGGCTGGCGATGGTGTTGTCGTGGTTGCGCCGGCCATCGGCCTCCAAATTCCAGCGGCTGCCACGCCCTGCCGTGTCATTGCCGGTTGGCACTGAGGAGCACTGTAACCTTCTGCCAATAGGCGCTGTAGCCTCCGCTGAGCTTCACCAACATTCACTATATTTTTCTTCTGTGTTAAATTTTTTTTTTTTGCACGTCATACACCCCCGCCTTTGACAAAGATGCATCACCAGGGTGCTTACTGTATAATGAGGCATTAGTAAAGCATTTAAATCTATTTTTCTTCAAGAAAGCTGGCAGAATTCATTATCTGCAGCTGAGAACCGAATTGAAACATTGGTGGCCTACAAAAGAGGGAATGTCCCCCCATTCCTCCCACCCGGGCGGAAACAAAGCCCATGGTTACGATACAAAAACGGGAACCCAAACTACTTTTATGAGACGACAGAAATGTCTCAGTCCGCTGCAGCAGATACGGTAACATCCCGCTTCTGCAGTTACCCCAGGTTTATCCAATTGGAGAAACCGACAGCCCTGTACATTGTCTACTGCAGTCAGCTAACACAACCACAAGCACGCAGCAGCTGATCCTTCTGGAACCTAACCCATCATTTCTATTCCTTAAACCCTGCTAACATACGTTAGGCGCAACTCAGCGTTCGGTCTTACAGTTCAGCCGCCAACATGTTCCTGAGTAGCCCGCTGTTCCTGCATAGTGCGCCCGCAGCCTCAGCAGCTGAATGAGAAAGTCCGAAATGTGTAGGACTGTGCCCTACGACGAAGATCGCATGGAATACGGCATCAAAATGGGCAGCTATATATTCAAGCGTAGAATCTCTTCAAGTGTCTCTATCATTAGTATCTATCTTGTACATCATTGTCATCATTGTCTTTCAACATGGCTATCCTCTCTATCCTCACTTACACCGTGCTAGCCGCCTCCTCGGCTGCTGTCGTCTCAGCATCCCCTGCAGGAGCCACAACATGCTCTTCAACTGCATCTGTCAATCCTACCTGCTACAGTAGCGCAGACATCATTGAGCGAGACGTTGCCATTATTGGAGGCGGCTCATCTGGTACCTATGCCGCCATTGCCCTCAAGGACTTGGGCAAGTCGGTCGTGGTGGTGGAAAAGCAGAACAAGATGGGTGGTCATGTTCTATCCTATCATGATCCTACCACGGGAATGCCCCTAAATTACGGTGTCCGTCTGTTTGAAAACACCACCGTCACCAATGCCTTCTTCAAGCGCCTCAATTCGCCCATGCAGCCCTACCAGCCGCCTCCTGGAGCACCCACATACGCCGACTTCAAGACGGGCCAGATCCTCAAGAACTTTACATTCAGCAAAGACTTTACAGCTTACTTGCAAGAGTTTGACAAGTATCCGTACCTCAACCCCGGCCAAGGATACCACCTGCCCAACCCGGTGCCAGAGGACCTGGCTCTCCCCTTTGGTGACTTTTTGAAGAAGCACAACCTCCTTGACGTGGCGTATGCTTCTTGGTCCAACCCATCTCTTGGTGATATTGGCAATGTCTTCCAGACACCAGCGCTCTATGTCATGAGAACCCTCACTCGAGCAGTCCTCACCCAAGAAGGCACCGCCGGCAAGACGCTCGAGTCTGTTACTGGCGACAACCATGTGGCCTGGGATCACGCGCAGGCTGAGCTTGGATCCAATGTTCTGTTATCGACTACCGTCATTGCGGCCAGCCGCCCAGCAGGAGGTAGTACTGGCAGCTCGTACCTTGTTGTCAAGACACCTACAGGCAACAAGCTCATCAAGGCTGCCAAGATTCTCTTTTCTGCTGCCCAGTCCACCGATAACCTGAAGCCATTTTTCCTAGACAGAAAAGAAAGCGCTGTATTCAGCAAGCTTCAATACACTGGATTCTACTCCGGCCTTGTTAACGGTACCGGGCTTCCCAACAACGTTGCCTATCAGAATGCCGCTACATCTGCTGATACTGAGCATGTGCCTCTTGGACCCAAGGTTCTTCACTTTTATCCCTCCGAAGTGGCTGGCATCTTCTCATTTTGGTACGAGAGCGACACTCCTCTTGACGATGCGACAGTCAAGAGTGACATTGCTGCCACTCTTGAAAAGCTAGCCAATTCTCCTGCGAATAATCTCAACTTCTTGGCTTATGCCAACCACTGCCCTGGAATATTGTATGCTCCCCTTACCGAGATAGAATCTGGGTTTTGGGACAAGATGAACAGTTTGCAAGGATACCGAAACACATTTTACACTGGTTTGTTGTTTGAGCAGTCTGCTTCAGGTCTCTGGGCTTTTACGAAAGACAGAATTCATGACATGTTTGCCTAGATAGACTAGTGAACAGGTTTTTTTATTTACTATATAAATCATATAAGTAGCAAATGTACACATTTATATATATAATCTGCAGTGCAATTTGTATGAATAGAGAACGACACTTTCTATTTTCAACTGTCTTACTATGGAGTCACTAAACACTATAGACCTGTATGAGCCATGTATTCAATATTAGCACCATTTCACCTTATTGGATGAGGCTGGGTACGGAAATCCAGCAATCGCAGCCAGATGAGCTATAGAATCCTGCGTTCCCAGGCCGTATGGAGTATGTCCATGAGCACCAACCAAAGTAGCCTCAATAGGTACTCCCTGCTTAACGGCACTGTGGAAAAAGTCAATCGACTCGCTAGTGTCCCACATGACATTTGGACCAGGGCTCGGGTTGATGACATCGGTATTGAAGATGACCACCTCGGAACGGTTAAAGCTGGAGGAGCATGCAGGTGCAGCCAGCGACCAGACCCAGTCTTGGGCATGCGGGTTGTTGTCTGCCCAAAACGACATGAACTGCACATTCTTATCCTTTTTTACAAAGGGCTTGTGCTCGGTGTATGTCTGAATAGTAAACGTGGCGTTGGTCGTCTTGCTGTAAAAGTTCCTGGCCACCTCTGGCACAATAAGGATAGCTCCATCGGCAAGGAACTCGCCAATACCGCCGGTATGATCGCGATGGTGATGGCTAGCTACAACATGGGTAATCTTTTTCCCTGGAATATTCTTCTTGACCCATTCGCTCAATATTTTGAACCGATGGGGAGGCGCATCAACCAACAGAATACCATCTTCAAAGTCAACAAGAAGCTGAACATAGTTTGGCTCGCCCACATACAGATTGATGATTTGGGGAACACTGCCACCTGGAAATACTGGCTTGGCTACCACAGTTGAAACATTATTCTTGTCTCCAAAAGGACCAAACCACAAACCAGACTCGTAGAATTCATGAACCTCTGATCTGGGGTATTCCTCATCAGTGTGAGGTGGATGTCGATGGAACGAGGCAGGCGGTGCAGCAGGATTAGTTGGTGGTACCGCATCAAAGAAGCCACTGGGAAACTCGGGGTTCACTGTAACCTTGTCATTGACATAGTCTTCCAGAACATAGCGGCCGTTGTAAATCGTCTGAATGCGTGAAGGGAACTTGACGTACGAATCGCCCACAGCAACGTTGGTAAAATTGGAAAAGACCGCATCGCTCGTTGACAGTCCCCAAACATTGTGCTTCTCTCTGGAACGTACGGCGTATGGAAGCCAAGTGCCGTTAGTGATGAGAAGTTCCAGGTTTAAGCTATGGTGGGTCAGAGTTGGGAAGTTCGTATTGGATTCTGCATCATGCGTGTTGGAAACGGTAAGACTGCGTCTTGACGTGTTGAATTTTCGAACCACGTCCAGTATGGCAGTCTGTTGAGCAACGTGCAACAAGTAGTCTGTCAAATATCGATCTGCATAGCCAAAGGGAACGGCACCGTCCAATGGGCTGCCGCCGCGATTGAAACACACGGATGCGTTGGAACCAGTTTGAATCACGAGGCAAAAGTCAAGCTTTAAGCTCCGGTGAGCATATCGCCAGTAGTCGTCGTAAGTCTGCGAGCGGTCGGTGCGCTGCTGGAAGGTGTCGTTGCCAAACGCATATGAGATGGTCTGTTTCGCAGTAGTAGCTACCAATTGGTCGGTAGAAACCAGACTGTAACTCTGCTGGGGCGATTGGCTTCGAAATACCCTGTTCAATATGGTCAGCAGCTTGAAAGAATAATTATAGGCCATGGTGTAGCTTACGACGCTTCAACAGACAGGCCATGGACATTTTCAATAACCTTAGTGCCTCCAAGCGCATCAATCACCCGAGATAACAGAGTAGAGGCATTGGCGTTTTCTTGCGCACTGGCAGTCGCCAGTGCGGAGGATGTAAGTAGACTCCAGGAGCAAAGAAGCTTCATTATGGATTGAACCGTTCTTGACAAGATGATTACTGGAGTCTCAAGGCGAAATTGGGTATGAATTATATATCTTTAGTCGTATTTCGGGTTCTTGGAGTATTCTAGAATACTTTTTTCCTTCGCAGTTATTCAAGAGAGCGCCTCATACGCCATGCTCCCAACTGCTGTCAAGCTTACCCCTCGCCTGTGTGACCCCGTATGCAAGTTTTACATTACCCCTGGTACAATGTCCTTCTTTTATTGCCTCCAACTGCGCTAGCATTAGCTACTTACCTTATTTGGCTATTGTCGTAGTGCCACTCGGCTATTCTTTTCGTGGAGGCTGAGGGCGCAGTGGCAGTTCAGCTTCCTGCGGCGTTTCTGTTTCGCCGAGGGCCAAATGAGTACAGAAATAGTCATTTGGTTAAGTTACTTTACTATGTTGCAAAGGATTGAACAAAACTTTGGTATGAATATTATTCCTTTGGAACATTGTTGACAGACGAAACATATGGTAGTTCTGAATAATCTATGTTATTTCGGAGTCTGAGGTAGTGTAATTGTAAACTTGGATTTGCGATATGCGAAATAGATCTCTGCTTCTAAACAGTCACTACTTAATAAAGTCATTTATCAAGAAGCTTCCACAAGGCATCTTCCTCCAGACGTTGTTTCCAGAAACCAAATCCTAGGCTTCATATCCGCGTCGCTCATACCGTCTTTTGAAGAGATTCGCGCATTGGGGAACTTCAAGAAGAACTGTGCAGTGGCATATCGAAGTTCCATTCGGGCAAGGTGTAAACCAATGCAAACTATAAAGTAGCATAATTAGTAATTCCATGTTTATGATATTTGTGCAACAGACGGCACTCACTGCGTGATCCGGCGCCAAACGGCATAAAGGCGTCTTGCATCACCTTTGTCTGTGTATCCCACCTATCTGGGTTAAAGAGATCTGGCTCTGGCCAGATCTCTGAATCTCTGTGCATACTGTAGGCCTGGGTGCACACAGTGGTGCCTTCAGGAACCCAATGAGCCCCGAGCTTTGCGCCTCCAGCCGGAACTTCGCGCGGTAAAGCAGATGGAATCGCAGCAAACAACCGCAGGGTTTCGTCAATGACATGGTTGAGATAGGCGATATTCTTGAGATCCGTCTCTGAGAAGTTGCTGGGCAATTTTCTTAAAGCCTCCACTAATTTCTGTTGAATATCTGGGCGACGGCAGACAGACCAAACAAGATACGTCATGGTAGTTGCGGTCGTATCGGTGCCGGCAATGATGTATGCCTGTGCGTTGCTGGTAATCTCTTCCACCGACAGTTTTCCTTCTTCGGACTCAGTAAACACCTTGGTGAAAAGAGTCTTTTTAACCTTTGTAGATTCAGACTGCCTCAACGCGTCGTAGAGTTGAATAGACTTGATAGCATAGTCTCGAACGCGAGGAGCTGCCTCTCCTGCCCGCTTAAACACAGGGATACCGAGCATCATACCTAGTGGAATTATGGCTGGGAGTGTGGTTCGAAATGGCGCCAGAGGAACAAGTTGTTCCAAATCGTGCAAGTATCCGTCTTTCTGTATCCGATGTCAGCACAGCTCGTCAATACCTGTAGTTCATGACTATCATACTGTACCGCGTTCCACTGCTCCGAACGACTGTCCAAATGATAGTTGACCAATGATGTCTGATGCCATAAACAGCCACCACTTGGATACATCTACCGCCCCATTTTCGTCCATTTCTTTGGCAATACCTTGAATGGCAAGATCAACCTTGGATCGCACAGTAGCTGCGTGTGTCGACATGAGTGCCGATTCGGACATTGGCGCAGAGAGCAACCTTCGGTACCGACGGTGCATATCAATGTTTCGAGTGCTGAACACATTTTCAATGCGGACAGTTGCGAGTTTGGCGTACCAGGGGGACTTTTTGTATGATTCACGCACGTTGTAGATTACCTTTACGGCTGCAATGTCGGTAAAGTGCACTTCCCCAGGGGCGACACGAACACATGGGCCTAGCGCGCAGAGGTTTGGTTATTTTTAATACAAAATAGTTTATAACTTAGATAACGTACCGTATTGTTGGTGCAGTCTATGGACATAGAATGCCCGTTGGCCGCGGAACCACTGGTACTTGAGCACAAGACTCGTCCATTTGGAATACCATGGTCCGGGAAGTTCAGAAATCGGACTGATCAATACTTTGAAAATTGACTATGACAATTAGAGAGAATAATACACTAGAGAATAGATTTTCTGTAAATATTGGAAAGGACTTACGTAGACAATAACACCACAACCCACACCAGCAACAATTCGGAGGGTTGTGCTAGCGTCAGCGACAAGCTTTAGAAAAGCAGCCATTGCAAAGGCGGTTGATCAGATTGGAAGCAAGACAAATGTTAAGCACAAATAAATGGTGAAGTAAGAAAGGAAAAGCGGCAGCTGATTAAAAATGGCAGCGCCCTCTGCGCTCGAAGCACGTGTAGCAGGCCCTCGGACTTTTCTTGTGCCGAGCATAGGGTAGGTAGGTGTTTGCGCTATAGCTGCAAACTACTGTGCAACCAAGAATAACACTTTTATGAAATTTATTTGTTTACGAGGACAAAAATAAAATTTTAATATAATAATAGTTTAAAACTAAAAGACTGCATCATCACCACGCCTTATCTAAACCTAGTACTTTCTACCAAATGCATTGTAGCCCGACTTCCACATATCCACGGCGCGCTTCGTCGCTTCATCCAAGTCTTCCTTTGGAAGCCCCAAAATATCACTGGCTAGACCGTGCATCTTTTCTAGGTTGGCATCACCATTGGGAAAGTGTCCGCGCGCATAGAGCTGGGTTACAAAGCCTGTTCTGTCACTGGGGCTCATGGCCTTGCGTCCGCGCTCCCAGCGCGCCTTGGACGGCTCGTAGCTAATCTCCCAGTCTGCATCAGTGGTGCCCATGACGCGCTCCACGCTGTTCAACATGTCTCTCTGGGAAATCAAGAACGACGCAATGAAAAGTGGCTTATTGCGCCAGTGGGAGAGGGTCATGGACTTGTCGTTCTCGTCCTCAGGCAGAACTTTGAGGCTGACCAGTGCCGCCGCGGCCCTGCCACACTGCTGCCATGTGGTTGTATTAATCTTGGTTTCTCCATCGTCAAAGAAGGTAACTTTCTTCTTGTTAAAGTCGAAGCCCCAGGCCATCTCACCCACGGTAAGTGAGTATTCATACCAAAATTGGCTGACCATCATGACCCAAGACGACACTCCATTATCCTCCACAAGCTTGATACCGTCATGAAGACTCTTCTTGGTAAGACTGTCGGTAATGATGGATTCATTGGTAGGATCATTACCGTATCCGTTGGGCATAATCCAGGACACTCCAGCTTTGCCTGCCGCGTTGACAAGCTTGGCCTGGGTGTCGGGTGGCGCCTGGAGGGCAAGAGAGATGATGAGGAATTGTTGTCCAGTCAAAGCTTTGACAAGTGATTCTTCACTATCATAGTCGACTGCAGCAACCTCTACTCCCTTGGGTAACACGGTTTGGCTACCTATGCGCGAGATGGCAGTGACGGTGTGCTTGCCCGTTTTAAGAAGTTCTTGGACCATTAGCTGTCCAACCTGTCCACCGGCCTGCAGAAAACTATGTATTAGCCAGGGTTTTGTAAGACGATAGAGGATGGCGTGAAAATACATACACCCACAATGGCGACTCGGGAGATGGTGTTGTCATAGCCGCTAGGCTGGTTCTTTGCGTACTGGGCTGCCATGGCGGTAGAGTATGGGGCTTTTACAGCAGAGCGATGTTGTTTTGAGAATCGAAATGATTTGTTCGATGATATGATAGGTGATGTGATGCAGCGTATGAAGAAGGTAGCTCTTGCCCTAAAATATTGCATTCGAAATGCCACTTAGCAGCACTGGCACTGTGACATCATTTGATCTCTAGGCATATGAATAAAACTCTGCAAGGTCTCTACCTCGGAGATAGGATTGTAAAGACCGAGTGTCTACCTCTTGGATGCTTCTAGCTACAATATGATCAAGTAAACAGACCCTTCTGTTGGCAGCGCTCCACCAGTTCCAGTCAACGGAGCTAAGGCTATCTCCCCAAAAACAGCTGCAATGGGAGCCTTGCGTCGGATGTAGGAATTACGTGTGACCAATACATTGGATCGTAGTTGAACGGACATAATTATGCATCGAAAATAGTAGCCCCGAGCCGGCCGTCTGGTTTGCCAAGAACGGAAACTCCTACCACCGTGGCTCAAAAAGGCAATCGGTACCACCGCCTCTGGCCGACAGCCGGGCGGGGGTTTGTATTTCCCGATCTGGCGAGTCGATCCACGATCACAACGGACCGACCGCTGTGTGGCTACCAGGGCCACCATCTGGTGCACCTGGCGCACCTGGCAGCCAGTCCATACGTGCCGCTGGCAATCTGGCATCCAGAACCCAATCCTTCCAATTCATCCAACTCTAAACCCCCCAACAACACAACAGCCACGTTTTAGGGCGTCGTCATCTCCACTGTCCCTTCTACAGTTCACCATACTGTGCCACGCCATCCCGCGGCGCTAGTCGTCAATCAATGTGCCGTGATTGGTTCACTACAAGCCGATTGATACACCAATGCCGAGAAAAATCGAGAACGACCCCGAGTTTGATCTATTTGCCTAGCTAACCCCGCGCCCTCGCCGGGTAATCAATCAGTTCGCCAATCAATCAGCCCCGGTTTGCAAACGACAGTACAAGCTGCGCACGCGCTAAGTTTAGTCCTCGAGCGAGAGCGACTTTGTATTCAAGACGTTGGTCCAAACAGTTTGAATGGTGTAATGGTGGCATTTTCAACATCCCAAACTCCCGCTTTAGCCAAAGGATCGTTCTCCACAATTGAACGAACCTCCTCCTCTCCGCCAGACAGCCGAAATACGAGCACACTGCCTGTGACACTCATCGCGGAGGTACCGACGGGGTGTTCTGTAAGCGTTGGTCCAGACAACACAAGAACCCCGGATTCTCTGTTAGGCTGGTGGTAGGCCATATGCGCTGCAGCATTCTGAAATCGAGTGGCCAAAACGCCTGGATTGTATTGTAGCTGAACGAGCCAGTCGAACTTTGCTGCCATGTTGTTGGTGTGGGGTACGGTTATTTGGTCGGAGAGTTTGTCGTTTGCAGACTTTGCGTGATAATACTTCAGGCACTCGTATATCGCAACGCTCTGCTAAGGGACGGGGCATTGATGTCTATTAACTAATGCGTGTATGTAAGGCGCTCGAACCATGGCACCATAGCTAACAGGAAAAAAAAGTCCGAGATGTAGCCTAGTAAGGCGTTGCATCACAACATATTCGTGCAGCCCGGGATTTCAGCACTGCCGCGCTAGTATTCGCATGTGTCGGTGCCAGCCAGTTGCTGGGTTGATTTCTGAAAGTGGAAATATTATGGCGATTCGCGGCCAAGAAATGTGGTACGTAGATCGGTAACTCTGCACATGCATGCTCGATGAAAAATGGTCTTCGCTAAAGCGCGCACAGCTACAACGTAGCATTGCAAATACAATCATCCGCGCTCAGGGAATTTAGCCATTAAAGGCAGGGGCCATAGATGACTTGTTTGTATATTACGGCCCAAATTGCAAGCCTCGTTTGCGAACGATTGTCGATTTAATTCACCATCGAACGCACAAGACATCGGAGAGCCTAGCTCCACTCCGCTATCGCATGGGAGGAGAGCAGGGGTATTGGTAGCCTGTCGTCCCCTGTGCCACTTGTTACGTATTGTAATAAGGGGCTGTACTCTGGCTATGTCCTAGTCACAAGGCCAAAGTGTGCGATGCCGCGGTTCAGTTTTACGGCGTACGAGCTGAAATGTCATATGCAAGTCTATGCGCCACAGCCCGCAGGTCATCCAATCAGCGCCAGAGCGATACAAATGCTAATACTTGTTAGTTGCTGGAAGTAGATAAAGGCGTCTTCTAAATGTGTTCTTCGTTCAAAAGCGCCATGCCTATACGGCAGACAACGGGGTGGCTTTGTGGGTTATCTGATCATAGTCAAGCCACAACTTCAGCTGAACGGCATCGGATATGTACATGGTGGTTATTCTGCTTGGATATGAAAGACTACCCGTAACGCTAGTGCCATGAGTGTTACACGGAGCAAGCCATTGGACAACGCTAACGGACTGGCTATGGGTGTAAGGCGGTCTTGGAGCCCTACCAATTCCCAATGCCAGCATGTCGCGCCTGGCAAAAGCCTTATACGGAGATTTTGTGCAAAGAAACAGTTGCTGTGTAGCATGAGGAAGTTAGCAAGCCCGCTCTCCGGCAGTCGATGCTGCAAGTGTAACTACGTGGACCAGAATAAATGCTCTCAGCCAGCATGATTCCCGATCCTGGCCAAGAAATCATATGCACACTGATTAAGAACCCGCATGAAGTTGAGATGCAACGCTTACGCACTTCCATCCAGCCTGAACGAAATCCTTTGCACCGCCAAACGCCGCTAATCCGTGCCGCTAGCAGTGCGGCTGTTGGCGCTTTGGAACTCAGGGCTCTACGGCTGTTGATACTTAAATTTGGGTCCATTTCCCTTGCGCCAGTTGCTATGATCGATTCGGCTTTGGATCCATTTAGGAAAGTCTTCTTGCCGGAAGCGGTCCCGCTTTGAAAGCCGTCTGTGCATCGAAAACCTTGCGATATCATCGTTGCCACACCTGCAGAGCTCGCGATACTGCTTATTAGGCCACCACTCGCTCAAGCCCTACCGTCATCCAGTATATCCTAAGCCTTCAGCCATTTTTATTTTTTACACTTGGCACTCTTTAGCACTTCTTTCTCTTTCTTTATGGACTGCTACTGTGTCATGCATACTGAGGAGAATTTCCCCAATCCAGTGTCTACTTATGCCATGACGGCCGCTTTATCATCACGAGGCAGACAGAGACTCGCGTGTCAAGAGTGTCGCCGTCGTAAGCTTCGCTGCGACGGAAAACAACCGCGCTGCTCCACCTGCGAGCAATCTGGAGCACAATGCGACGTCAACACCGATAGACCGCCACGAGGCCCGAAAAAGGGTTATTTGAAGGCCTTGCAGAGCAAAATTGGTTAGTACTACAGTTTTTCTTTATTTTACTGCACCGAAATCTGGATCAACTTTTTTGTTGTTGGCGGAAGATACTTGTTAGCGGAACGCATTGTCAAATATGCAAGCCTCTGAATGGACTCCCCAGCGTTGCTTGCGACGCTACAGAAGTCAGCTAGCTGCACGGTGCTGCATTGCAATGTCATTATTGAATTTTCCCAAAAGAGGAAAACAGAAACTCCGCCCCGCACACAACTTCTTTATCTGATCAAATTCTCATGTTTCCTCACTCAGTCTGTCAAGGACAATCAACTGACAATACTCCAAGATACACTTGAAAGCCGTTTGCATGCACAGGAGCAGAGCCAACTGAAATGGCCAGACAGCTTAGACCATGGCGATGGCTCCTTTCCAGCCATTACAATGCCACTAGTGACCATGGCTGGAGGTGAGACAGGTGGTCCCGATGCCGGGCTACTGGGAATGCCCGAACATGACCCCTTTCTCAGTACATTTATGGACATGACTTCAGTCCATACTGCACCCTCACTCATATCGGACCACACTTCTATATCATCTCTTGCAGGCACAAGCTGCACCAGCTTCCATGTTACAGACGCAATGCAGGCTGAGTTGTAAGTTGTTGTTTTTTAATTGTACTTGTTCATGCGCTATCCCCTCCCCTACCTACCACCACCACTAGTGTGATCTCGTATTTCTATACGACGGCACTTCGCAGTGATACCCATGTGTCCCCCCCATGGACTACCCACGCTGATCAAGGTGTTTAGGGATCAGTTGTACTTTGATAGAATTCACACTGCCGTTCCAATTCTGCATCAACGACGGTATTTATCATGGTCAAGGTCACCAACCAAAAGCAAGTCCCAGACATGTCTACAGTATGCGGTTTGGATTGCGGCGTCACTCATGTCAGTACAATTCCAGCATCTTCAAGAAGTGCTATATACAGAAGTGAGACGCCTACTGGCTGGGATCAGCCTTCCAAACTGTGGTGGACAGAAGCTGGATTCAGATGTTGAACTTGTGCAAGCTTGGGTACTCGTCTCTACATACGAGTTTGCCAAGACATATCGACATGAAGCAAGCACAAGCGCTGGCCGTGCATTCCGGCTCGCACAGCTGATGGGGTTGCACAAGGTTGATGCACCTCTGCGCTGTCCTGAAGATGGTGATGAAGGAGACCTTGTTGCTATTGAAGAGAAGCGCCGCGTCTTCTGGATGTCATTTACTATTGAGACGCTCTACAGCATGCGCAATAGTTTGCCGCTTGCCATTAACGAGCAACCGGTAAGGATGCCACTTAAAGATTTCACAAAGGGAAAAGCCCACCGTTAACAAGAAGAGAATAGATAACAACCCTATTGCCTCTGCCAGACCATGAGTTCCAAAACGGCCAGTTCCGTCGCACGCGGATGGTCAGTGAATCCTTGGTCAGTCGAAATCAGGATATTCGCTCCTCTCAAAATGAGTGCATCCTGCTTTTGGCCATGTGTACCCGCACTCTATTCCATGCACAAAAGTTCACCAAGCAGATTGAAAAGGTAGATTCTGAAGAAGACGACTCGCCTGTCTGGTGCAAATGGCTTGATGATACGTTGGCGTTGCGTCTCCAAGTGCTTGCGCATGACTACCCTTCGCCCATCAGCTCCTCTGACCCAACTCTACTTTTTGCCAACTTCTTGGCACAATCATCCATTATATATCTCTGGAGAGAGATGCGTGAGATGGAAGCTGCAGCTGGTCCTGACGCTGAATGCCCAGTTGTTGCGGAATACCAGCGCCGCTCTTTTGGCGCTGTGGAGCGTATGGTTGAGCTCACCCGATCACTTACTACTTTTCCATCATTCAAGGTGAGGCCGCGTAACCCTGAAAAATAAAATAAAATGAAAACTGAGCTAGTACTAATTTTTGAAATCTAGATTAATCCGTTTCTACGTATTCCACTTTTTCTTTGCGCGGAGTTTCTGTCATTGAACCGGCCGAGTCGCCAAGCGGAGGCTCTCATTCAGAATTTGTTAGAGGTTGTTCGCCAGCTGAAGAGTATGGAAGCGTACCAGCAGGGCTATTTTGGGCTCGCAGACCTGGATCGTATTATAGAAGCGTTGCATGTATGAATTTTGAAAGACCAGATTATGACATCTTTTTGCAAGCGTTTTGTACATTGAGCCCAGGAGCAGAGAATATATAAGGAACAATATCAGAGCAGTGAGACTAGAACGAAATTGGACGGTATTACATGTAAGCAGCTAGTATAATATTCTCAGATTAAACAAGTAACTATTACTAGAAGGATTTTCCCATATACTGTTCAGGCTACCTCCTGTGGCTTGGGTCGCTTGAGCAAGTCGCCAAGAGTCTTACTGGCTCGCTGGCGGATTTGCTCGCCCAGGATGATACGCCCACCAGAACCATCCAAAGTTGGGGCGTCCAGCTTGAGGTTTCCATTGAGAAAAAACGCCACGCTGTAGCGGTTCTTGTTGGTAGTGAGAACGCGGTGGCGAGCACTGCGGTAGTAACCGTTGGTGTAGCGGTCCATAGTGTCGCTGATGTTGATGACATAGGCATTCTCCTTGGGAGGCACGGGAATCCAGGCTCCTGTAGGAGGGTAAAAGACTTCGAGACCACGTGTACCGAGTTCCTGCAGGAGGATAGTCAGGCAGCCAAAATCAGTGTGATCAGCGACTGGCATAATGTCAGTCACTATTCTAGATGAAGTATTTTCGAGAGCACTACTCACCACCAAACTGATTCTCATGTCTTTCGGGCTGGGGCGCATAGTGCAGCATTCTCATGGGAATGGAAGGGTTCTCTGCCAGAACGTCGAGTACGTCGTCCTTGCAGTTCCACTCTTCAGGAAGACCTTTGCGGAGAATCTTGAGCAAGGTCTTGACCAAGTTGACCATTTGGTCTTGGTACTCCATAATGGGCTTGCGGAATTCGTCGTCAGGCAGTGACTTGGGCCATAGATTGGGACCGACTGAGAACGATCCAGCGTCGGGGTGATCAGCTGGGACTTCCGCGCCCACAACAAATGTCTATAAACAATTTTGTGAGTACATAACATATATATAAGATATAATGGGAAACTTACCTCTTTAGTATCGGGTAGAAGACCCTCGTGGTGCGTCTGGATAAGCGACGGCTCGTAGCCACGGAATGATTGGCCCATGGACTTGCTGACGCTAATCTCCATGCGCTCCTCAAGCGGGAGGGCAAAGAACTTTTTGGTGAGATCAAGCATCTGCTGTCTCTTTTCAGGCGTCACGCCATGGCCAACGGCTTGGAAGAAGCCATATGTGGTGGCAGCGTGGTGAACCTGCTCGACGACACTCTGCTTGGCATCTTCCGAGGAGCCAGGGAGCAGCCATGGGCTAATGTCGATGGTAGGTATATAGTGTTCAGCTTCAGCAGTCATGATGAGCAGATGATACTTGCAATGTGGCAGGGTTTAAGCTAGTGCAATTTGCAGACTACAGGTTTACTAGAATCTACATGGTATACTCCCGTTTTATTTGATAGCTGGGAAGGTCTATACTCGGTGTATTCAGGTCGGGCCTACATCATTCTCAGCCCATCTATGAAAAGAAATCATGGTTTTGTACTACTGCCGGCGGCGATTCTCCTTAGCTGAAGCCTCGAGTAGCCAGACAACCAGATCTAGAAACTAAGGGCTTGGCTGCGTATGCGTCGGCAGAACATCATGCAGCCCCATGTTGCAGTGCAGCATCGACAAGAATCTAAAACGATGTGCCGAGAGATTTGCGGAAGAACAGAAGGCTATAGACCGGAGTTAATAGTACGCCACAACAAACTCTCAGCACGCATGGGCTTCCGTTTGTGTTTATAGCCGGCTCCGACAAGTACCTGTTTGGGAGATGTGTATGGCCGTTATATGCAAGCGAGGCCGGAGTTAATGCAGAGTTGTAGCGATATATGAGATTAATGTTACGTATCCTGCGTAACATCACAGTGCGGACCAAGGCAAATCGAGGAACATGGTGGCGTCCGCCTCGGCGTATCTGTTATAGCGCCTTCGGGGGCCAGACTAGGGGCTGTGGCAACCCGCCTAGAACCACTATGGACGGTCCACTGTCGTTAACCTACAGTGCCCTGTACACCCATGTACAGTGCTACAAACGTACCCCCACGCGGGCCGGACGATTGCTGCCGGGAGCGGGATTGCCTGAATAGGAAATCGTCCCAAAGTGGAAGTAGTCTCTGCCGGCGTAGGCGCGGAGTAAAACGGACGGGAGCGATAGCGATGGCCAATGACGCATATGATTTTCTAATCTGATGGTGCCGTTTAATGTGCTCGGAGTTTCAAACCTTTGCTCCGGGCTGAAAGAGACAGCGGCAGGGCAGAACCGAACTTGGTGTGTTGCGGGATGTAAGAGAGCCGAGAGTCTTAGAGAAGAGGCTACTGAAGCAGGAGAGAAAGGTAATCCCAGTCTTGGATACGTGTATTCTTATTGCATGGATGAAATTCGTTAACCGAGAATAAGACAAAGTAGCTTGATTTTGCAACACGGCAAACCATTCGTCATAGCTAGCTGATGGTGAACCATCCACACAGAGGACAGTCAAACCCTCCTCCAGCAGTGCACATAACAACTCATACACATACACAAATATTGTTCTGAATAATCCATATATCAAAATGACGGAAATCACAAAGTCAACTCCCGTCAACAGTTCTGCTTCCAGCGATACCTTGGAAGCTGCCACTCTTCCAATTGCCAGTGCAGCAGAAAAGGCACAAGACACTGAAGCCCAGCTACCCGTCGTCCCATCACCTCCTCCTAATGGCGGACGCGTAGCTTGGATCCAAGTCCTCTGCGGATTCTTGCTCTTCTTCAATACATTTGGCATTCTCACCACGTTTGGCGTCTACCAGACATACTATGAATCGCCAGAATCCCCCTTTACGCGCGCCACATCCGACATTTCGTGGATCGGATCGATTCAGGCATTTCTGCTTCAGTTTGGTGGCATTCTCGCTGGACCTTTTTTTGACAAGGGCTACCTTCGCACTCTGCTTGGCATGGGCACCTTTTTCATTGTCTTTGGCCACATGATGCTGTCCATCTCCACGGCGTATTGGCATGTGTTGCTTGCGCAGAGCTTCTGCGTTGGTCTGGGAATGGGCTGCTTGTATGTGCCCTCGATATCACTTCTACCATCGTACTTTTCCACCAGGCTCGGGTTGGCTGTTGGTCTCGTCTCGTCTGGAAGTGCAGTTGGCGGCGTCATCTACCCCATCATTCTGCAGCGCCTGATTCAGCAAGTCGGCTTTGGATGGGCAGTGCGAGTTGCTGGATTTGTCGCGCTCGTTACACTCTTGGTTCCATTGGCACTCATGAGGATGCGCATTAAGCCCTCCAAGGCGAGAGCGTTGATTGATTGGACAGCATTTACAGACCTACCCTTTATGTGGTTTACTCTGGCCACTGCTGTCGGGTTCATGGGCCTCAACGCTTTCCAAATCTTCTTTGCATTTTACGCCAAGGAGCAGGGCATCGCCAGCACAGACTTTGCATTTAACCTTGTATCCATGTATAACGGCATGTCCGCTGTTGGCCGCATTATTCCCAACGCGCTGTCCGACAAGATTGGCCAGTTCAACATTCTCGCTCCATCAATGATTGTTGCCGGCATCGTGTACTACTGTACCATTGTTACACACTCAATTGGTCCTATGATCGCCATCACTCTTCTCAGTGGCTTCTTCTTGGGTGTGTTGACTGCGTTGCCGCCCGTATGCTTTACCATCCTCACCAAGGACAAGACCAAGATTGGAACACGCATCGGTACTGGCTTTGCTATTATTGCATTTGGAATTCTGGCAGGTGGCCCTGGAGCCGGTGGTATTCTGCAGCACACGAAGCCCCTTGCCTGGACATCTACGTGGATCTTTGCTGGAACTCTAATGGTATCCTCTGGATTTATGTATGCTGCTCTGCGCTTTGCTCGCTCAGGAGGCAAACTCTGGATTAAAGTATAATTATTCTTAGATAATTAATAAAACAACACATTTATTGAGTTTTTCTATTTCTTAACTGATGAAGCACGCAGTTTGTTGATTGTCCGTCCGTATAACTCAACACTCTCCCGCATCATGCCCATAAAGTCAAATTGCCAAATCTTGAGCGTTCTGTCCATGATTTCTTCAAACACCGCATCCACTAGAACCGTCTTATTCGCAGCACCAAGGTCAGAGCTATGCTGCAAATCGCATACTCGTCTGCTACTATTGACCAGCCACTGGCTTCGTCGCCTCCTCATCTTATCAAATACCTGAAACGCCGTCTCCAGTGCAGTACTTGTGGATGCATCACCCACGCGGATGGAGCTAGATACTTCTGCTAACAGTGATGACAGACATAGGGCATCCTCAATACCCATTCCTGCTCCTGCTCCGTGATGCGGGCTGCTGGCGTGGGCTGCATCGCCAGCAACACAAATACGACGATTGTAGTAGCGGGCCAGCGGGTAGTCGTGCATATCAAATACACCAAGCACAGGAATAGTATCGGGCAGCTTGCTAATCAGGCTCTTGATTCGCGGGTTCCAATCTTTAACCGCATCCTCAAGTACAGATCGTGGACGATCTCGGGTAGTCCATGACACATCTGTCCAGTCCTCAGCGTCGTGAATAAAAACTGCAATATTCACCATGGAGCCACCAGCAACAGGGTAGTGCAGGACGTTGGCACCCGGACCAATATGATTGTGATAAATTGCTGCTGTTTCCTTGCCAAGTGCATCAATAGCTTCAGCCATGGGCAAAAGAGCACGGCAGGATTGTACATGGGCATAGGTTGGTTTGCTGGGAGGCATGCCGTCAGCGAGAATGAAGTTTCTTACTGTTGACCGGATGCCGTCACATCCAATGACTGTTTAACAGTTAGATTTATGCTTGAATCAGAAGTATCGAACACATCACACCTGCGTCGGCAAATGCCGTGCTGCCATCCTCGAACTTTAATACGAGCTTTTCATTATCACCGACATCTTGAATGTCTGCCAGCGCCTTGTTGAATCGGATCATATCAGGCGCAAACAACTTCCCAAGTTCTTCCAAGAAACTATCCCGTCGGGTGCCTTCGATTCCCTTGTAACCTGCATCAGCTTTGAGATATAGCCTCTGCCAGCCTCCTAGGGCAAGTTCCACAGTATCTTGAGCAGAAACCTTCTGGGTATCGGGAGAGCATCCATCAACCCATCGCAGATAGTCGTGAGGGTCGACAGGGTCAGCCGAAGAGAACGACACTCCGCCACAAAGACGCAGCGCTGTGATTACAGCGGGGTCAATCATCTCCATGCAAGCTTTTGCTGCCATGTTGAATCCAATTCCGGCTCCTGATTCTCGAAATGTAGCCGCTTGCTCGTAAACAGTAACAGACACGGCGCGACGGTGAAGGCCAGCTGCGAGGATGAGGCCAACTATGCCACCACCTATGATGGCAATTTCTGGTGGACTTTTCACCGATGTATTCTCATTACCATTGACCGTCATAATTGTTGGATTTGTCTCGTTTGCTCGGAGCAGGTATAGGGTAGTTGATGATACAGAAAGGGCAAGTTCAACGATCAGAGTCAACACATCAGTCAACAAATAGGACGGTCCTTTAATCGATAAAATCATTGAAGCTACAACATGGATTACGATACACCCATGACACAATACCATAGCCGTATACTGGCGTCCTCGTGTTCGGGCAATAGCGCGATGTGTCAGTTACCCTCCTCGGAGTTTCTGTATATACGAGGCTGGCAACAACCAGTTTCCCCTGGGCACTCAGCTCGATCCTCGTCGCCGTCGCTTCTCGCCTGTCTGTTCTTTCATTCTAGAGGAGCCAATGCACTATTACTTTTCTTTCACTATACTAAATTCGTATTGCTTTATACTCTATCTACAACTCTGTGCTATTGCTTCAAAAATGGGTATCACCGAGGCTACTGCGCTTCATCTTCCACGCATCCTGTGTCTTCATGGCGGTGGAACCAATGCCCGCATATTCCGCGCACAATGCAGAGCTATCATTACGCATTTGTCAAATGACTTTCGTCTAGTCTTTGCAGAGGCAGCGTTTGATTCAAAGGCCGGCCCTGATGTGCTCTCGGTGTATAAGGACTGGGGACCGTTCAAACGATGGCTCCGATGGCAGCATAGCCAACCAAACCCCGGTTCAGAAGTCATCATCGAAGCATTGAATCAGTCCCTAGAAGACGCCATGTTGCTGGACGATATGCGCGGTGCTACGGGTGAATGGGTTGGTTTACTTGGTTTCAGCCAAGGGGCAAAGGTATCAGCAAGTTTGCTATATCGACAGCAATTACAAGAGGCAGTCTATGGGATTGGCAATGCGTCTACTCAGTTTCGATTCGGCGTCATTTTGGCCGGTAGAGCACCGCTTGTCTGTTTGGACGATGATACAGAGCACTGTCAGTTTCTTCCCGCTGCATCTGCTATTACGGATGTCAAGGGATTCAAACGGCCTGAATTGAGCAACTGTGGAGGCGTGTTGACTATTCCCACATTGCATGTTCACGGCACAAATGATCCTGGATTGGACTTACACAGACAGTTGTACGAAGGCTTTTGCTCAGACGATAGCAAACGGCTGCTGATTTGGGATGGAGACCATAGACTACCATTGAAATATGGTGATGTCTCTATGCTAGCTCATGAAATACGAGAAATGGCTAGGTTGACCACCTGGTGAAATCGCCAGCATGCGGTATAGGTAGCAGCGACTTAATAAGGCTAGAATAAATGTAAATAAATTCCTCAATAGAGATTTTGGACGACCATATCTAAAAACATACCTTGGAACTTCACTTTTGTGAGTAATCGCTCTCTGGCTACCCGCCATAACGAGTGTCATCTGAAGTGGTTTCATCTTACGCACTCCCACCGGCTTGCCTCACAGAGTTGTCTAGAGACTTTTCCTGCCCAATAACAAACCTCGGATTATTTGTTATCTGCAATTGCCACGCCCTACGCGTATTCTGGGACCGATACAGGAAATTATCCAGCCGCAGATGATGCAGCCTAGAGTTTGTCCGAGGCTGCTGCACCCTGCCTGCACCCCCCACCACGCGTGCATTAACTTAGCGTGTAAGGCCATCTACGCCGGGCGCGGAATATCTCTTAGGCCTGAGAAATAGCATGATGGGAATATACCTTTAACGAGAATGATTTATCTCCATGTAGTAACAGGTAACGCCGACAGCCTCTATGGCAATCGGAAACATATGTCATCGTAAACAAGAGCATTTACTCGGGGCAACGACTGAAGCAAAGCAATAGGTTATGATATAAGTTATGAGAGACTGTTATCATCAAGACCAATTCGTTTCAAGGCAAACTCTATTCATCAGTAAGCCTCGCCATAAAATATACTCGTTACTTTACAAACACAATACTAGGCTCTTCCAAGTTATCTTCATGCCTGCCAACTCTTGTCCTTGAACAACGTCAGTTTCATTCTACCATTCAACACTTAGGGTAGAAAATTGAAATCTGCATTTACCATACGCAATACACAAGGCACATACCTTTCAACAAAAAAATATCAACTCAACCACATCACTTTACAATGGCTAGCTCTACTGCTCTCGTATTTGGTCCTCAGGCTTTGGGCTTCAATGAGACTTCATTTACAAGTCTTCGTGAGAAGCTATTCGCCAACAACCTCCAGGCCTGGGCGCTGAAAGCAGCATCTACGTTGCCCGATACATTGGCTGCTTTTCAAAGCCAATCGCCCGACTCAGACTATGGATCAGCACACACTGCCTTGGAAGCGTTTCTTAAGGGCCTGAGAACTGGTGACATTTCGTCCGCTAGCTTTCCGCTGCCAAACGCAGTCCTGTCACCATTGGTCGTCATAACACAGATTGCAGACTATGTTTCATTCGTTAAAAACGGTGACAAGTCTCTCAGTGATGACGATCGTTTGCCTGCATCCATTATTGACAAGGCTCAAGCCTTAGGTCTTTGTACTGGCATATTGGCTACTTTTGCCGTTGCCTCTGCCCAAACACTGCAAAGCTTAAAGCAATACGCGACTGTCTCTGCTCATCTCGCCATGCTTACAGGCGCTTTGGTGGATGCTGAAGATGCAAAGTCGGGCAATGCGTCTACTTCGCTCTCTGTTTCATGGGCTTCGTCCAACGCTGACGATTTGAAGACAATTCTTGGTAACTATAAAGATGTAAGTTATCCGATAACTATGTCTCCTAGAGAGTGTACTAATACGTTTATAGGCATACATATCCGTTCATATGGACGAAAGGAGAGCCACGGTCACATGTCTCCAGACCCAATCGCACAAGCTGCAGCAAGCGTTAAAAGACAGGGGCCTTCAAGTCTCCCCAGTCTCACTCAATGGCCGCTTTCACTGGACTGGCCACGCTGAAGCTGCTGAAAAGCTATTAGTCTTTGTAAACACCAACAAGAATCTTCGCTACGCTGAGATTAAGGATCTGGTTCTTCCAGTTCGTGGCAACAATAGCGGGTTGCTGCAGTCCGGAAATCTTCATGAGATTGCTATTCGCGCCATCTTGTTAGATAAGGCCCTTTGGTACGAGGCTACTGAAGCAACCTACACGGAAAGCCTTGATGCGCCCAACGCTAGAGCAATCTGCTTTGGCGAGGAGCGTGCTCTTCCACCCACTATTGCTCGCAAATTGGAGAACCGCGCATCGCACGCAACAGAGTCCATCTCATCATCACCAGCTTCTGGATTGTCCATTGCCATGGCTGGTGGTACTGACGACCGTATTGCCGTCATTGGTATGTCCTGCCACGTCCCCAACGCCGAAGACCTCGAAGAGTTCTGGCAGGTTCTGCTCAGTGGTGAATCGCAGCATCAAGAAGTCCCTACGGAGCGATTCAGCATGAATTCTGTCTTCCGCGAGATGGACCCCAAGCGCAAGTGGTACGGAAACTTTATCCGTGATCACGACGCGTTTGATCACAAGTTCTTCAAAAAGAGCCCTCGCGAGATGTCCTCTACTGACCCTCAGCACCGTATTGCTCTGCAACTTGCGTATCAAGCTGTTCAGCAGTCTGGATACTATGGCAATGCCGATACTGATAAACATATTGGTGTCTACATTGGTCATGCCAATACGGATTATGAGCACAATGTTCGCAGCTACCCTGCTAACGCGTACTCAGCCACTGGCAACCTCAAGAGTCTGCTTGCTGGTAAAATCAGCCACTACTTTGGATGGACGGGCCCTAGCTTGACGCTAGATACAGCTTGTTCGTCTTCCAGTGTGGCTATCCATCTTGCTTGTCGCGCCATTCTCAACGGCGAGATTGCTGGCGCGTTGGCAGGCGGTGTCAACATCTTGACCAGCCCCGAATGGTATCATAACCTTGCTGGCGCAGGCTTTCTCAGCATGACTGGCCAATGCAAGTCATTTGACTCCAAGGGCGATGGATACTGCCGCGGTGAAGGATCCGGACTTGTCTTTTTGAAGAAGCTCTCGGCTGCTGTTGCTGATGGTGACCAGATTCTTGGTGTCATTGCTAGCACTGCCGTTCTCCAGAACCAGAACTGCACGCCCATCACTGTGCCCAACTCTGTGTCGCTGGCTGAGCTTTTCGAGGGAGTCATTCAAAAGTCTGGCTTGAAGCCTCACGATATCACCGTCGTTGAAGCCCACGGCACTGGCACTGCTGTTGGGGATCCTGCAGAGTATGGAGGCATTCGCCAAGTTCTGGGTGGTCCTGGCCGCTCTGATCGTCTCTCTCTGACAGCCGTCAAGGGCGCTATTGGTCATCTTGAAGTCGCTTCTGGTGCAGCATCTCTCATCAAGGTCCTTCTTATGATTCATGAAGGAGCAGTCCCCCCTCAAGCCAGCTTCCAGTCCATCAACCCCGATCTTAACGCCAAGCACGAGGACAATATTGATATTCACACCTCGGTCAAGTCTTGGGATGCGACTATGCGCGCTGCTCTTATTAACAACTACGGCGCATCGGGATCCAACGCGTCCATGGTTGTTAGCCAGGGCCCCAAGACCACTCATACCAGAGACATCGATGCGATTCTGGCTGGAAAGAAGATGCCCTTCTGGTTCAGTGGCAGTGATGATGCCAGCTTGAAGAGATACGCAACAAAGCTCAAACGGTTTATCCAGCGAAAGATCAGTGCAGGCCATGCTCCTAGTCTGGCCAATTTGTCGTTTCAGGTTGCTAGACAATCTAACCGCGGCCTTTCACAGTCCCTTATTCTTCAAGCTTCGTCCATTGACGAGCTACAGAGGCAATTAGATGCTGTTGCCAATGGTATCGGAGTCGCTTCTTTCAAATCACCCGGTGCTAAGCCCGTGATTATGTGCTTTGGTGGACAGGTATCAACCTTTGTTGGTCTCGATAAGACTGTCTTTGAGAGCGTTGCCCTGCTGCGCCACCATCTGTCCAACTGCGATGCAGTCTTAACATCTCTTGGTCTTGGCAGTATTTACCCTCACATCTTCCAGACATCGCCACTTCAAGATATTGTCAAACTTCAGACATCCCTCTTTGCTCTTCAGTACTCTTGCGCCATGTCCTGGATTGAGTCTGGAGTTCAGGTGGCCGCCGTGGTTGGCCACAGCTTTGGCGAGCTTACCAGCCTCTGCGTCTCTGGCATCTTGTCACTAAAGGATGCCATTCAGTTAATTGCCAAGCGCGCGTCCCTTGTTCAAACATCGTGGGGTAGCGAAAGCGGTTCGATGATGGCTGTGGAAGGTGATCTCGCTGTAGTCGAGAATCTCGTCTCGACTGTGGCCAAGTCCACTTGCAAGGATATTTGCATTGCTTGCTACAATGGTCCTAGAAGCTTCACTCTTGCTGGGTCCTCTGAGGTTATTCATTTTGCTGAGCAGACTCTCAAGACCGAAAAGGCATTTGAAGGAACCCGAGGCAAGGTGCTCAATGTTACCAACGCTTTCCACTGCAGCCTTGTCGATGCCATCGCAGCCGATCTCGTTGCGTTGAGCAAGACTCTTGTCTTCAAGTCGCCAACGATCCATCTTGAGCATGCTTCCAAAGAATCAGCACCCGCTCATCTCCCAGAAGACTACATTTACCAGCACCTTCGCAACCCGGTCGACTTCAACCAGGCAGTTGAGAGACTCTCCAAGAAGTACCCCGATGCTGTCTTCTTGGAAGCTGGCTCCAACTCTACTATCACCAACATGGTTGGCAAGACAATTGGCGCAGCGAATGCTGACAAACTGTTCTCTGTCAGCATCACTAGCGAAGCTGCCCACACAAACCTTGTCGATGTCACAACCAAGCTATGGCAAACCGGACTCCCAGTTACCTTCTGGGGTCATCACAAGCTCCAAACACCCGAATACAAGCCCTTGCTTCTACCACCATACCAGTTCGAAAAGTCAAGACACTGGCTTGACATCAAAGAAGTTCCTACTACTGTTGAGGCTCCCACTCCCGCTACAGCCCCAGCTGAGATTGAAAAGGGTCTTATCAACTTCTTTGGCGTCCTTGATGAAGCAAAACGCGAAATGAGATTCAAGGTTAACACCTTAGCACCTGAATTTGTGAAGCAGGTTGACTCGCATATCATGGCAAAAACCATCGGAGTCATGCCTGGTATGCTTCCTGTTGAGCTGGCATTAGACGCAATCTCCAGTATCCGACCTGAGTTCCGTGACAGCAACTACCAACCAGAACTTCAAGGAATGATCTACTATAGTCCTCTTGTCCCTCAACACTGCAGCGCTGTCTGGTTCGATACACTGCCAACCGACGAGACAGGCATGAGTTGGTCGTGGAAGTTCGTCAGCCAAGATGGCAAAGGCACTCTTGTCAAGCATATGACTGGTACTATTGTCTTTTACTCGCCCCAGAGTGCCATGGTGCAAGGTGACTTTGCTCGTTTGTCTAGACTGGGTTCTTACAAGCGCTGCCAGCGGCTGCTGGGACCAGATGGTGCTGATGATGTTGTTGTTGGCCGAAACATTTATCGAGCTTTTGAAAACGTTATTGATTACAAAGACATCTTTAGACATGTCACCAAGCTTGTTGGTAAAGACGGAGAATCGGCAGCCCGCGTTACTCGCAGCCACGATACAGATGGATGGCTGGATTCCATCTTAACTGATTGCTTCTGCCAGGTTGCCGGTATTTCTGTCAACCTCTTCTCCGACACTGGCGATTTCGAGCATCGTGGCATCTACATTGGTGATCGTGTTGACCGCTGGATCCGTGCCCCTGGACTACGAGTTGATGCCGCCAAACCAACCGAGTGGGATGTCCTCGCCATGAGCCACCGTGAATCTGAGAGTGCGTTTGTTAGCGATGTCTTTGCTTTTGACGCGCGCAATGGTACCCTGTACGAAGCTATCTTGGGTATCCGATATAGCAACGTTTCCATGGCGGGCATCTGCAAGACGCTCAACCGCGTCATCGCTGAGAATCCAGCTCAGGCTGGCTATGCCGGTATTTCAGAAGCGCGAGCAATCCCCAATATGACATTCAATGCAACGCCACCAGCCCATACTACGAATGGACATCACTTTGTAGCCTCTCAGCATATTACTTCCAACGGTACAAACGGATTCCATACCAATGAAGCCCCTGCCAGCCCATCACCCCCCTCAACTTCCGGGGCTGATGACCCCCATATTCCAGCCAAGGCCAAGGAGATTCTCGCTAATCTGTCTGGTCTGGAGGTCAATGAGATCCAGAATGATTCCGATCTTGTAGAAATGGGCATCGATTCACTCATGGCCATGGAGCTCATCCGCGAGGTCGACGCCGCTTTCAAAATTACCCTTGATACGGACCAGCTCATGGGATTGACTGACTTCCAGAGTTTCATCACCTGTATCGGCAAAGCCCTGGGAGTCGATGTTGACGGTACATCTACATCCCAGGTCAATGGTAGCAGCCCTCAGTTAAACGGCCATACCAATGGTACTGTTGATATCAACGGGAGTGGAAGCGCAACTAATGGTCATTCCAATGGTCATGTTAGCGGTGGCCTGCCCTCGGAGATCGTCCATAATGTATTCCGTGCCACCAAGGCGGCTACTGACGATTTTATTGTCAAGTACAAGATGGCAGACTACTACACTAAGGTCCGCCCCGTGTCGACGATGTTGTGTGCTGCATACATTGTTGAGGCCTTTGAGAAGCTCGGCTGCCCCATCAAGGCTGCCAAACCTGGACAGGTGCTCGCCAAGGTCTCGCATCTTCCTAAGCACGAGAAGTTTATGAAGGAACTATACAAGATTATCGGTCCCCAGGAAACTGGACTGGTTGATCTTGTTGGCGACGATATCATTCGCACGACTGTGTCTTGCCCTACTAAGTCAGCTGATGCTTTACTAGAGGATGCGCTCCGAGACGAGCCGGACCATGCTCCAGAGTTTAAGCTCTCAGCACTTACTGGCTGCAAGCTTGCCGAGTGCTTGACCGGAAAAGAAGACGGACTCCAGATTATCTTTGGCTCTGCTGCTGGTCGTAAGACCGTCTCTGATGTCTATGCTGTCGCACCTCTCAACTATACATGGATTGAGCAGGCAGCTTCATTCCTCCGAGAACTACTCACCCGTCTTCGTGTCAACGGGGAGCCGATTAAGATTCTCGAGATGGGAGCGGGTACTGGTGGAACTACCGCAACACTTGTCCCGATGCTGGCTGCCCTTGGCGTGCCTATTACATATACATTTACCGACTTGTCTTCGTCGCTGGTTGCCGCGGCTCGCAAGCGCTTCAAACAGTACCCATTTATGCAGTTCCAGGTGGTCAACATTGAAGCTGCCCCCGAAGCAAAGCTTCTTGAAAGCCAGCACATCGTCCTCGCCAATGCTTGCGTCCACGCTACACGTTCGCTGCCCATCTCTCTTCGCAACATCCGCCAGATGCTGCGCTCTGATGGTCTCCTCATGCTTCTTGAAGAGACTGAGCAACTTCCTTGGGTTGACTTTGTGTTTGGTCTGCTTGAGGGCTGGTGGCTGTTTGAGGACGGTCGTGTCCATGCCCAGGTGTCCGCTGAACACTGGGAAAAGGACCTCCGAGGTGCTGGTTTCGCTCATGTTGACTATACTGACGGTCAGCGGCGTGAGGCTCAGGTGCAGCGTGTCATTTTTGGATTCGCCTCCGATATAAGGTACGATGGCAGCGCTGCTCAGACTGCGTATCCAATCACATTGTCTCATGCAGAGCTGACGAATGCCACAGATCGGAGACGAATTAACGACGGATTCATCCTCAAATACACCGCTGACTTTACGCTTGCTAGTTCAGAAGCAGCATCGATAACACGAAGCTCCACGGTTGCTAAGGAGAAATGTTTGTTAGTCACTGGAGCCACGGGTAGTCTGGGATCGCATATTGCATCGTCGGCTCTCCAAATTCCTGGAGTGACAAAGGTGGTTTGCATGAACCGTCTTGGTACGGTAGACATCACCACGAGACAACACGACGCCTTTAGGATGCGCGGGATAGACATAGATACCGATGCATTAGCCAAGCTCAAGATTATTGGTACCGACACAAGCAAGATCCGTCTTGGTCTATCCGTTGACGATTATCGCGATCTGGTACAATCAGTTACGCATATTATCCACAACGCTTGGCCGATGAGCTTAACACGCACGACTACGGCCTATGAGCCACAGTTCCAGGTCATGCGCACTCTTATTGACTTTGCGCGAGACTGTGCTGCCACTAGACCGCCTTCAGATCGCATCAGTTTCGAGCTCATTTCCTCCATTGGAGCAGTTGGCTATTATCCCATCTGGACTGGACAGTACTTGGCTCCAGAGCTTCCAACTACCGCCGATACAGCCCTACCAGTCGGTTATGCGGATGCAAAGATTGTGTGCGAAAGAATGCTGGAAGAGACACTGCGACGCTATCCAGACAGATTCCGCGCTACTGGAGTGCGCATTGCGCAAATCAGTGGCTCACGAACCAACGGGTACTGGAATCCGATTGAACACTTTTCATTCTTTGTCAAATCAGCACAGCTTCTCAACAGTCTCCCGAACCTACCTGGCACGATGTCTTGGTATCCAGTCAATGATGTTGCCAACTCGCTGTTGGATATTCTCATGTCAGAGGCAGATCCTTATGCGATTTACCAAATTGAGAACCCAAGTCGTCAGCCGTGGGCACCAACAATTCGCATTCTAGCTGATGAGTTGAACATCCCAACAGAAAACATGATCCCTTATCAAGACTGGCTCGACAAAGTACAGAGCTGCGATGCACCCATCGCTGATAACCCCGCCAAACAGCTCATGTCCTTTTGGGAGACGCATTTCCTACGCATGTCGACCGGACCACTGATTCTTGATACAAAACATAGTCGTGAGCATTCAGAGACTATGCGCAACAGCAAACCGATTAGTGAAGAACTTATTCGCAAATACCTTCGTCGTTGGAAGGATGCTGGCTTTCTGGCCAAGTAGTGCTTAAACAGTCAATGGTGGTTAAACTTTCGGAAACATGGACAGAAGATTTTGGTGTCACGGAGTATTGGCGTTTTGTGTTTTTCTTGTTTTGATAACGGGTATAATATTTTGGCTTCTTTTCCTTGTCTAGTAATTCATAAATTCACGTTCGTTTTTAAAAATGTTTTCGCGTCTTAAACGTTGAGCTCGGCAGTAGTAGCACCCTTGATGTACTCAGCGTAGGGAGCAAGAGCCTTCTCAACAGCACCGCCAGGTCCGCAGTACTTGTCGACAATCTCGGCACTGCGGCCAGTGTACAGTTCGGCGTTGAGCATACCGTCCAGCTCGCCCCAGATGGGCTTAAAGAACTCTTTGTTGCGGATGCGCTCGACAAGGTCGTTCGGCTTACCCTCGTTCTTGACAACGGCACCGGCCTCATGGGAGAGGACACGGATCTCTTCGTGAGCATCCTGGCGAGAGACACCCTGGGCACAGAGGCGCATAATGATGGTCTCGGTGATCATGAAGGGGAGCTCGGACTGGACGTGGGCCGCAATGCGCTTGGGATAGACGACGAGGCCGTCGGTGATGTTGTCGAGGCCGATGAGGATGGCATCGGCGAGGAGGAAGGTCTCGGGGATGTCGATACGACGGACGGCGGAATCATCGAGAGTTCTCTCCACTGGTTCGGTATTAGCAAAGCGTTCAAATATCAGAACAGGAAATACCTACTCCACTGGTCGGCGTGGGTAGCCTGGAAAGACGCGGGCTTGCTGAGAAGCTCGCGAGAAAGGGCGTAAACACGCTCAGAACGCATCTATTACACGTTAGTGATTATCCTCACCAAAATCGCATTCTGCTAAAGGGGCTGTTTCTTACGGGGTTGCGCTTGTAGGCCATGGCGGAAGAGCCAATCTGGGAGCTCTCAAAGGGCTCCTCAATCTCCTTCCAGTGGGCAAGGTGGCGGATATCACCAGTGATCTTCTGGGCAGAGGAGCCAAGGCCAGCAACGGCATTGGCAATAATCAGGTCGACCTTGCGAGTGTAGGTCTGGGTAGAGACCTCGTAGCAGCTGGGGAAGCCAAACTTGGCGCAGAGGAGCTCGTTGAGCTTGTCGCACTTGGCAGAGTCGCCCTGGAAGACTTCGAGGAACGAGGCCTGGGTACCGGTGGTTCCTTGGGCACCACGGAACTTGAGCTCGCTGCGGACCTGCTCAATGGCGTGAAGGTCGAGCATGAGGTCCTGGGCCCACTGGGCAGCACGCTTACCAACAGTGATGAGCTGGGCGGCCTGGAGATGGGTATAGGCGAGAGTGGGCTCGGCTGTATTCAGAGTCAATATATATATTTCGGTGGTTGTTGTTCAGTGGCTGGGTAAAACGTACTCTTCCACTTGAGAGCAAAGGCGGACAAGTTGGAAATGACCTTGGCGAGCTTCTTGGAGAGAAGGTCGAGAGCCTCGCGCATGAGGATGAGCTCGGCGTTGTCAGTGACGAAGCAGCTGGTAGCACCTAGAATTCAAAGAGGAAAATTTGAGTATTCGTTGTTTGAGTATTCAAGTCGAGAAGAAGCGGCGTACCGTAGTGGATGATGCCAGCAGCGGCGGGGGCAACAACACCAAAGGCGTGGACGTGCTAAGCAAACGTTAGTAGATGTATCGTATGTGTATGTCGTATTGTTTGAGGGTCTTACAGCCATAACATCCTATTTTATCATCGACGGTTAGCATCATGTTCATACAGTATTAGAGGGAATAAAAACTGTTGGGAAACTCACGTGGCGGCGCTTCTTCTCCTCAACGCGGGCAACCTCAAAGTCGGCATCAGAGACAATCAGATGAGCCTTCATCTCCTCCAGAGCCTGATCGGTGATAGTGTCAATGCCAATCTCACGCTCGCTCTCCGCAAGACCGAGCCAGAGCTTGCGCCATGTCGAGTGACGAGATCGCTGGCTGAAGAGCTGGGACATGGCGGGGCTGCAGTAGCGGCCAGTCAGCGAAGTCTGGTAGCTGTCGTAGGGCGAAGTAGTGGAAGCCATTGTGAATTGATTTTTCCAAGTGATTTATTTTTCAAAAGGAAAAAAAAGGGAGATGATGTGACGGGTATGAATTGGTGACAAAACTGTAAAAGAGGGAAAAAAGCGGTTGTCACGAAAAATATTTTTTAAGCTTCCCCAAAACAGTTGCCCCTCCTCGAGTCAGCGGGGTAAAGTGGACGGAGACGCTCCGGTTCCCCCCGTAGTAACCCGCTCGAACAGCAATTGGCCAATTTAGGCAAGTCAGGTAATTGGAGGCTTCTTTATTGGGATAAATAGCCACAATAAAAAACATCTTTTTTAATATGATAGCATTATGATAGAATGTTGGTTTAAAAGCCGCTCGTTTCGTTTACTACAATAGGCAGCCGGTTACAGAGAAAGATGGACCTTACTTCAACTAAACATGTAGTCTGTCACGTAGCTGTCTAGGTAGTACGAGAAAAGTTCGCTAAACGTGATGCTATTGTTGACTGTTCTATATATGAGATAGAAAAAAGACAACAAACTTGAAGGAGGACAAATTCCTTTCCTCCTTCCACAGTTCACTTCTCTATTTATATACAAGGTTGTTGTGGTTCTGCCAGCTGGCGGCTTTCCTTTGCCAGCTGGCAAACACTTGTTGTTGAAACTTCTCTATTGGCCAGTTAGCAAACGAACACGTTGCGTAGCAACTATTTCGACATTATAACTGTCGTAAGTGTTGTGACCGATAGACTATAGAGCGATCCAGCAGGTCGTGACATAGTCCCGATGCAATATAAGGTTCCCGTTTTGTTCAATAGTATATAAGGGAACTCCATTGGTCCACTAACCGAGCCCCAATGCACGCCCGCAAAAGTGTATTGAAACAAAAGCGTTAGTAGACGCTGATTGTTAATACTGCGCTAGACAGAAATAGTATTGTTTGTTTTATTGTTTGTTTCCATGTTCAAGTCTTGTAGCATACATATGCCGTCATTTCCGTGGTTGAGGCTTGCAGGACGCGCGTGCAAGACAAACATTCCGCAACTCTGCCCCTAGTTTATTACTGTCTGCCTAAGCTACATGGCTCCCACTTGTAATTGGCTAAGTCAGGGGAAACAATGTTACAAAACCGGAAACTTGCTCCGCAAACCCAATTGATATGTTTTAACCCTGGTAACTCGACCCCTCTGCCAGCTGTCACTTGATGCTTCGATCCACTGTATGCTGCACCTCTACAGCCTAGTCTACATTCAGGGTTGCGGCTCAATCTCCCAATCTCGTTGCGTAAAGAATTATGATATAGGTCATCCCCTCCCTCTAAAATAGCCCAGTCAACTGGTAACAGGCTCCTTAGTTGATGTATTGCCATCGCCACACAATTTACTATCATGGCTTCACTGGAAAAGCATAGTTCTACAATTATGCCCCCGGCGACTCCTGTATCGGCACGCCTATCGAACTCATCTTATAGCAAGCGCATTGCAGAGCAAGCAGCCAACCAACCAACTAATCGCCAACCACCCAACGGGCATCTCCACAAACAACCAACCACGCATGTATAAGTTACAAAAAAAGACTATCCTTTCTAGTTAAACTAACTAACAAGTCTCACAGACCACTCCTACGAAGCTGCTATGACGACGCCACCCCAACACAACAGAGCACAAGCAGCATTATTCTGACAGGCTTCGTGCGCCCACTGAAGCTACTTGTACTTTCACCGGTCGTCTTTTTCTTTTCCTTATATATATCCTTTGTTTTTGGCGTCGTTTATCTTTTGTATACTACGATCCCAAGCGTCTTCACAACACAATACAGTTTCGACCCAAGTCAGATCGGTCTCGTCTATCTAGCTCTAGGCGCTGGGAACATTCTTGGATGGCTTGTTACCACACTTTACTCTGACAAGCTTGTAGTGAAGCTTGCAAAAGCCAATGGCGGTGTATTCGAACCAGAGATGCGTCTTCTCATTAGCATCTATTTTGGAGTATTTCTTCCAGTCACCCTCTTCTGGTATGGGTGGAGCGCATATTATAATGCGCCACTAGCATCGACCATAATAGGACTGATACCCTATGGATTCGGCATCATGGGGCTATTTCTTCCTATTACAACGTACATTTTGGACAGTTATCCGCTTTATGCGACTTCTGCCATTGCAGCCAATGTCATTTTGAGAAGCGCTGTCGGTGCACTATTGCCACTAGCTGGACCCCCAATGTACGCATCACTTGGACTTGGATGAGGAAACACTCTTCTCGGGTTAATTTGCATCTTGATGATTCCTATTCCTCTTGTATTTTACAAATTTGGAGCAAGGCTACGCAAAGCACAAACTTTTAAACCGTAAATACGGTTTACACTCAACCATGGGGTGTGAATCATGCATACGACTTCGACTAAGACATCTAACCTATACAGCTGTACTGGAAAAGATTATCTTCAAATGCGACTTTATTTCATATTATTTTTGACATTTATATGTACAAGTATTATCAGCACGCAAACTAACTTGGATTAAAACGCTGTTTTAATGTAACTGATGCGGCAAATCACACATGCCTTCGATGACATTTCGTTTAACCTCGATGCCTATTTCGACAAGTTTGCGCTACTTCCCAACATGGATGATCCCCTCTGGTTAAAGGTTTTAATTGATATCGCAACACTTAGTGTTACCATAGTTTTCAGTAGCGTCATAAGCAACTGTAAGTGTACCAGTAAAACTTTTAGGCTTGTAGAAACAAAGACTTACCATGTTACCATCTAGTCAACAAACAATTGCCACACTTCATCGAAAACCCTAAACGGTTCGATTTTACTAAGGAGCTTCCTGGTGGTATGCTAACTAATGGCATGAACGAGGCCAAGACCCCGCGAGAGCTCTCAAAGAAGTAGTGGGTTCATTTCACCACTCAAGTATTAAGACTTGCAGCGTCTAACAATTTGACAACAGCGGTATCTGGAAGGCAGAAGACCAACATGATACTGAAGCTTGGATAGGAGAGCTTCAAAAGTAGCTTCGGAAGTACAATCGCGACGCAGCCAAGGGCTTGTTAAGTGGTGATGATAACAGCATCAAAACCTTCGGCGATCTTATCGCCGATGGCAAATTGATCGAAGGCTTAGTCGACGAGAACCCGCCTGAGGGAGTTCCCTTAAAGGGCGTTGATTTCAACTTTGTGGACGAGTAGGTCATTGAAGATAACATCAAGACCACTATCTTTGGCTACACTATCCCTATCCTGTGGTTCTTGGCTGGCAAGAGACCCTTTATCATGGACAGCGGCGTTGGGTGCGATGAGATTGGCCACCTTGAAGATTACAAGTACTACATGACAGAAGATATGCAGCGTGATGCAGGTCTTTGCATTGACGGTCGTGCCTACTTCCTCGTGACGCCTGCCGATAATGAATCCGGTGTCCTTGGCGTCCCTGGTAGCGAAGGTTGGGAGAACGAACTCACCTACGGTCGTCGTTTTGATCTTTTGTCAGGTACCAGCGAACTACGCAAGGACAAAGGCTACTTTGGAGTCAAATTTGATGACATGGTAAAAGGGTGAGTCGTTTCCTTTTCTTATTAAATCTTGTATAATAACCGTATCATGATACTAACACACTGACCAGCTCTCTGGAGACATTCCGTGCAAACGGCAACAAAAATGTCGGATATAGAAACAGCGAGTTGAATGGCGCCGATTTCCTCAGGGACGCCGAACACATGGATCTCGGTATCGCTGGCTTCTACCGTCTTCCCGTGTGCTCCCACACAGAGGCACACAAGAACTGGAACGACGATAACCGAGACGTCAGTAGCCAAAACTACCCTTGCAACAGTTAAGCTGCGCGAGAATAGACGTTGGAAAAGAGTGCAGAACTTGCTAAGGCGCTTTTAAGACAAATTTGTATAGTATGTAACTGTATATCTGCTAGCTAGTTAGCTCTTTCATAAAACAAACCGCTGTACTATCTTCTCTTCTCGTTTACACCTGCGCGATAACAGTGCCCTTCTTATTCACAATCTTGATTGGTGCCGTTCTACCTGTAATCGTCACCTTCTCAACCAGTCCATCTTCAGTCCAACTAAAGTCGAGCTGACCTCCACCACGAAGTCGCAGTCCGCGGACGCTGCCACCAGCCCATGCCTTGGGAATTGAAGGGCCAACGGTCACAATAGGTGCACCCTTATCTCCAGATGCCTGGGGAAGATCAGTGGCAAGCATGGCGAGCGCTGCGGCAGACTGGCCAAAGTTGGCGTCGATCTGGAAGGGAAGCGACTGCTTGTAGGGCGGTGTAGTGGATGCGGTGTAGATGGACAGCGCGTTGGGGCCAAAGTTGACATCAATAGCATACTTGAAGATCTTGTACGCTTCGTCAACAACACCGAGACGCGCCCAGCATGCAGCACGCCATGACTTCTCCCAGCCAGTGTTGGAGTCCTCGGTTCCGTTGCCGCGCGAGTAGAGCGATGTCTCCACAGCCTTGACAATGGTCTCGTTCTTGCCGTAGTATCCGGAAATAATATAGCCGGGGTACCAGCCGTTCAAATGAGAGAGATGACGATGGGTGTTGTTCTGGACGTCAATGTCGAGCTTCCATTCCTGGATCTGGCCCCAGCGGCCAACAGTCACGCCGTGGTCAAGAGCGGCAAACTTGTCCTTGACGGCCTTGAGGAACGCGGTATCGGTGTCTCCCGATGCGTCCCAGTCCTTGATTATGTGATCGAAAAGTTCCCAAATGACCTGCTGGAACTGAGCACAGCCAAATGTAGTAGGGCCCTGCTCGGGAGAATTGCATGGATTTGCTACCCAAATCAGTTGATGGTAGTACTCATCTCTGAGGAGTGTGTCTAGCCAGAACTGCGCGACACCCTTCATGAGAGGGTATCCAACAGTGGCGTACCAGTTGGCGTCGCGGCCGTAGTCGTATCTGTCCCAGACAGTGGCCATAAGCCACGCTGGATCGTGGTAAAGATCGGACCAGGTGGCGTCGTTTCCTTGTCCAGTGTGTCCAAAGATGTTCAGGCTTGTGAATGCCACCCAACCACGAGAACCATAGATTAACTTGGCTGATTCTGTTCCTCGAGGCACAAATGTGTCGGTGATGAAATCAAAGAGCGGGCTCATGATATCACCAAGGCCCATTTGCTCGGCGTGCCAGTTGTTCATTTGGACGTTGACGTCAATATGGTAGTCGGAGCTCCAGGCAGGGTTTACAGAAGCAACCCAGTTTCCTTGGAGGTTGGGAGGCAGACTTCCAGGGCGAGATGATGCAATGTACATGTACTTGCCATAGTCGACAATCAAGCCCTCGACAAAGTTGTCACCCTTTTCAGTGGTGTAGGAATCCATAAGCTTGTCCGTGGGAACGTCAGCAGAATTGTTGTGATCAGGCAACTCGAGCGAGAACTTGTCAAACAGGCTCTGGTGATCGCGGACGTGTTGAGAGAGAATGCTAGAGTAGCACTTGCGGTCGAGCTTCTTGACGGTGCTAAGAACAGCAGGGTATGGCAGGTCACCACGGAACGAGTAGCCGCTAGCAGCATTGCCCTTCTTAGCATCATATTCGGTGCCTGTGGCGACGACAATGGTCAAGCTTCGGCGCTTATCAGCAGTAGTCACCATCTTGCCGTCCTTGCATGTGTAAGTCACGCCATTGGACTTGAGGATTTGGGCGTGACCGTCAAGCTTCATGCCAATCTCACCCATACCGGGGTTGGCAGCGGTTCTGCCGCTGAGACGGATGCCATCCTGGGTGCAGTTGTTGGTGGAAGCCGGGGCAGTTCGGTATTCGTCAATAAGACCAACAGTAACCTCGGGTAGGTTCTTGTCGGATCGAATGTGGTAGACGCAGACCTTATCGGGGAACGAGCAAAACTGGGTACTTTTGGAATTGGTTAGAAGGGGGTTTACCAGAGAGAAACGTCAACATACGTAGAAAAGTCTTGGCCATTTGCAGTAAAGTTGACGGTGTGGAGGGCAGTGTTAAGATCGAGACTGCGCTTGTAGTTTGTGTACTTTTCCGCACCAGCGATGGCGACGGTCAGGTTGCCAAGCATTTCATACGATCCATAGTCGTCCATGTTTCCGTAAAGAGGGCTCTCATCTAGAGAAGATTAGAAAATGGACGATAGATAGCTGAGCTACTGTGTAGACGTACCACCAGTGCCGTGCTTGAAGACGTCTGTCTGCACGCCACGAAGGCGATCGGCAATAGACTGTTTTGGGTTACCGCCGTTGTAGTTCTAATATGTATTAGTGGAATGAAGACGAAGTTTTGTGTAGGCAGTTGTAGAAACTTACAGGGTTCGCAAAGGGTCCTCCACGCCAGAGACTGTCGTGCATGATGAGGAGCTTGTCGTTTCCGGGAATGCCCAATGGCAGGCCTGTGCGGTACAACAGTTAGTGTATTGTTGCTATACAAGATTATTGGGACAATTAGTTAGCACCTACCACCCTGGGCTCCATTGCCAATGGTGTATGCCTCAAACATGACATTGTTTGGGTCTGCTGGGGTTGTTGTCCATAATCGCTTAGCCTCTGCAGCGATAGCCAAAAGAGGCAACGCTGACACGGAATGAATCTTCATTGTTGCAGCATCCAATTGCCAATGACACGAGAGTAGAAGCAAATAGTAGTGGTATGTCAATCCGGTGAAGGACCTAGTCGAAGTGACAGCAGACGATCAAGACGGGGGGATAGGATCCAACTAATATAAACGGCAGCCGACGTCACATTTTGGTCTTGCCGAGCTGCAGTGACAAGGAACAAGGTAGCTTTCCACGAATCAAACCCAAGCCCGTGTTAACGCAAGGCTCAGTGTCGTCTAGTGCGTCTTTTGGTACTGCAACCCCCCACAAAAGTCTGCAGCAACATCGCACCTTGTGCTGGTAGAATCAACCGTCGGTTCATTTTGGACAACCGAGCGATGTAGCAATGAAACCTTGGAACGGGCAAAAGATCTGCTTGCCAAAGCGGGGGTCGGTGGTGTGGCTGCGGGTGTGAAGGGCCGAAAGTACAATGTTTTTGTTTGTATGAGGAGGAAGAGATGCGGGGGTATTAGAGTGGATGCGCTAAACCGTTTTAGCGGGCTTTTGGCTTGTCTTGGATCAGCCCAGATGGATCGCGTGTGTGGCTAAAGAAATGGCGCGCCTCAGTTTATTACAGTGGAATATCTTGTTTAATTTACTATCCATCTTGAGGTAGCCCTGGGGTTTATTCTGTCTCTTTGTGTTTCTCTGTATATCTGTCCCCTTTCCCCCATAATACAAATTAAGAATTGTATTGTTTGGGCAACAAAATCTATTAATAACTTATCGCACTATCGTCGTTATAGTTAAAATTACTTGCTGTATTAATTCAGCCACTTTAGCGGAGTTGCTCTTCCGTATATTAGACCACCCGGAAGAACTCGCAACCAACAGGAAAGCAACAACTATTGCCCGTAATTCCCCGACCAATATTTATATTATCAACAACTTGAACATCCCCTCCTCCTCAACAGTTCTCAAGGACCCGTGAGCAAGTTCATTCAAATCCGCAACTTCGTTAACAAACCCCCAGTTTTTGCTACCGTAACGCAACCATGAACAAAACGGCCAGAACCAATGAGCCCCTCCGCGCGGGCAGCGGCTTCAACCAGAGCCCCGATCCATTGTCCAACGACCTAACCACCAATGAAGACTTTGGCGACACGGCCAATAATACCGCGCTAGGCGAGCAAGGCGGACGCGCCCTCCGTGGTGCCGGGCTAACAGACCAAAATGGCGGCTCTCAGGACGGTGCCGCTGCCACCAGTTCAACCACTGAAGATGGCGATGCCACGACCAAAAGTCGGCTGGCTCGTCGACCAACCAACCATCGCCAGCATCCCAAGGGCGATTTGGTTGTGACTTCGACGGCACCAATCGCCCAGCCTCCGTTGTCTTGCTCGCTGCCGCTCCCCTCGGCGGGCGATGACGACGGCAACCGCAGCACAACGCTGCAAAACCTCAAGAAGAAGCTCCTGACGTACTTTTACTTTGTCGGGCCTGGCTTCATGATCTCTGTTGCCTACAGTGAGTACTTGTCCTTTTTTCGGCTCAACTATCGGTGTCGTTGGCAATTAACATACTTTGGTCACTTTCTAAAGTCGATCCCGGCAACTACTCGACCGATATTTCGGCCGGAGCATCGTACCGTTTCCGCCTCTTGTTCGTTGTTTTGCTGTCCAACTTCATCGCCATCTTTCTTCAAAGCTTGGCTATAAAGGTCGGTACCGTGAGCGGCCTCAACCTCGCGCAGATGTGCCGTGCTCACCTCCCTCGATGGCTCAACTACTTTCTCTACTTCTTCGCTGAGGCTGCCATCATTGCAACTGACATTGCAGAGGTATGTATTGAACAGCCCTAATCGACCCTTACCTTATTGGCTACTTTGCTTATTTTGCTCTTGGGGCATATAGGTCATTGGCTTTGCAATTGCCTTGAATCTCTTGATCCCGCAAGTCCCCTTGGTTGCGGGTTGTGCCATCTCAATTGTAGACGTCATGGTCATTCTCCTCTTTTATCGCCCGGAGAAGTCCATGAGAGGAATTAGGTACTTTGAAGGCTTTGTTGCCTGCTTAGTTCTTGCCGTGGTTGTCTGCTTTTGCATCCAGATGTCCTTGATCCGCGATACAACGGTAGCCGAGGTCTTCCAGGGTTATCTACCCTCCAGCTTTCTCATTGAACAAAAAGCGTAAGTGCTTGCTTTCTTTCATTCGTTGTTTCCAACCCGCTGCAAAATTTCTACCACAACATGGTACTGAAGCAGCGGGCGAGTAGATGAACCTTGTAAAAGAATCCGTATACTGAATCCCGAGTAGTATCTATCAGGCTTGCGGTATTCTTGGCGCCACCGTCATGCCGCACAGCTTGTATCTAGGCTCAGGCATTGTTCAGCCACGACTGCGAGACTACGATCAACGGGCTGGTCTTTTACCTAGCGAGCTTAACTCGACATCTCCGGATGCCAGTGACGACGAGGAAATCAGCAAGGGCTACTACATCCCATCCATGAGTGCAATCAAATACTCGCTCAACGCCTCCATCCTAGAGCTGGGCCTGTCGCTCTTCACCTTTGCGCTCTTTGTCAACTCGGCCATTCTCATTGTTGCTGGCGCGTCGCTCTACGGAAACGAAGATGCACTTTCCGCCGACATCTTTGGCATCCACGACTTGCTTTCACAGGCCATCTCTCCCGCGGCGGGAACCATCTTCGCCTTGGCTTTGCTTTTCTCGGGCGTTTCCGCAGGTATCATTTGCACTATTGCCGGCCAGATGGTTAGCGAAGGTGCCATAAATTGGACGCTGAAGCCGTGGCTTCGACGCCTTGTGACTCGTAGCATCAGTGTCACTCCAAGTATCATCATCGCTGGCGCCGTGGGCCGATCCGGACTCAACGCTGCTCTCAACGGCACACAGGTTGCTCTGAGCATCATCTTGCCATTTGTCACTGCCCCTCTCATCTACTTTTCTGCTCGCGACAAGTTTATGACTGTTTATCCTGGCAGTGCGCGCTGGCTTGCCCACGATAGCCGTAATGCGAACCAGGACAACAACGACGAAGCTGAGCAGCTTTCACTCACCGATGACCGTCAGCCTGTAAAGATGGCCAACTCTTGGCCGACGACCATCATCGCAGTCTTGGTATGGCTATTTATTGCCATTATGAACGTTGCCAACTTGGTCTTTTTGGGCCAGGGTCAGGATTAGCGTCAATATCGGACTTGGCCTAAGGTCGTGCGCTGTCGCTAACCTGCGTTCCCCTTCACGTTGAGGGTTTTTTTTTTTTTTTTTTAACCAAAAAAATGTCATTTAGTACTTCCTTCTCCATAGACATAGTAACCTTTGAAACTCATCTATTTATCAAATTTAGCTTTTATATTCTTTGCCATTAGCTCAAATATGATGTAGAGAAACGTAATTTGTAGCCTTGGTTAGGCACTTTTGAGCAGGAAGGAACTCTTTTTACTATATTGCTTGGAAGTACATATGCAAGAGGTGGGCGAATATAATGCAAAAAGAATAGTATTGAGCGTAGGGCGCGTGTATTGGTGAACTATGGCAAGATAGAGCATACAGGGTAGGGAAACGTACCAAGAAAGACGTATCTCAAAACACGCCAGCTATACACGAGGAAATTGTTTTTTCTTTCTTTTTTTAAACAATGAAGAAAATATTAGGTGATTGCTATATAAAATTATAATCCATTATAGCATAGTAGCTACATACGTCTAGTACTTCCTAACCAATACATTGCCGGGCCTGACACTTGGCAGCCCCTCTTCCACCCTCTCTAACACAAAACATTAACATAACAACTCTGGGTACATTCGAACCAAACACTTCCATAACACATCGTCATAACATCATAAAGATAAAAGTACAACAAAACATGCATCAAACAACATCAAAAGCATCCTCAAATATAATGGTGCCGACGCAGAATCTCCTCGTACGCCAGCATCTTCTCTGTCCGCAGTCTCAACGTGTGGCACATCTCGTTGTACCGCTGGTATAAATCATCGTATTGGTTCTTCCAGTAACACATGCGCTCTTTCCAGTGCTCGACCTCGCGAGCAAGATCTGACACACGCCGGCTGCAGCTCTCGCTCAGCTGCCGCGAGAGCTCCTTGACACGATGCTTGAGGTCGTCGTTCTGGCACTTGAGCGTCTTGCTATCCTTTTCGAGATGCTCGATCTTGGTTTCCAAGCTCTCAACAAGCTTGTAGCTAGCATGTAACTGGCATGTTGCATTCTCGACAGACTTCTGCAGACCCTCGTTCTCGGCTTTCAACGCGGCGATTTGACATTCGAGCTTGGGCACGACGACGCTTCCAAACTGATGAAGATCAGCCCGTGCCGTTGTCAAGCTCTCCTTGAGCCCGTTGACTTCGCAGACAAGACGATGGTTTGTGGCTTGCAGTGTTCTCTCTGCTTCGACAAGTCGAATCCACTCCTCGCGTCGAAGCTTGACATACTCGGACGGGCGGTCGTGGTGATGGTGATGGTGATGATGGTTGTGGCTGTCAGAGCGCGAGCGTTTGATGGATACAAACTGCTGCTTGCCTGAAGCGTCCGTCTCGATGGTGATGCGCCTCGACATCTTCTTGGAGGTCGACGGATCTGGCGTCGAGGCCGGTGTACTTGTTTGAGCACCCACGCTGGGCAGTGCTAGTGACGGTGCGAAAAGGAGGTCCTTGCACCGCTGTTCTTAAATTTGTAAGGTCGCGTCCAGTAAAGAGGCCGCGGATAGTGAGTAATGGTAGACGATAAAAAGTGGCATGGAGACAATAACGAGAAGAAAGAGATAAACACACAGCAGGGCCAGACGAGCAGCAGACACCTTGATTCAAGTACTCAAGGGACAGACACCGACTCGACTCACAGCGTGAACGACTGACTGGATTTCCAACAGGCACAAAGCATATGGCCTATTCCAAGAGACCAAGAAACAAAGTTTATCGCACAAGAGAAGGCACTCGACCGCAGCAGGTGATCAGGGCCCAAGAAAAGAAAGCCTCGCGTCTGCCAGACACAAGAGAGAGCAGCACTCATTTGGCCACTACGCCTGTCTTCTATGTCTATAGGCATGATGACGACACAAACTCACATCTGCACCGAGCAAAAGGTGCGGCAACCACAGCGTGCTCTCCGCATGGGACCAACCAAAACGCATGGCCGGCTGGGCTTATACGGCCTATCGCGGCAACCGACGACCTTTCCTCACGGGGTTTAGCGCGCACGAGCGCGGCCGCGGGTGTAGGTTGCAGTGTGCAGGGCGCAGGTGTGCCTTGCGATCGTGGCCGCAGAAAAGGTGTGGCCCTTGTTTTTTGGTCTTGTCTTGAAGGTCGAGGCATGACATAATACCGTGTTGTGTGGTTCGAGATGGTCATGTGAAGCTTGTCGACAAGTGAACATCAACGTGCGCAACTCGGCCGTTGTAAAGCCAGGTTCCGCATAAAGGTAAAAATAAATATTGAAGATGGTTTGAAAGCACTTAAAGAATATGGAAAATATTCTTTTGTCTTTTTATTTTAACATGGGTGCAGTTTGGTATATGACTGGGCGGCCTCGACGTCTGCCTGGTGATGGGTCCGGGTGTGGCTGATACAGTGCGAACACCCGCGATACTCATGTGCGCCCAAAACGATGACTTTGGTTCGTTTTTATATTACAGCCCCCAAAAATACGCCTCTGCCTAGAGAATACACCTACACGTCGGTGAACAGCGGGATTGGTGCCGGGTCCAGCTCGCAGACAGCCCATGTCCACGCCGCGCTAGGCAGATAGTTGAGCAGTGGCGACACCTTGCTTGTGTAGCTCGCCTGCTGAAATAATTCCGGGTTTTCTTCTTTGGCTTGCTCGACAGCATCCAAGGTGCAAAATGAAAGAAAGTGCTCGCGCTGAGCTCCCGGTGGAAGAGCTCTATAATTGCAGGAGTCAATATGAATACTAACACAGGTAAAGCACAGCAGTATACTTACAACGCATTGCTGAGAATCCCATGACACAGACTCGGCTCTTTCACTGACAGGCCTCGTTCCCAGGTAATCAAACGCCCCCTTTCAATAGCCTTGTCTATACGTTCTTGCAGATCCGGGTAGAATGGCCGTAGCGCCTGCAGTGACAACACGAATCCTGGAGCCCCATGGCAGAACTGGACCAAGTCTTTGTCGGTACCCTCCTGTACAGTCTTCTCTGATGTGGGCCAGTTTCCGCTCTCCTGTTGTAAATCTAGCAGTTCCACTAGGATATTGCGAACGTCGGGTGCTATGGACGGTTTCGACAGCACCAACTGCACGAGGATACCAATGTCGCCATGCGCAGGGCCGTAGTAGCGTGTGTTGACAATTGTCCAATTGCCCTTTTCCTTGCGGTTTTGAAGGGTTGCTTCCGCCACGGCGGCTATAGACTCTTCGATAGCGGCAGAGTGTGCAGGGGCCCAAGACTTTACAAGCCGCAACACGTACAGAAGCCCAGCCCGGCCATAGAAGAGTTCATCCATGTATGGCCGCTCGAGGTCTAAATACTGTGCAACACTAGCCAATACAGATTGGACATCTTCTTCGGTGCCTGAGAGACATGAATGAAGAGCATCCACAGAGAGACTCTCGCTGTGTGAGCCTGCACGATATTCATCATCCCCGTGAACTAGTTCTTCTCGGCGGATAGGCTCTAGATAGGCCAACGTCCATGCCCGTAGGTTCTTGTCTTGCACGGAAATATCGGGGTGTAGTCTGTGTATTTGTAGAAGGAGATATGCAAGACTAGTATAGCCGCTGAATATTCCCTTTTGCAGCTGGGCGTCGTAGCTCTCCGGCACGGGATATGTTTGTATCAAGGTGTCTAGTGTAGATTGAAGCAGGTCCTTTGGCGTAGATGGAAGGGTTTTCATGGGCATGGTATTTTCCAAATACCTCGGAGCGTCGGAGGAAGCCATGGTTACAATTTTTGTTCAAGTGTCAGATATAATTGATGTGCTTTTACAAGCTTTATTGCCGACGCATCGGGTCGTCGCTTAATATAATTTCCCCGATTTGAAGAATGCGGGGTCGTCACTTATACGAAAGTCTCCACGTATTTAGCCGTTGGATATTAAACTCTATTAACTGAGGTGCATTGTATTATGTAGACTAAATAACCTGTAATTATGTATACTGACAAATGACTTCTGCACAGATGAGCTAGGCCTATACATATGCGTATGCGTTACAAACCGTATAGTATACCACGCTTCCTATCACCCACACACAGTAATGCCACTGTATGCGCCGTGTGTGTCTGGTTTCACACCAGTTCTTCAACATGCACTGATTACCTCACAGCAGCGGACGCTAATGCATGCACACATGCACAGTGGTGGTGATGTTGCCTGGCGGCGCATCACATGGTGCCATTCCGCCCAGGCACACGCCCCCGAAACTGCTCTTGTAAAGCACCGCCATGGCAGTGGTAGGTGGGGTGGCATTTGTCGTCAAATCCAAAAACCTCTACATTTAGGCATCAGCGTGGCATCCATCGTGGAGGCACCCTGTGCCATGAACGCTGTAACGCTGACTGGCTCCCTCCCCTGGGCTTGGCCTATTTAGGCATCTCTCGACCCAAGACGACCGTGAATATCGGCCGAGAGTATATAAATTAGTTCTTTCATCTTATTTAACTATATTTATTTATACACACCAATATCGAAAAGTAGTATACAGAACTGCTTAGCTATATCGCAACCTCAACTGCCAAAGGCAACTCTCATAGCTGCACACCACTAGCCTGTGCTCCCCTAAACACAGCAGTGTAAAATACAAAAACTCTAATTCCAGTTTCAGAGAACGCGTCCTGAATCCCAAGACGCGTATCATATGCTTTTGCGCACGTCGCGTGAAAGGTGCGTTGGTCATGTGCACCCATCTACTCAAAATGCATGTCATTTGATACCACATGCTAACTACTACCACCTCTCTCAAACCCCGCATACAAAGACTAAGAGCTACAAGAAAAGACTACACATATTCACCAAATAACAGTAGAAACCATTTCTAAATAAAAAACAAAATGTGCATTGATTGCTTGGCGCGCCTATCCTATTAACTATAAAACCCCTTGCAAATACAGGCGTCGTGGTGGTATCGTATCCGTCTCCCAGAATCACGCAACTTAAAAAAAAAAAAGCATCCAAAAATACCAAGAGAAAAGGGACTGCAAAACGTGAAGAAGAAAAGAGAATACACTATGACAAAAACATTGCGCCCTGCATTTTCATCATAATACCCCATTTTTGGGAAACCCCATCGCCATTCGTTCAAAGTCGTAATCCGGTGCGCTGTGAGTAGTAGTAGTACTATATATGTATATACACGCTTCTGCGTATCCTGTATGTTAAGCCTTCAACTGTGATCAGCCTATGATACAGCCTTGAGCTCTTCAAGGAGAGCTGCCTCGGCGGCATTCATGGCTTCCTGGGCGGCCTCTTGCGACATGGGCATCACTTCGGCAGGCTTAGGCTCTGCGGGCTTGGGTTGGCTCGGTGCTGCCTGTGACTGCTGTGGTTGTTGCTGTTGCTGTTGCGGCTGTTGATGCTGTGGTTGATGCTGTGCTTGTTGCACTTGAGGCTGCTGAACTTGCTGGGGCAGCTTCATGCCAACAGCTCCTGGGCTTGCAGTGGCATTCTGCGGCCGTTGTGCCTGGACTTGGCCAACTTGACCTTGGGGCATAGCCCCGGGAGCAGCAACACCAGGTCTTTGCTGAGGAGCAGCCATGGCACCATTCTGCTGAACTGCAGGGCGAGCGCCGGGCTGTCCAGGCTGGGCCTGTTGTGGCTGCGCAGGGCGGATCTGTTGATGCTGCTGAGGCTGCTGGCCATATCCCTGCTGCATTTGAATTTGCACCTGCTGCTGGCCAGGCTGACCTGTTTGGCCTTGCTGGGCTTGGGGTCGAGGCACATGTGGTGGGAGTCCAGTCTGAGGACGCCCGGCAGCTTGTACGCCGTGCTGGCCTGGGGCTGGGGCAACAGTTCGAGGGGCGACAGCGGCATTGCCCGGTCTTGCTTGCGCAGCACTGGCCGCTTGGGCAGGCGTGAGCACTCCAGAGGTAACACCGCCGGCACCAGGCGTACCGGTTCGGTGTTGAGGATGTTGCAAACCGCCAGCCAAGGCCATGATGCCCTGCAGCTTCGCTTGGTCTTCTTCGGAGTTCAGCCTAGCACGCTCTTCAGCCTCCTTTCTAGCAGCCTGAGTGGGTGCTCTAGTCTTGAGCTCTCCGGTGACGGCTTGCAAGTAGTAAGGCATCTCAGAGTTGGTCTTGAGGAAGAACAGCTTCAGGTTGCGAGCCTTGTCTTTGAGCTGCACCTGTGTTCGGTCTTTGAGTATGTCGGAAATGGTACCATTCTGGCCGAACAAGGTCAAAATCTGGCTCCAGTGAGGGCCCTTGACCATGTCCAAACCAGCCATGAGTGCCTTTTCTTCCTCCTGAGTCCAGGGACGGCGCGTCGAGTGGAGGCCTTCGCGACGGGTGTGTGCAGAAGACTTTGAAAGTGCTGCCTGTCGTGCCTTGTCATATAGTATCGCGCTAGGGAAGGTCTGGTTCGGGGGGAGGTTTTCACCAGCAACGGGCTGTGACGGAGGTTGCTCGACAATGGGCGGCTGGCTGAAAGTGTAGTATGGGTGTTGTGCTTGGTGTTGTTGGAGTTGAGCGAGGTATGGGAGTTGTGCTGTCATGCTTTCAGCTGCAAATTGTTAGCTACATCTGGAGACACGTACCAAAAATAAGAATAAAAGCTTACCTGTGCTTGCCGGGACTGTGGGCTGGTACGGTACTGGGGACAAACCATGGAGGGTTGTCTTGACATAGTTCGACGTGCTCTCTGCAACAAGGGCTTCGAGCTCCTTGTAGTCTGTCATAAAGTCGGGCTTGCCATTCGCCTTTGCGACGCCGTTTGCCTTGTCATCTGCATGATTGTTAGAGCCCTCGCCAGTCTCTTGTTCAGTAAGACCAGCAAGCGCATCCTGTACGAGACCAGACGCAGTCTTCTCAAAGAACGAAGAGAGGTCATCCAAATCAAGCTCAGCATCTCCCATGGAGTCGGCAAACGACTCAATGTCAATTGGCTCCGGAGGCAGCTCAATTGAGATTCCGAATTTGCTAGCGAGGTCAGAGTGGGCGACGAGGCGGCTCTTCACATAATTGGAAAGGCTCTGCAACGGCATTTGCGGTTGATGCTTCTCACGCAGGGATACAATGTTGATCTGCTCCCTTGTATCTGTCTCAAGAGATGCTTTTCTCGCCTTGGCGGTCTCAACGAACGGCGTCTCCTGTTCTGTCATGGCTGTTCCGCCGTGCTGAGCGCGCAGCTTCTCTTCTAAACCATCGACAAGATTCTCCTGTAGAACTTGTGCGATGGAAACCCCCTCAGCTTTTGAGACGAGCTTCTTTATGGCGAATTGTGTGCGAATGGCGAGGAGGGCATCTGATGCGCCGTGCGGCAGCTCTGAGAATTGCATGGGGAAGATGGTGAAGAAGTGTGTGTTGGCTTCTGAATAGGACTCTGTTGTGTCGTCGACAAGCCACGAGAGGAATTGGGCGAGGTTAATAAGGTCGATTGCGGCCTGGCAATCGTCAAGGCCTTCCAGGTCAGCAACAGTCAGGAGCGAGTTATCGGAAAAGGTGGCGAGACTGCTGCTAAAGACGCGACGCAGCTGCCTATATGATTTGCAGTGCTCGGATTGGCCATCCTTCATCAGCTTCATGAGCTCTTCGACAGGTTGATGTTGGACAAATGCGTAGAGTAGAGAAAATGTCTTTACAGAAAGCGTTAGCAAAGCGGAGGCTAGACCACATAGATTGAACATACGAGGTTAATCAGCGTCTGCGATTGCGCATGACGAATATACTTTAACGGCTCCTCATAAAACGTCGGTGCTGGCTGTGGCAAGTCCAAAGCCGACACGGCATCCAAATCCATCACGTCTTCGGTAGTAGGAGGCTCGTCGGGCGGCGGACCAAACTGGTCGACAAGATCGCCAACATTGGACAGCGCGTTCTGCACGAGCAGCGCAAGCCCATCTTCCAGCGAATCCTCGGCCTGGTGCGTCTCGGCTTTTAATCGTTTAGCATCTGGGTTTTCTGTGCTGGGAACAGGCTCTTCCTCGAGGGGTCGTTTTGAAGAAAGCTCTGGCGGAAGACTAAAGTCGATGCCTTCGAGGCCCATCAAATCGTGTTCCTCCTTAATGTCTAGCGGGCGCCCTGCGTCAGTCGTCACTATACACAATCAACATCAAAATTTCCCAACTCACCTGTTGTCGGTATCGACATGGGCTGTGGTTGCGCCGGCTCCGCCATCTTGCCAATTGCAATGGTTTGCGAGGCGGCAGATGCATGTGCAGGATCGGTCCAGCGGGGGGATCTAAGAGTTGGTCTGTCGCCTGCGACGATGGCTGACCTCGTGATTGGACGCAGAAGCGAAGATTGAAGAACGATGTGGTGGTGGTTTCGGTTGCTTTGCTTCCTGCAACGGCTGTCGCTGGGCGATGATCGAATGCGGGCAGTTCAGTCGCGGACAAAATTTTGCTGAGTCAGTTGTCACTGGCTGCCCTTATTTCTTGCCCCGAAATCCTCGGTACGCCGCGATACACAAAGAGCACAGGAATGCTCGATGCAAAAAGGAAATTGGGACGACAAAATCCAAAATGCACGATTTTTCACGGATTTGTTTTTTATGCCAGCGCATGCAAGAGGTGCTCGGTGGGAGTGACGGCCTCGTTATCGCGACGTCATGTACAGTACTGTTTTGCCTTTGAACAATTTTTTTTCTTTATCGCCCGATTATCAGTTGCATTTTTTTTTCACCCTCTTAACAATAGGCTTGCCTTCCCAGCCATCTTCTCTCCACTGAGTTACCCGCCTCGTTCGCTTGCGGTTAGTGGAGGATTCTGCATGACTAAGCCGGATTTAGCACTGAAATTGATGAGAGGCTCACCACATCGTATAGTACTGAGCGTGGCGAACCACTGTAGTGAGGAGCAAGTGACGATATTGTATAAGTGAAGAATCATAAACAGTGGTATTTATCGTCTATATCTATATGCATTGCAAAAAATGGCATAGTAATCCCGTCAAAATATACACCACATCCATCAGCAAAAAAATAACAAACAATAACAACACACGTCTAACTATATACACCCAAAAATCACAGCTCATGTACGTTTCTGTGCTTTGAGAAACAATCCATCATCAATCCAGACACATTACAGCAAAAGGGCGGCACCCAAGACAAGGACAGAGAGAGCAGAGCCAGCAATAGTAATTTGCTTGTCGCGGATAGCAGCGCTCTTATCACCCTTGCCATCCTTGCCGTCCTTGCCAGCATCACCGCTGCCCTGAGTCTTGCCTCCGTTGTTGCCATCGCTGCCTCCGGCCTTACCGGTGCTGCTGCCAGTGGGAGAAGGAGCGGCGGTAGAGTAGGAGCCGGTGAAGGCCTGGCCGATTGTGGGAAGCTTAACGTTGCCAGGGACCTGCCACCAACCACCGTCGGTGGACGAAGGGCAGGGTCGGGTTGAGGGCTTGGGAGTGTAGTCGGCCTTCTTGACACCGGTAGGCTTAATAGTAGCCCACTTTTGCTTGAGGTTTTCAAAGTCGGGGACGACAGGAGTGGGAGTTCCCTTACGAACAAAGCCCTCCTCCACGTCAGGGCCGGAATCAGCCTTTCCGTACGTGACAAGACCGTAGTTGTTAGTCTCCTCAATCCATTCGTAAATCAGGGCACCGCTGATGTCGTTGATCATCTCCTTGCCAAAGATGGCGTCCTGGTCACCAAAGAGACGGGGAGGGTGGGTGTTGCAGCCAGTCTCGGAGAAGAAGATGGGGACGGGGAAGTCCTGGGCGTACTTTTGGAGCTTGTCGTAGGCGGAATTTTCGTAGGTGGAGGGGTCGCACCAAGAGTAGGAGTTGATGGCGTAAAAGTCGATAATGTTCTTGTCATCACCACCGCAGGTCAAGAAGTCCTGAAGCATGGGCTGCATCTCGATGATGTGCGCGGCGGAGTAACCAATGGGGATCTTGCGGTAGCCCTTGTTGTCGCGGTAAGCCTTCATGTCGCGTGCAGCGGCCTTGAGGTAAGGAGCCACTTGGGATTGGCCTCTAGCAGCAATACCCTCGTTGGCGATGAAGAAGCCGAGAACGTTGTCGTAGCCGTGGAACTTGTCCATGACCTTGGCGTAGGCGTCGTACTGTCCCTGGTCCCACTGGAGGTGCGTCTGTTGTCCAACTGTTAGCCATTGCCAATGAAAGCAAGAATTTAGAATATACATACGCTATTAATGTACGTCTCAAAGGTGTCGAGGTCGAGAAGGACGTAAATGCCGGCGTCGTCAAAAGCCTTCATGCAGCCATCATGGCTACCGTTGGGGTCAACATGGTATGTGCGGATAGTGTTGACACCGAGCTCCTTCATGAGAGAAGCATCACGCTTGCACTGATCAGTGTCGACAAAAGGATCGGTCGGTCGTAGCTGGTAAGCAACACCTACAATTGGAGGTTAGCAATTGGGCAAAGAGTACACAGGGGCGTCACCGCGCGCGCAGCAGGGGCGATGTGCATGCAAACGTACCCTTCATGAAGAACTGAGAGCCATCCTTGTTGAAGAACTTGTTGCCGTAGACCTCGACGGGGTCCAGGGCAGCGCCGACAGAGGCAAAGGCAGAGATTGCCAGCGGCAAAAGAGAGGAGCGCATCGTAATCGTGCGGAGGAGGAGCGGCAGTCTTGTTTGCGCAAGCGTCGCGTGGTGGTACAGCAGAAGCAAAGTCGAGTAGCAGATTGTATCCCGTGAGAAAATACAAGGCGAAACACAAGACAGACACAATTCCAACAAAAACCGGTGAAGATGATGAGAGGGAAGATGGAGGAGGAGGCGGAAAGAGCAGATGCGGGCGTTAAAGAAGAGGAAAGCAGGCAGGCCGTGCCAAATACGAGAAAGTCAAAAAAGCCAAGGAAATACGCAGTGACCCATGACGACAAGGCACCGTCCGAACAGCGAAGAGAGTGTTTTTTTGGGCGTCCCAGCGGGCCCCAACGGCGCTACGATCCACTGAAACGGGCTGCTACGGAGACAATGGCCCGCTGTTTCACTGCATGCGTAGCGTTTGCGCTTGAAAACGGTAGCGGCTGGAATGCTTCCATGGGCGATCGATATAAGACATGGGGATTTATTTGAGTGTTTACATTTTGGTTTTACTGACCATAAATATGCTGCTAATAAAATCAACCGTAATTTTAGTTTCCATGTACACGTTCCATAATCCCAAATGCCCATCTGCACGATTCAGTGCTCAACTCGTCTGACCACGCAGAATTAAAAACAGCCACAGGGGGGCCCGCCCTCTGGAATAAGGCTGCTGCTGATGCTACCGCAGGTCTTTCAGGGGGGTTGCGCGGGCCTGCTGCGCTACGACGTCATAGCACCACGACTAGACGAACAGTGCTTGCGCTCGACGGGATGGCGAGTTGTATGCGATTGAATGTTAAAGCATGCGGATTTATTTTATAATTGACGATGAATTTGCATTTCATACAGAGTGCGCAACGCGAAATGAAGCTGCAGAAACCATCTTGCGCCACCAATCTCAGACTGGTAAACAAAAAGCACACCTCGTATTCACAACACACACCAAAACTGTAGCCTGATGCACGCCACCACGTTCGGGCGGCTCCCACTGCACGGGCAATAGACGCCGGAATCTGGCTAGCCATCACTAGAACGGAAATAGCGCCGTCTATTTTCAGCTACCTTAACATAGCGCAGTAGACTTGTCCTAATTGGTTCAATATGCAAATGCTCGTTTTTGTTTTGAATTATATGACATCATGGCGTGCAAGGCCAATTGCGCGCGCATTTAGGAAGAATTACATACACAACACCAGAAACCTGCCAACAAATCGTACGTCGCAGTATATCCTGAGCGCCAGCGCTCCATTCCCTCCAATCTCCCCATGAATATATTAGTTTGCCTTTTTATCGCTGGCCTTGTCTCCCCTTCGACCAATAAACGTCTTCATGCCGTGGTCAACGCCCGAGATGATGCGCGCAATGACCTGGAGGCCAGACGGCAACACATCGTACCACTCAACCCATCGCGCATACAGCGGCATGGCCTTTTCGGCGCCTAGACCACTGTCAATGGCCGTTACAATCTCTTTGGCGACCTCGACGGGCTCGACGACGGGCGCAAAGAAGCTGCTGGGCGTTTGGACCCCGTAGAACAGCGGCGTGCTGAGCTGGCCGGGTGTAATCAGAACTGTCTTAATGTCTGGGTGCGATTGGCGCAGTTCGGCTGTCAATGAGCGGTGCATAGCCGATACACCAGCCTTGGCAGCAGCGTAATCAGTCAATTGCGCAGCTCCAAGATGTCCGATAACCGATGAGACGTTGACAATGGTGCCGCCACGGCCGCTTCGAATCAGAGCAGGAAGAAAGGCCTTGATACAGTAAAAGGGACCGAGCATGTTGGTACCCAGGCTGCGGTCGATATCTTCAATAGTCAGATTGAGCATGCTCTTCCCAATAACAATAGCGGCGTTGTTGATCAGAACCGTCGGGGTGCCGAGCTGCAACAAAATGTTAGCCTTCAAATTCCTATACTCACAAAGGCAATCGTTTCCACTTACATCCTTTTCAATCTGCTTTGCAACTTCAAAGACCTGCTTGCTGTCGCTAACATCGCACTTGTAGTACGTAATGCCTCGTGCCTCGCCATTATCCATCTCATTGACATCCAGTACAGCCACAGTTGCGCCGCGCATGCCGTAGACCTCTGCCACCAGCATGCCCAGCCCGCTAGCGCCACCAGTAACAACAATAACCTCTTCACTGAGGTCAACCTCTCGTGGAGCACCATGCGCAATTCGATCGTTAATCTGGAGGGCAATCCAGAGGGCTGTGACAAACGTAGCCCAGATAATGGACCCAATCATGGTGGGCGACTCCCACAGGAAGACGCGGGCACGCAGGCATAGCGGGACAAGCCAGCACACAAATGGGTGGAATATCGAGACATTGAAGACTTTGGCGAACAGGTCGACGGAAAAGGGCGCAAACCAGGAGTCGCGCTGAGGCGGCTCGGTGTAGAGATTCGATGCCATGTTGAGCTATGGGAATGTGGTGATCGTTCGAGGGTAGACTTCTCGTCGGGAGCAGTTGTCGGCTATTAAAGGTATGTATGTTGGCAAGATTGCAGGTATGTGCAGATTGGATTCTCTTTTTAAGGAGTCTGCAGGCGCAAGCTCGGGACGTGTCCTCTGTGTGAGAGGAAGAAAAAAGCGACGATGGAGGGGGGATGGAAGCTGTCGCTGAAACAGCAATTGGCATGTGCGCCGACTCCACAGTGGACGCGGCGGCCCCTGTTGTGTTTGAGCCGTAGCGTCCGAGCTGTAGCGCATCTGTAGGAGCTGAAACGGCGCAAAACAGGACTTGGGTGTAAAACGTGCCCAAAGAATGATTTGCAAGATGTTGGGAAATCTAGAAAATCATACATACATGTTCATTGGAGTGCTGGGATATAGTACAGATGTGCCACACGTGGTGGCTTGCGTGCATGTCCAAGAGATTTACGGCTGTCTATATGCCATATAATTGGGGTATATTAAGTTGAGCTTATTTTATACATGAATCCCATAGTCCTTTATCGTCTTCTTCAACGTCATCAGACCAATAAAAAAATATGCCATATAATACAATGTTGGGTGTTGTTATAGTACAAAGGCCTCTCTATAGGCCCTCAGCCGAGCCCTCTCCCGAGCCAGAGTCTCTACCGCTGCCGCTGCCATTACCCCCTCGTCGCTGGTTCAGGAATCGGCGGTACTGATCCCGCTCGTTCTGTTCCCAGTTCTTCTCATACTGCGCTCTCTTCTCCTTTTGTGTATGGTAGATGCCCTCGCGGCCGACGCCTTCACGGCGCCACTTCTGAGGCGGCTTAAAGCCCAGCGCTGCCTTGCGCTCCCAGACTTGCATTCCGCGACGGAACCAGCGGCCCTGTCTGTCCTCTTCTTCCTCGGCGGATGCGCGCCACTTGCTTTTCAGGATACGGCGGATGGCCTCAGGCGAGACTTCAAACTTGGCAGCCAGAGCATCGGTGGTGTAGACGTCGGGAAACTGCGCGTTGAGAGCTCGAATACCAGCCAGGGCGTCTGGAGAAAGTCGCTTTCTGGGTTTCCAGCCTTCAGGGAACTTTTCCTTGAGAGCAGCCTTTTGCGACTTCCAGTCCGTGGTTGTCTCGGGCATTGTTGGTCTGCGCAGCAGCTGGATGCCATTCATAAATGGTTCTGTCGGCTTCTCGCTTCGTCTCTTTTCTTTGTATGTGGACGAACTTTTGTTGGTTCTGTTCGAATTTCGTTTGGATGTGTTTGCACCGTCTCGCTTCGGGCGGCTCGCTCGCGGCAAAGGGGTTGCAGATACACTATCGGATGCCTCTTCAGGCGCGGCCTTGTCGGCGATGTGTAGGTTCGCCGGTATTTCATCTACATTCGATGACGCAGACTCGGTTGCAAGATTAGTTCGAGGCGACTCATTCTCTTGTTGTCGAAAGGACGTCCCATGCAAACGACGGACGCTGTCCAGCTGCTGGAATCGAGAGGCCGTCGGGGGTGGTCGTGCTACCAGCGGCCGGAGTGGGATCGGGCCCAAGTTGTGCACCTGCGCAAGACTGCGGACAAATATCCGCAGCGATGCTGAGCTGCAGAGACAACTCATGCTGTGGGAAGATGGATTTACTCTCTGCGTTATGCACGCGAGAAAGCGGCCAGGTCGTGTGGGATTGGTGGCCTGGGTGCGAAAAAGTTCAAGGAGGTGGTGGTCGCTATGCGTGGGTCGACAGAAAAATATCCACCTTAATTGCCAGGCGGAGGCCACGGTAACATTACCGTATGCATTAAACAAAGTGAAGCGAAAGTAAAGAGAGTTGAAAAGGAGATAATATTTTTTTTTTAAAAAAAAAGGATACAGTTTACGAACTTTATGGAATAAATAGCAATCAACTACATGCAATCACAAGTATTAAATGGGAAGATGGCAATATAAAGTAATGCAGAGGCAAAGGCGCCGTCTGATGTATGTATACATGAGCAGTCTAAACGAGTGGCTCTAATCCTATAATGTATGAAATGATGAAATGCTCCAACGCCAGATCCAAAATCCAGAAGCAAGTATACCTTTAAAACGCCGTTGTTTTCTTTTACAAACACAATGTCTCCCCAAAATCAAATGCATGGACAAAGACTTAGTCCATCATCATCAGCTCAACAGGGGGTCTGGCGGTATGCGCCATAATAGGGCGGGCATCGAGAGGGCTCATGGCCTCGGGCTCGTCAGTCATGTCCTCGACAAAGACGGCAGGCAGATCAGGGCTGCAGCCATTGTCCTCTGGGCGGTAGATGAGGGTCGAACTGCGGCTTCGGTTGCCATCAGCGGCCGATGTGGGAGTGACGGGGCCGTCAAAGACGGGTTCAGGCTTGCCGCTGTTGAGCTTGGCAAGAGCCTCGGCCAGATCTTCAGCGTGGACAAGCTTGTTGGGGGCATCTTCCAAGCGCATCTCCCAGCCATGGGGAGGGCTAGGGGGAGGAGAGATGAAGAAGAGCTTGCCAGCATCGGGAAGCGCAAGGTGGTCGGCCTTGTTCTGGTTTATCGGGGTAGGTTGGCCAAAGTAAACCTTGACACGCTCGCCCATGACGGCCTCGCCGTCCCAGACCTTGCGAATGGCCTGGGCGGTCTCGACGGTGTAGAAGGAGATGATGATGCGGCGGAAGGACTTGAGCGGGGTAAAAGAGTGTACAGAGACGGTGTTCTCAATAAGGCCGCGGATGACCTGGATGTTCTTGGGGAGGAAGATGTCGAGGTTGTCGAGGTTGGTGAAGAGCAATGTGTTGGATGGCGGGGTGGGGAGGATGAGCGGCGGCAAGTTGGAGAGGTCGAGGGTGAGGTTTGCCTTGTTGCGCGACGACGTCGACGACGATCTGGAGGGTCTGGGAGAGATATCCATGGCTACTGGGTTGTGCGAAATGTCCTGGCGGTGGTTGTTATCTGGGTGTCGAAGTTGAAGAAAGGCGGTGGGTGGGCCCAATGACGGCTCAGCAGAAACTAAGCAGGTTGGTTATAGTTACAGCGCGGTGAACTGGTAATGAAATAGATAGTTTTTGGCGATGCGTGAGCGGCAGAGGAGAATAGTATGCGGGATAAATAAGCAAACGAGGCGGCTGCTTTCCTAATGCACAACAAAAGAGGCGAGTTTATTGGTGGCGGATGCAAAAGTGAGGGAGGGGGTGGTCCAACGCAATTAGCCTGTGGGGGAGGAAGCGATGGCGATTATGTACTGCGAGGAGGCGGTTGTCGGCGGAGGCGGCGACGCAGAGAAAAATAATAAAAAAATCCCATGCGCAGCGCAGCAGGCAGGTAGCCAACTGTAAAGGTTACGGTAGCAGGGGCGTCTTGCCTCCCCGCTGCACTGCACGGCGGTGCAAATCCAAACTAAGCAGCGAGACAAGCGCTGGCACTGTGTCGGGACTGTACGGCAAAGCGTTGGCGCTGTCTGGGCAGTGGAGTCGCCCCAAGCTGCAAGAGGCAAGTAGGCGTCGCACCCGCAGGCGCCAATGACCGATGGAAACTGGTCGCAGGCCGTGCAGCACAGCCCCAAGCCTCCACGAGTCTCCGCCGCCGCCGGGGCCACGGGTGAGTTGCAGTGCCTGGCCAGTTTGATGTTCGCACTGTACATATGTCAGCACTGTTTACTAGTAAAAAAGTCTCTTCCAGGCTGTTCCAGGCCGCCCAGCATGAGGCTATGCTGCTCTTGCTTCCCCTCCGCATCCAGCTTGACAAGGTGAAGCAGGCGAGGTATTTGCATTTTTTTCTTCTTCTATAGTGACCTACTGTGGCTGTTACTGGGCAAATGCTATCTTGCCTTTTTTATTTCTTCGCTTCCAAATCTAGTTCCATTTCCGTCCGGCGTTACTTACAAGATGCTTGCTTGCTTACATCGACTGTAATGACTATCACACGGAGTTCAGTCAGCGTCTGTCTGTTTGTTGCTAAGCCTCCTTCTTTTTGCATCGCCCCGTGTTTGACTATATTTTTTAAAAAAGAATCAAACTCTCTTACTTAAACAGTCAGTCGTGCGTCAGTCTGCTTTCGTCATCACAAGCGCAAGCAGCAGTCGTAACGCTAGTCTGCCCTTTCATCAACCCAGTCAGAAGGGGTCTCGCTGAGCCTCACGCTGCCAAGTCAGTTGGTCTGATACACTCCTTTGCAGGAGCACTTCGTAGTCACGCACGTTCCTCTTCCCCCCAAGAGCAATGCCTCGCTCGAAATAAAATCCCAAAACATAGGCGCACAAGCACTGCATCACGCCCGCCTAATTTTAAAAACCAAAATTTAGCCTACGCGAAGCCGGAGTCGGAATTCGTCTCCGAAGCGAGGCATCCCAAATTCCCGCCTCAAGCTGCTGCGCCGCAGCCCAACGTTTGAGTTTAGCCTTTTTAGCCGCCGCGCCCCGTCCCAGCATAACCCGTCCACCCGCGGATCGCCCACTGCGGTGCGGCTACGGCGCCATGCCGTCATCGCCTCAGAACCTTGGGATTGCCCCAGAGGCATAAGCTTTTATTTGCCTGCTGTGGCTGTGAGCTCGATAGCTATGCCTTGCAGGATTTTTTAAGATTACAAGGCTGTCGTTTTCGGAAAAATCGTACGCAGCACATGCCATGGGATTCGTATGGACAAGTGTTTGACCGCGTCATTAACTAACTAACTAACCCATGAAGTGGCTAAGCCTGGGGAGCAAGCAAGACAGTACGACCTGGCTTATATTTGGAAGCTCATCTCTCATCACCCAACATAGAAACCAAAAATGCGATGGAAATATATTCGAAAAGGTATATGCTAGATATGTTACATGTACAGTCCCCAATCCTCCCAATACCCCATTTTTAGTAATTATTATCTATATCATACAATGCAATCATAAACCGTAGAACTGTCTTGGCCGCTCTTATCGGCCAAAGTGCTTAATCTCAACGTGGCGTAGGATAGGGAACGCAATGGCTACAGATACAAGCACTAGCTCGTCGCCGACATCGCCACCATATGCTCCAATTCGCTTTGCTATCGGAGAGATGTACTGTAGTGATAGTTAGCACTGCCAATGGCAAAAGATGAAGAGGGAGGTCGCTTACCCAAGTTTGGGACATTCCCAGGAATGAAAAGCCAATGCCAATCAGCAAAGACAGAGTGCCAGCAATTCCCACGGGCAGCTTCTTGGGATCCTGCCAGGCGTCGAGATCGTAGCCACCCAGGCGAGGTCGGAACAAAAAGTGCTCAATGAACAAAATCTCGGCAAAGGCCAACGTCCAGTAGCCAAGAATGGACAAAAGGTTCTCTAGGATGCTTTCCAAAACGTTGCGGCCACCGTAGGCAAGGGCAAAAGCAACGATGCAGATAAGCGTGCACCAAAAGAATCTAGGGACGGCGATGAAGTGCTTGCCGAGGAGCTGGATCGAGAGAGCGGACGAGTAGACGTTGCAAGTGCAGTCGGCCACTACACGAATGTTAGCAATTGTGGAAAAAGGATAACCAGCTGCAAAATCAACAACTTACAGAATGTCAGGACAAATAGAACAGAGGCAATCTTGCCCCAGACTGGAGGTGATAAAATGGCGAGAATCAGGCCGCCCACGCCGCCGCTGTGATACACCTCGCTAAGCTCTGCATGTGTCAAGATGATGCCACCAAAGTAGTTGCCCAAGACACACACGAAAATGCTAGGAATCACAATACCAGCATATGTCAGTCCAAAGATGAGCCACTTGCTTGTGTTGACAGGATAGTGGATATAGTAGTCGCCTGCAATGGGGCACCACGAGCAGCACACGCCAAAGATGATGGCAAAGTATGAGAGACAGGCCCCGGTATAATCGATACCAGCGGCAAGGTTGAGTTCAGGTGTCGGTGAAAAGTGCGGGTAAGCTTGGCCCCAAAGCACAGAGAGCAAGACGATGGCTACCAGCCAGGCGTAGCGGTGGTAGTGGTGGATGATGCCGTAACCAAAGAAGGAGATGACAAAGGTCAAGATGACAACGACCAAAATACCAACAACCAGACTCATACCGCCGCCAGAAACAGCACGCAGCAGCTGGCCACCCACAATGGCGGCAACAGTGGCATATCCGACATTAATGACGACGTTGAGAACGGAGCAAATGGCGGCGCCCCAGAGACCCATGGAGTATCGGATGAGAGCAAGCTGGCGCAACCCGGTCTGCGGGCTCAGTGTTCCGGCAAAGGCCGGCATGGTCGAACCGACGAGGATAGCAAAGACGGTTAGGATAATGCTGGTATGTACGGAGAGGCCAAAGATGGGACCGAGCATGCCGATGGGGATAAAGGTCGCATTGAAGAGGACGGAGAACCAAAGAAACATGATCTGCAGCAGCAACCCATCGTTAGCTCACACGTTGATATACGGGATACGGGGACTATGATTTACGTTTAGGATTTGCGGCGGCTTGCGCTGGTCCTCGGGCACTCGCTCGACACCCTGCGCCTCGAAGCCATTGAGACTATCAAGGCGCTTCTCAAAGTTGGCGAGCGCGCGAAGCACCGGATTTGCGCGTTGGATTTCTCCCACGCGATCCGCATCGGTAGTCTTGCCGGTGTCGGCCGTATATGTAGCAGGGGCAGCAGACGAGGCCGATTCGTTGTCGAGCGTCTTGGGCATTGTGGCCTGCTGCTTCTCCAAGTCGGGTTGGTGGTTGTGGTGGTCAGACATGATGACGACAGAGCGCAGTTTGTATGCGGGAGGGAATGAGGCTCTGCGGTAGAAGCCTTTCGGAGACAAAGAAGAAGAAAAAAGGAAAAAAGTTGGGCGATCCAAAAAGAGCGAGAGGTGAGAGTCACACCAAGCCCTGAGACAAGGCACACGCGACAAAGGACGTTGGCAAAAGTGAGGGGCAAAGACAATGTCGCGAGAAAGAAGAAAAGGAATTGCCGACGAGCAGTGGAAAAAACGAATTTACAGCAGCAGCGATCTCGCTAGCAAGGGCCAGCGAAGCCGCGAAGTAACGTATGCACGAGGATGGAGGGGGCCGACGTGCGTGTGTGTGTGTGTTGCAGGGGTGGTTGGAAGCGAGCCCATTGAGCAACGGTGCTTTGCTGCAAGCAATGAATGCTTCTTGCATGTGTGTACGCAATTCACTCGCTCAACATGATAAATCCAATATAAAAGGATAAAATGAAACCCGTCTCTTTTTCAGCACGGGCCCTGCTGCATGCTTCTACCAAAAAAGCCATGGCCACCAAATCTTGCATTGCCTACCTGCCACTCGGTGTACAATATGTATAAGTGAGTACACAAGCAAGAAAAACGGTCCCCTGGTAAGTAGAGGCGGAGAGTGCCGACGGGACGAACTGGTGCGCAAACTACACGGGCTTGATTACCGGATACGGAGAGCGAACCGTACGAAACTGAAAATCCAAAGGGTTGCCTACAAAAAGTAATCGAAAACACCCTCGATTGGGAACGCCTCATGGAGACCGTCGCAGGGGATAGCGAGCGAATTACATGGGCCAGTGAAGGCAGCACGCACTAAGAGTGTAATGCGCATGAGTAAGAAAGAGAGGGCCATGCTCTGGAGATGAGCATCAGCAGGAAGAGTAGCAATTCATTAATTAACTGGGGAAGGGTATTTTAAGCAGCGGTGATGCTATTTGCAGGAGGACGTTATTTGCGCGGAGATGATTATGGTCTGGGCAATGGCACTCTTTGTAAGTAAGATGCCCAACTAATACCAAAGCAAGAGACGGCGATGGATAGACTCGTCGGGCGAAAAGATGCCGGGAGGGAAAGCCTTGTCCTTGGTCCCTGCATCTTCGCTTACAACAAAAATACAGCACCATGAAAATCCTTGGTGATTGTTTGGCCTTATTCCCTGGCCAAACACGCGAGGGTTTTTTGTGTTGGTGCTTTTCAGCTTGTTTCATCTTTTTTCCTTTCGTTTCGGGGGTTAATCTCCCGCCATCTCCACTGTGGCGGGGCGATCCTTAGCGGGCGGCCCTCTTCCATAGTGCCCTGGGTTGCGACTTGCGCCATCCATCAGTGTGTTTGCTGCTGCAGCGTCTTCGGGAGAGGCGCCGCCCGCCAATATATAACACAGTCTCATATCGAAATGGCGCTCATCAACTGCCACGAACGCCACCGAAGAAAGATGAGATACGATGTTTGCGTTCATCTGAACCTGCCCTTTTTCCACGATTGGAATTGTTTGCTGTCTGTCTTTCATGATCATGTCTTCCTTTTTGGAGCCTCTATTTTTCACACAGACCACAGCGGGCGGCCCTCTCGGGTCCCACTGACCGAACACGAAAGCCTCCGACTGTTGCCATTCCCCCTCGCGCTAGAGTCTTGTCCCCCCGCTTGCCAACTTTAATATTGTTGTATTGTTGTGTCTATCTGCATTTCCAGGCACAAAAATATGCTTACAGTACTGCTGCTGCTGTTGCTGGTGCTGTAATACTGCAGTACTGCTTCCAGATCCGATACTCTACGCAATGATTGAGGGGAAGCGCATGCCGATTTGCATCGCATCATCATCATCATCATCACACGTGCATCGCCCAGCCACGTTGGCCTGCTGCAGGAGTTTCCCATTCCCACACACACCAAAAGACAAGCAGAGTCCATCTCAGTTCACAAGAAGGGGGGGAAGACGGCCCGTCGTCTCGTACAGTATCGTCACATTTCAACCCCAAAAACTCAAAACGTCCCAAATGGCAAAGGACCGAAACGAAAATATGGACCCTCTTTCTTTCGTTTGGCTCGTTCTGGGCTTGTGGCTTCTGCTCCACCGTCCTGCATTTGCTTGCCGGGAAGCCATCCGGATTGTGGTGGTGCATCATGGAATAGGGGCGGCGCTCAGTGCAACCCCCCGCCTCCAACGCTGCAGCAAGCATGGTACAGTACTGCACGCTCCCCAATCTTCGGAACATTCTTTTGTGAGGCCCGTAAAATGTCTTAGTAACCGTCTGTACAGTACTGGAATCATCTGTGCGTAAGCCTGCAACTCGAACACCCTGGAAAATCGACAACCCCCAGCGCACGGGCTCGCCGGATGCCCATCTTTTTTTTATGTTTTGTGTGTGCATATGTAGGCATTCAACCTTTTGACACCGTTTCTTTGACAAAAAGCCAATTCATGCTGTCGTGGCAGCCATGTAAGACGGCCAGCACATCTAGTTGAGCCCTAGCAAGTGCCAGCGTAGAAAGTATATGCCGCCAAAGAGATAGTCTGTCCAGTGATGGAAAGCTAGTTGAAACTAGTATCGGCAGATTTGAATATCTCGCACACCATACAACAACGGTCCATTCATGTACTGTACCTGCGAAAGCTTGTACCATTGTCTACTAGCTGCAACGTTGTCTGCTGCCTCTAGTGCCGTACCTTGTACTTTGGACAGAAAGAAACCTTCCATCCTTTGTAGAGTAGTGATCTACACCAAGCCGACCGTCAGCAGCCGCTAGCGCCCAAAGACCCGTCTCACGCACCCGCCCTTCGCTCCCGATCCCCAGGGCCGTGCTGCGTTTTAGTGCCTTGTTGCCTGCTATTAGTGCTCTTCCACGCTGCTGTTACGGTTGCCGCTAGTGCTTGTTAGAGCCTAATGCTTTGCAGAGCGCAGCGTAAAGCTTGCCGTTCTAGTCGCTAACAAGACAACACTGTCAGTCAAATGCTTGGTGCTGGCCGCTCCCCGTTCGTCCTCCCCCCACCCACCCGGCTGCACACACGCACGTAACACAAGCGGCACCTTTTTGCCAGTCGCCAGCCCTTTTCTCGTCAGCTTCGTCTTTTCTGCTAATTTACAAATTCGGAAACATCGCGATATTTTCGTTTTTCGCAGCAACTGCGCAGCAGCACCAGCTTCGTATATTCCCTCGGACATATCAAGCCATGGCACAATAGCCACGCTTTGCAATCTACACGCCGCCTCTCCCGCGCGATCATCCGCCACCCCGATCCTTCTTCAGCTTGGCAACGTTTCAGACAAAAACACGCAACGCCACAATGGCTATCGACGAAAGAGCCGCCGAATCGTGGTCATGGTTCGGCATCGCCACCGTTGTCGTTATATTGCGATAGTAAGAATCAACCCTCTCTGACTGGCCTGTGGGTGTGGGCGCCAGAGTGTTGTTGCTCAGCCATGGCTAACCAACTTGCGACAGTATTTCTAGAGCCATTCGCCTCGGCGGCTGGCGATATTTCCAGCTCGAGGACTATGTCATGTTACTCGCCTATGTACGTAAACTAAGGGAAATCATTGCTTCGACGACGACTAACATGCTCTTCTGTAGGGATTCTACACAACCTTTATAGCGCTGGTCAATGTCCAAGAGATGCACCCGAGGACAAATATACTCCCGCCAACAGGCCTCCAAGGCATTAGCGACGAGGAAATCACAGACCGCATACTGGGGTCCAAGATTACGTTTGCCCTCGAAGAGTCTATGATTATGATTCAGTTTCTCACCAAGCTGTGCATGGGCTTGCTCTTCTACAAGCTGACCAGCGGGCTGAAGCGACAGCTCCAAGTAAAGTTTATTATTGGATTTGTTATACTTGGATGGCTAGTCACAGAAATTCTCTTCTTTGGCTTCTGGTGCCATCCCTTTGGCAACTACTTTCGCGTCATTGATAACAACTCACGTACGCCAAACTTGAAATCTGCTACGAGACACCGCTAACTAATAATTATAGCTGGATGCACAACGTCCACAAATCATCTGATCTTGTCGTACTGCTTCAATGTATCAGCGGACTTGTTGCTCTTGACCATCCCGATTCCCATGCTTCTGCAGTCCAATCTTCCATTAAAACGGTATGCCTTTTTTTTCTGCTCCCAAAACAGCTTTTCAACAGTGGCTAATGTATTTCAATCAGAAAATTATCCATCACTGGCGTCTTCAGCCTCGGTGTCTTTGTTGTAAGTTTCGCCTGTGTGAGAGATATCGGCGCCTATCAAACTAACTATTTGGGCAGATTATCGCCGCCACATTAAACAGATACTACAGCTTTGCGCATCCAGAATCCATCTTTTGGATATACTGGTACGTGCGAGAAGCAAGCACAGCCATTTTAGTATCGAATATTCCTCATTTATACGCGCTCATCCGCAAGGTGGTTGACAAGGACAGCTATGCGTACTTTCGCCGGGGAGGCAAGGGATCCAACTATCTCAACTATCTGCCCACGCACGTGGAACTGAGTGATAAGCGATCCAAAAAGCTGAGCGGCAAAGACAGCAAGCAAAAAGGCAGCACTGACGACACCGCTGTCGAAGGAACGGAGAGTACAGAGAACCTCGCCACATCGGCAAACCCTCCACTGCAAATCTGGCAGCGCAACGAATATAGTGTCAACGGCGTCGATGCCAGCGAAGCACAGTGGGATGAAGGGGATATCCAGACCATCTGGAACGGTGGCCTGGGCACCAAAGCCACGATTGTGAGCAACGGCATGCCAGACGAGGAACGTGGCGTTGCGCAGTGAGTGGCGGTGGTGGTGGCATATGCTTGGGTTGGATTTGTGTGTTTTTGTTCGAATACCCCATTGATGCATTTTGGGAAGCATATATTATTTAGATCATTGTTTTATGAGCGGCACGTCATTTTTTGTTTTATTTACTGCATAATGATATTTGAGAGAGATATCATGGCTGTAGTGGAACTTGGACCAGATTGACCAACACCCTGGGGTGGCTAGAAATAGCCCGCCTACTGTACGGATTCATGACGATTTTGAATGGAAAAATTACGAGGATATAATTCGGTTTCGTTTATTCTATTGCCCATGTTCTGCAGACCGGTGAAGCCCAAGGCCGACACGATGCGATCGATCGTATCTGCGCATAGAGTGTGAGCGGGCTGCAGCCTTGTCTTACTCTTGGCCAATCAATGCCGCGAAACTCCCTCAAAATAAAATATGTATCCAGCTAGCAATCCTTCCTTTTTTTCAACTTGTCTCTGTTCCACAGACACTTCTTCACTTCTCTCGTCTCCCCTTTTGACAGGCACACACGCACCACGTTTCCATGGCGTCTGCCTCCACTGGCTAGTCTGCAGATCCAGGTTCCGCTTTAGCATGTGTCGCTACTGTAGCGTTGCTGCGGAGTCCGCTGGCCTGCCCTGCCCCCGGACTTATGGCCTCCGCAGCACCACCACCACCGGCGCCACAGTACTGATCCGTAGCGCACTCCGGTCCCAGGAACAGCGCCGCACATGGAGGTGTGTATTGCGCTAACCTTTTTTTTTACTGGATGCTACCACTGTGACCTCTTTGGTCTGCTCTCTGTTGTTTCTGTTTTTTATGGGTTCGGCATTAGCAGCTTCCTCCGGCAACCGTAGCTCCGGAAGGTGTTGCGCCGCAGGATCTTGCGACTGGCACCGCTTCCGTCCAGAGAGTTTCTATTTCAATTTAAAGCAACCATTGTCCCTCTTCTCTTCTCATCGTAGCATTATTAGCACATACAAACACTCACACTTCGGCCTTTCACATCCAATTGAGTTATTTACCTCGTACCTCACACAAATCACCGCCCATCATGTCCAACTTGATCCCCCGCTTCAGCACCATCAAGCCCGCAAAGCCTACCTTGACGGAGGCTAATTTGCCCGACCAAAAGGGCAAGGTGAGTTAGTTTGGCGGCGGCGCCCAAGCCTATAGCTGGCCAACCGTTCAATGAATCTGTCTAACACTAGGGAATTGCAGGTCTTCATCGTCACCGGCGGCACCAGCGGCGTCGGCAAGGAGCTCTCCGGCATCCTCTACCAGCGCAACGCCAAAGTCTACATCGCCGCCCGCTCCCAAGACAAGTACAATGCGGCCGAAAAGGAAATCAAGGACGCGCACCCCGAATCCACCGGCGAGCTCCTCTTCCTCAAGCTTGTCCTCGACGACCTCACCGGCATCAAGGCCTCGGCCGACGACTTCCTCGCCAAGGAGTCCAAGATTGACGTCCTCTTCCTCAACGCCGGTGTCATGATCCCCGCCCAGGGATCCAAGACAACCCAGGGCTACGAGCTGCAGCAGGGCACCAACAACTTGGGCCATTTCTTGTTTGCCAAGCTGCTCACACCTACGCTAGTCGAGTCTGCAAAGACGGCCCCCAAGAACTCGGTGCGCATCGTCTGGGTCTCGTCGTCTGCTGCCGACTTTGCCCCCAAGCCCGCCATTGACTTTGACAACATGGACTATGCCAAGGACGAGAGCCGCTTCACAAAGTACGCCCGCAGCAAGGCCGGCAATGCTATTCATTCTTGCGAGTTTTCTCGCCGCTATGCCGACTCTGGTGTCATCAGCCTTGTAAGTAGCAGCCTGCGTGTGCTACACAGATGCAGCCCGCTGCATGTTTGAGATGATAAGCCCCCATTCTCGATCGTGCGCGTGCCCAGCGGCCCCCATTGGACGCTCGCATGCATACTGCGCGCATATATATCCTGGTCTATCTATCTATCCATTGCTAACTGGTGTGCGACAACATAGGCCCTCAACCCCGGAAACCTCAGATCGGAGCTCCAGCGCCACATTACCAGCTTCCAGCGTGCCGTTGTCGTAAGTTGTTTGCTCACCACTAATCCCTCCTTCGGGCCGCCTGCATGAGACAGACCCAGCTGACCGGTCAAACTTTAGGATTGGATGCTCTACCCTCCCAAGAACGGCGCCTACACCGAGCTCTTTGCCGGTCTGTCCGACACCATTGACGAGGAAGACAACGGCGGATGGCGTAAGTCTTGCGATTTTTTTTGTCTCGACACTTTTCTGACACATGTTTTAGTTGTTCCCTTTGGCAAGGTTGAGCCTATCCGCGCCGACCTCGCTGAGGCTGAGATTGGCAAAAAGTACTGGGAGTGGTCCGAGGAGCAGGTCAAGCAGTACTGCTAAGATGGCAGCGTGCCGTCCTCCTCGCATCTTTTTCTCTTTTTGTTGCAAATGAATCTCGAAGAAATAGTTTGATGCTTATTTGCTTGATATCCAAATTTACTAATACCATTTACTTTTACAATGCTATAATCTTGACAGCTATCGTGACAGTTGTGTCTGTCTCACTACCCTCGAGCTGGCATATTCAGCCACCCTACCCTGAAGATACGGCTGTTGTTTAAACACGCTAAAAATTATCACTGAACTACTGGTGGTAACTGTAATTGTAGACAAGAATGCTGTATTATTTATTTTTGTAGAATAATGATCCATGTTGGATTATAATGGTGATTTTATACATAAGACTACACAGTGAGACATCCTGCCCACCTCAACGAAGCTCAACATTGAGCTGCTCAACCAGCGCCGTTCGCACCCTTTCGTGAAACTCATTCGCCTCCTCATTCGTCAGCGTCCTCTCCAGGCTGCGGTATACAATATTGTACGCGACACTCTTGCGGCCCGTCTTGGGATGCGTAAACTCGTCAATTAGCCTCACATCCTCCACATCGTCGCCCGCCACATTGCGCACCAGCTCCATGACGTCGTTTTCATGGACAGTCACACTGTTCACATCGGCGCCCTTGGGCGTCAGCCAGAATGACACGTCCTTGGGGCACGGCGGGTACTTGGAAAACGGCACAAAGAGCTTCATCTTGTCCAGGTTGTCCGAAACACCGGCAAACTGCGAGAGGAAGCGCTGGTCCTTGGACCAGAACAGCCGAATATCGGGGATCTTGAAGAGCAGCATGGCAATGCGGTCGATGCCAATGCCAAACGCCCAGCCGAGCTTCGAGGGCACATTGGCGTTGATAAAGAGATTCTGACGGACTACACCACATCCTAACACCTCGAGCCAGTCGCCCGCGTAGTAGACCTCGAGCTCCCACGAGGGGCTAGTAAAGGGGAAATAGGCCTCGACCCAGCGCATGCGCAGGGGCTCGTCGACAAAGTTGGGGTCAGCCTTGATAGCGGCAGCTTTGGCGCGCGAGAAGATGTCGACAACCATATTCTCAAGGGACCGCTTGAGGTGTGCGCCAATGGCCTCGGCCTCGGCGGCGGAGTGATGCTCGCTCTGGAGCGGATTGCGCTCCTCGTGGTGCGGCGGGTTCGGGTCCTCGACGACAACGTTGTGCTTGGGGAGCGCCTCGAGATCTTTGAGCACCGCGGCAGCAATATCGCCGTTGGGTACCGTGTTGCGATCCCACGATCGTGCACCCTCCATCTGGTGAAAGGCCGGGTAGTGGCTGCGGTCAATGGCATCGCGGCGGTACACGTCGGCGGAAATGAGGTATCCATCGCTCTTGTTGGATCGGAAGGTGTCTGCTTGGTGTGCGCTTGTGTGTGTGCGCAGTAGCTCGGTGTTGCTAATGTAGTATGTGTCGGAGAGGGCGCGGCCGGGGTGGTCGGCGGGGAAGCCCAGCGAGTCAAAGTTCTGCTGGGTTGAGACGACGGGGTGGAAGTCGTTGTAGTAGTTGAATGTGGACGAGGGGAAGTGTGACTCGATGATTTGGCGGGTAATGTAGACGGGGTGGTCTTTTTGTAGGTGAAGACGGCGGCTTGTGGCATCGAGGACGGTAGGGGATACGTTGAACCATTTGGGGTCTGTGGCGAAGTTTTGGCCGCGGACGGTGATGGTCGAGTCTGCGTTGAGAGAGGGTTTCGGTGCAGCTGCAAAAATATGTTAGAGACTTATTGAATACTGGTCAGAGTGGCTGGATGGCGGCCTACATGAAGAGTAGAGCCTCAAGCAGGGGAAGCGAGCTGGTGCTGCTTGTCTGGAGGGAAGCGCTATGGATGCCGCATGGGGGCGAGCTAGCGCGGCTATGCGGCGCATAGAATGCAAGCGACAGGCCATGACGAGCCAATTGACTGCAGCAGATATGTGTGGCGGTGGTCTCTGCGATGATGGGTGCGACAAGGAAAAAAAGTGACGATGTCCAAACTTGGAGTAGCTTCATCCTGCACCAGAAGCCCACACGGGTCCAGTTTCAGTGGGTCGTCCAGCGACTTCAGCGCACGCCACAGCGCCAGACGCAAGCCCCAAGGAACACCGCCACATGGGAAGAAGGGGCCCGCTGTCAAAACGGTTCCAGCGCAGCCTGGCCGCTGTGGGTGCCCTGTGCAAGCGAGCCTCCGTTATCGCTGGATCCCTGTGAGGGAATATGTGCAGTGCAGCGCAGTGCGGGTATCGCTATCAGCAGCCAACGGTAGCACTTATCAGGGAGCTGTGGCCAGTGCTATCTGCCCTACAAATTTAGCAGGTCTACTGCTTTTTTGTATTTGTTACTAGCCCTATTCTGACTGGCCGCACGCCTTACCACCCACCATCGCCGTAAACAGTGCTGTATTTTTGTATTCCTTTAGCGGCTCTTCAGTCAGCATCCATGACCTCATCGTTCCCCAAAGGAAATAGCCGAGCCTGCTGCTGTCAACTTTACCTGCCAGACAGCCTCTAGCGGTTCCCCTTTTAGTGCCTGGCCCACTGTAAGGCTTCCCGAAAAAGGCCTGTCATTGGTGCTGGCGCCGAGCCCAAAGCCGACCCGACACTGCGCAGCCCGGCTTTATTTTTCTTTGTTACCTGTTTCCTCTTCCCACCTTTTCGGTTTCCTCTTCTTGCATCACATCCCCAAATCGAGATCAGCCGTTGGAGAAGCAGCCTCGATCATTGGCTGGCCCGCTGCATTTTCTTTTTCTTTTTTAATTGACTCTATTCATACTACTTCTTTCAGAACTGCATCGTGTAATGCCGTTATAACCTCATCTACTCCAACTCTTTTTCTTATTCTTCCCCTTGTTGCGCCAGACCACCCCCCGTCACCATGGCGTTCGCAGAGGAGCCCAAACCAGACCAGCCCAAAAGCACAATGAAGTCGCGGGCTGAAGCGCGGAGGAAGAAGCGAGCTCCTCCTGTTCGTTATCCCTTTTGGTTCGGCGGCAGCGCTAGCAGCATGGCCGCCTGCGTCACACATCCGTTAGATCTTGGTATGCATATCTGTCCACCAGTCGCCGCACTATTCTTTTGCATAGCTAACATTCTGTCTTCCTCTCAACAGTCAAGGTACTACTACACGACGAACAGCGATTTCCATACACTCTTACTAACCAATCCGTCAGGTCCGACTGCAAACACGGAGCGGCGATGCGCCCAAAAACATGAGCGGAACTTTTGTCAAGATTGTCAAGACAGACGGCTTTCTCGGCCTCTACTCGGGCATCTCAGCCTCCCTCCTTCGACAGCTTACCTACTCGACGGTCCGGTTCGGCGTATACGAAGAATTAAAATCTCGCTACACGAAAAGTGGCCGCGAGGCTACCTTCCCAGCCCTGAGCGCCATGGCCATCACATCCGGCTTCCTCGGCGGCATTGCCGGCAACTTTGCCGACGTCCTCAACGTGCGCATGCAGCACGATGCTGCTCTGCCGCCTGCCGAGCGCAGAAACTACAAGCACGCCGTGGACGGCATGGTCCGCATGGCGCGCGAAGAGGGCTTTGGTAGCTACTTTCGCGGATGGCTGCCCAACAGCAGCCGCGCCGCCGTCATGACTGCAGGCCAGTTAGCGACGTACGATACTTTTAAGAGGCTGCTCATGGATTACACGCCCATGGGCGACAATTTGACGACGCATTTTTCTGCTTCCTTTTTGGCCGGTCTGGCAGCCGCTACGGCGACGAGCCCCATTGACGTCATCAAGACCCGCGTCATGTCGGCAGCCAACAAGCAGAGCGTTGTAACGCTGGTCAAGGACATTACACGGACAGAAGGCCTCGGCTGGATGTTCAAGGGCTGGGTGCCCAGTTTCCTGCGATTAGGACCGTAAGTAGCCGTTCTGCCGCCAGTATACAACATATGCTAACCATACCTCGCTAGACACACCATTTGTACATTTATCTTCCTCGAATTCCACCGCAAAGCATATAGACAGGTCAAGGGCCTTAATGAGACGCCCGTATAGAAACACACAAACATAACTCAAAAAGGAGGTCGGCCACGGGGGCCTTTTGGCATGGTTTCTTTTCTTTTTCATGGGCGTTTTTTTAGAATTTCGGTCTGCTTTAACTTCTAACGTGCTGGGTATAGACGGTTTGTCATTACAAACTGAGCAGCCAACACAACCATTTGATTGAAGAAATGGGAATATTTATTTATTATTTCACCAATTAACGTCTTCATCATCGCCTGTCTCCTATGCTACACACCTCTGTGGCTTCATAGGGTGTCCATGTTCTACCCATATGTTTGTGTATGCTCCCAGCTGGTGAATGTGTCTTGATTTTTTTATATTCCGTATTGTACATGAAATGAAAAAGCCCCTATGCCCAAAGTTGACAAAATTTCGTAAATAGCAAGCAAAGCGCCTCTGCAACACCACCAAGACATTTTCTCACTCCATCTGTCTTTTCTGTTATTCTACCACTGGTTCTGGCCGTACGGCGTCGTCCCGTATCCAGGATCGCCGCCGTACGCCGTGCCTGCACCACCACCAGGACCTCCACCGTACGCAGTATTGTTACCGCCGCCGTAGGGTGTTGTGTAGCCCTGGTCGCCCCAGCCGCCGCCAGTCTCCATGTTCATATCGGGGCTGCGCGGGCCGTCCATGTCGGCCTCTTCGCCGCCGTACTTGCGCGGGTCCAGGCCCTTGAGCAGGCCACCAATCTTTTGCTGCAGCACACGGATGCCCGACTGGATGATCTGGTCCGGCTCCATGGTGCCGGCGGCCTCGACCTCAAAGTAGAATCGGTTGGGCTTGGCGTCGTAGTTGAAGGGTTCGCCTTCTTGCAGGGGCTCTTCCCACTCGGCGTATTTGCTCTTGGGCCTAAACATACACTCTCGTTAGAATTTTGAGTCATGTACAGCGTGGGTTAGTATAGCTGTGGAGTTGTACTCACCACTCCTTCTCGGGATCTGTGTTGTTCTCAAACCACCAGTCAAGATGGTGCAGCTTGTTGTGAGGATCGTACTCGAAGCCGACAGCAGAGGTGGGCATCCACTTGGCGTGCTCCTTTGCAATGCCCTTCTTTGCAATACACGTCAGACGCAGCTCCTGGTCCTTGCGCAGCTTGGCCAGCAGACAGCCCAGGCCGTCGGACGCCTCGTTGATAACGGGCGTGCCGATGGCGCTGGCATGGCGGCCGTCAACGACCAAGTCTCGCGCATACACCTTCATAATGTCGTCCGACGTGCACTTGGCATGCAGCGTAAGCGTGACACTGCATTGCTCGCAGTACTGTTCGCAGTCGCAGTCGCGCGAGTAGTTGAGCTCGTTGATGCCCTTGGAGCTGAGCGGGATCAGGCCCAGACGGTGGGCAATGAACTCGTCGGCAAGCACCGACGTGTTGGTCTCGATTTCTACAAGGTCGACCGCAATTGTCGGGACTTCGGCCTGGATGATTCGGCGGAGGGCGTTGGCAAAGGGCAGGTTGGTCTTGGAGAGTTCAAAGTCGACGTGTGTGTGATCGGCCTGCAATCCCAGGGTTAGTTTAAGCCACCACAACAATAGCATCAATTCCGCTTGATGCTAGGTGAAAAACATACGGCAGAGATGATGACCTGAGCCTGCTCCGACTCGCCGTCCATGGCCATGGGATCGTAGCCGTCCATCGTCGCCAAGTTTTGCGCTCAAGGGTGGCCGCGCGATTGCGAGATTGCTGGGTTCCAACGCCGGTCAATCGCCTCGATATCCCTTCACTTTGGACTGCGCGAAATGCCGTCTGTCGAAAGCTGTGCCGGGCGGTGCGCTGCGCTATGAGAAGTAGTTGGGTCAAGGCAGGGGATATCCCAAAACGTGATGAAGCCACTGGGGCGAAAGAAGCAAAGCATCGCGCCGCCGCTCGACCCTGCCCAAAATCCTGACTAAGCACCAAGCAAAAGCTTATCGGCGCCAGTCAAAATTCGATAAGAAAAAAAATATACCAAAAGGTCCCCTCTATACAATTTTCCAACCTCATTGAATTTCATATATACCCTTTGCCTGGCATCACCACAACTTGATCTTTTAATTTCTAGTGCCTGGGAGATTTTCAACCAACCCGATATGAAGGTCAAAGCAATCAGCCGGTCGGTATCGGCTCACCAGCCTCCCGGCTCCGACGTCGTCAAGCAGCAGCGCAACCTCGACAGCGCCTTGCATCCATTCGAACGAGCCCGAGAATACCAGCGTGCCCTGAATGCCGTGAAGCTCGAGCGCATGCACGCTGCTCCCTTTATCGCACAGCTCGGCGAGGGCCACGTGGACGGCGTCTACTCGATTGCCAAAGACCCCAACTCGCTGGAACGCTTCGCCTCGGGCAGCGGTGACGGCGTCGTCAAAGTCTGGGACCTGACTTCGCGAGAACAGACATGGACGTCGACGGCCCACGAGAACATTGTCAAGGGCCTCGAGTGGACACGAGACCAGAAGCTCCTAACTTGCGGCGCCGACCGCAGCATCAAGCTCTTCGACCCGTACCACACGTCCGACAACGCCGCGCCCATCTCATCGTGGCTCGGCGCCGGCGCCTTCAACAGCTTGTCCAACCACCGCTCCAAGAACGCCTTTGCAGCCGCATCAAGCGTCATTTCCATTTATGATTTGGAGCGCCACAACGCGGCGCCCGAGGTCCTCAAGTGGCCCAACTCCACCGACACCATCACCAACGTCAAGTTCAACTACGTGGAGACGTCGATTCTCGCGTCGTGCGCCACGGACCGCTCCATTGTCATTTACGACCTGCGCACCTCGACGCCCGTCACAAAGACGGTGCTCAGCTTCGCCACGAACCAGATTGCCTGGTCGCCCATGGAGGCCTTCAACATGGCCACGGCGTCCGAGGACCACAACATCTACCTCTTCGACATGCGCCGCTTCGACCGCGCCCTCAACGTCCTCAAGGACCACGTTGCCGCCGTCATGGACGTCGAGTTCTCCCCGACGGGCCAGGAGCTTGTGTCTGCGTCCTGGGACCGCACCGTGCGTCTCTGGAACCGCGACAAGGGCCACTCGCGCGATGTCTACCACACAAAGCGCATGCAGCGTGTCATGGCGTCCAAGTGGACGCCTGATTCGCGGTACATCTTGTCGGGCTCGGATGATGGTAATATCCGTCTGTGGCGTGCGAATGCTTCGCAGCGCGAGGGCGTCAAGTCGACCCGCCAGCGCCAGGCCCTCGAGTACAGCGAGGAGCTCATCAACCGCTTTGGCCATATGCCGGAGATTCGACGTATCCGCCGCCACCGTCACATTCCCAAGGTGGTCAAGAAGGCGACGGAGATCAAGAAGGACGAGCTCAAGAGCATCAAGCGCCGCGAGGAGAACGAGCGCAAGCATACCAAGAAGCAGTTCGAGAGCCGCAGGAGCGAGAGAGAAAAGATGGTGCTTGGCAGAGAAAAGTGAGAGCTGCGTGGGGGCTGCTAAGTGTGTGTATAAAGATGCTGCGATTTATAGTAGGATTTGGTTTTTACTCGGCGTTTGCATGGCATGGCATGGCGTTTCTCTGTTTTATTTCATGGGCAGATATGTTCGTTTACAATTGATACATACATTTCTTTTTAAAGTTTTACAGTCACAATGATGCATGCTTTTATGTGAGGGTGCTGCTGCCACCAGGCCGGGGTATATAAAGTACAAAAACGTTGGCTATGGTAGAGGATGAGTCTAGCTAAACTAAATCCAGCAGCTCGAAAGAAAAAAGTAAAACGACAAGATGTTGCTTGGTTGGTTCATTAATCATTACAAGAGCATAAAAGAAATCTCGGTGTGTTGGGGCGGCTCGTTTGAGTCCTTTGGAGGACATCTGGTAAGCTGCCTTTTCTGGTGCTTGTGTTTGCTGGGTTCGAGACTTCTAAGGAAACAAGGCGCATAAAACGACGCTTTTTCTGGTATAGTGTTGCCACGGTCTGTGTGTGTTCTGTTTGTGGCGGGGGTATCGTGGCATCCAATGTCGTTGCGGTGCCTTGTTCGTTCCTCCTGTATGTGCTCATGCGTATGTGTGTGTCTAGGTGCGAAATAGGAAAAAAGCAAAAGATGAATCCGGCAAATAAAAAGAAACTCGGGGCGCAATCCGTCCTCTGTTGCGCCAAACACGAGATATTAAACACAAAAAGTATAGTATACACGCTACCAAGGAGCAACCAAGGTAGGGTTGGAAAGGTGGTAAAGTGGGCGAAATTAGACAATGTCGCGAGTAGCCTTTTGGGGCTTGTAGTTGGGAAGCTCGTCAAACCATCCCGCTTCCTCGTTGTACTTGTACGCGTGGAAGGCGATGCCGTATGGCTTGGGCTCGATGGAGTAGAGCATACCGAGAGGAATGTCCATGTCGGTAATGTCTTCGCGGGTGAGGTCCATGAAGTAGGCCATGAGAACCCGGCAGACGGAGCGGTGTCCAACAATGAGGAGGTGCTCGGTAATACGCTCAATCTCTCGGACCATGTCGCGGAGACGGCTGATGACCTGCAAGTAGCCCTCACCACCGACGCCAGGGTAGATGTAGTTGAGCTTGTCGTGGGCTCGCTTGTGGTATTCGCCAGGGAAATTGCGAGCAATCTCCTCGTACGTCATGCCCTCAAACTGGCCAGTGTTGAGCTCGTTGAGCATCTCCCAGTTCTTAACATCGTAGTCGTCGTCTGCCTCAAAGTATTCGGCAGTCTCGACACTACGCTGAAGCATCGAGGTCCAGACGCAAAAGTTCTTCTCGTCCACATCCTTGTTTACATCGGGGTATGGAGGGGTGTTGTCTCCCGGCTGAGGAGGGAACGAGGCTTGGGCCAACTTGCTCTTCTGCTCAATGAGCCACTCCTTGCGCTTCTGGGTAATAAACTTGTGCAGGGCAAGACCGTAGCAGTGGCCACGCTCTGTCAGCGGAGAATCTCCACCGAGCTTGCCAAGCTGGTTATCGAGACTCTGGCCGTGTCTGGTAATCCAAATTTGGCGCGGCGCAAGATTGAAGCTGGACAGGTAGTTGCTGATACCGCCGCTCAGGAAGCCCTTGAGACGGTGCTGGACAAGCTTACGACCCACATCTACCATTTGAATGTACTGCATGTCGTTATCCTCCTCGTACTCTCCCAGGGGCACATATGCGCTCTCGTACGCAGCCACGCGATTCTTAAAGTCAGCCAATGCCTCATAGGGATCTTTGTCTCTGTAATCGGGGCCGGAAAGCTTGAGGCGCATGTTGGCTTCAAGCAGATCAGGGTCTCTGCAGATACTCTCAATAAAAAGAATACCCAGCTTGGGCTCGCGCTCACGAATGTGGTCGACGACGTGCTGTCTGCGCTGAATGGTACTGTTGGTGGCGTCGAGGATACCAACAGAGCCACCCTGGCACAAAAGGTAGTCTAGGAGTTCATCCAGGGTCTGCATAGCAACCTCCTCTCGCAGGGCCGACGCCTTTTCATTTTTGGGATCGAAGAACTTGGCAGATTGGTCCATGTCGGTGCCAGCGGTGCCGTTGAGATCGAGCTCAGTAGGCTCGGGCTGCGAGCCAAACTCGGGCGTGGCGACGCCGTTGAGGAGGATGGATGCGGCGCGGACGGGGCCGTCGAGGTAGTCGGCTTCTTGGTTGAGTCTTGGCTGAACAGAAACCTTGATTCCTGCAGCATGACGTCGCCGGTTGCCGACGTTGAAAATCTTGGACTCGTGCTGCTGCCACGAGAGGTATCGCTGCAACTTTTTGGTAATGTAGGACTTGCCACGGGCAGGGAGGCCGACCATGACAATGACGAGCTTTGCGGCAACATCTCGTTGGGGGATTCGGCCGTCGGGGGACACGCGCGATCTCGTCATACCGGGGATATTTAAAGTGGTTGCATGAGGGCGTACGCGGGGAGTATGCGATCCTGAATTTTGTCGCAGGGGTGGCCTGTGCCATGAAGTTAGCATTGCGATGGGATTTTAGATAGACTTGAGGAGTGCGCACATTCTGGGGGAGCTGGGAGCCGTCGAGTTGAGGCTGCGCGACAAGGGCGGCGTCTCCGTGAGGTCGTTGACCATTCTCATGGCAGAGGCCATAGCGGGAATGGGTATCGCTGGTGTCGCAAAGGTGACGTCCTTGTGGCTATTTGACTGTTTGTCGGACTCGGGGGATTTTTCGGAGTCGGATGGCGGCGACCATTGCGAGTAGCTGATGTAGTTGCTGCTCATGACGAGCTTTGCGAGGGCAGACTGCTTGGTCTGCTTTCGTCCAACGTCTGTAGAAAAAAAAATCAGGTGAGAATTTGTTTGGTTGGGGTGCGTGCAGTGGCGTTTGCGAATGGCCTGAGAGCAGCGGACGAAGAGAGAAAAAAAATGAAGAAAGAAGAAAAATGACAAAGCAATGCGTGGCGAGAAAGAAGATGAAAAAGGACGAGACAAAAAAGGGAGCTCAGCCAGGCAAAGGAAAAGGAACCGGTGATGCTGACGTTGTTGTGTTGGGGTTGAGTAATGAGTACGCACCTGTTGGAGAAGAAATGGCTGCGGCCAGCATTGTAGGGGAAAAGATAAGATGGAAGTGGGTAGGTGATGAGTGCAGTGCAGCTGTGCAGTGAGGCTTCCAGCGTGCCAATGGCCCTGGATTAGCACTGTAACTCTGTGTAGTGGGAGGCTGTGCTGCTGTTTGCGGCGGGCGGCGGCAGCGGGAGGGGAGGCACTAGCCTAGCAGCACCTGGGCAAGGGTTGTTGCGTTTGTTGTTCCAGGGGGCCCTCGTGGGCGTTGTTAGTGGCTGTCAGTGGAGCGTCGGTGGTCTGGGGCTATGACTCTTCTTCTGTTTCGGGGCGGCCTGTCGCTCGCCTTTCGTAGCAAAAAAAAAAAGGACAAGGGACGGCGCTAGTGGTTATCGGACCAATCGACGGCCAGCGTTTCCCCTGTCAGACCTGCGAAATCGGCTCGTGGGCTGCAGGGTCTCTGCCACTGGGCGACTTTTTCTTTTGTAGAAGGGCGCTGTAAGTACAGTAGTACCTTAGGGGAGTGCTGTAGAGAGTAGCGGCAGCCTGTTTTCTGGGGAACAGAGGCCTGTTGGCGGCTGCTGCGGTGAACTGTTTTGTTTTTGTAGTTTGTATTGTTGCTGTTGTTGTCGCTGAGAGAGTAAAAGGAGGATTTGAGAAGTAGAATAAAACTTCCGTTTTTTTTGTCCCTGGTTTGAGGCGGGCTGCTATGACTCTCCTTTTATTCGCCTGGCGATGCAGAAAGCTTGTTGGTGGTCTGGTGCGCCGTGACAATGCTTGGGTTCGACGCGCACAAGCACAAACTCTAATTCCACCCAAAAAGTAAACCTTGAGCTTCTCTTTTCTTCGGAAATTGCCCTGTCGTCAAAAAGGGTGACGTGTATTTTGGCTTTTTCTTTGCTGAAATTGGCCTGAGACGCAGAAACCTTCCTCGCCAAGATAGAGTTGTTGTAGGGCCAGCAGGGGTTCGTTGTCAATGCGACCTTACTATGCGCTTGCAGACAGTAAAGTAGAGTGCACCTGGAGGCGATAGCGAAGGAAAAAAGAAAGGGGGTGAAATAAAGGAGTTTGGCGTCGAGTCAAATAAAAAGAAATCAATTGAAATATGGCCTGTAAAAATAAAGCCTTTAAAATAAAAGGACAAGTTGTTGCTGCTGAAAGGGGCGAATTCGAATGCCTTGTAAGATGCCAAACCGGATGACGGGCACCCGCAGCGAGCTTATTCTCCAGCTGACTACCAAGCTCACACTGTAGTGGCAAACAAGACAATGCTCGTTTGGGAAATAGTGTTTAACAAGGCAGGAAAAAAGGAGAAGAGGGGAGAGCAGCAGAGTTTGGAAGAAAGAAGTCTGCCAATCGAGGAAGGGTTCAAGTGGCACTGTCAGAATTAATGTATTTTTTTGCATTGGTGCGTGCTGGTAACGTTAGCTGCTTGGCCTGGCCTGCCCCCTCACGGGTCTCCTCACGCACGCACACATCACCGGCGCAATAAGCTCTTGTCTTATCTCTACACTTTTTTCCCCAATTCCGCCCGCCTGCGCTAGTGGACCTGGAAAACGGGGAAAGCCCAACGACGCATAACCAAGGCGACGCTAGTCCATGCACAACAAAGCACCCCAGTGGAAGGCTGCCAGATGGCCCCAAGATACGTCAGACACCGGCCAGGGATGGGCCGCTAGCTTACTACAGGTGGTTTGTTACCTTGCCCTGAGGGGTCAGCAACAGCGAGCCTGGTGTCAGACTAAGACGCTGCCTAGCGATTACGAGTGCCCTGTATTGTTCCTGTACGAAGCTGTAACGAATTGAGCTGCTTGAGGACACCCTTTCTCGCTCAACTTGGGGTTCATAACACATGATGCATTGTACTTTACGCAGCTGTGTACCAGCTAGAAGAGCATGTGCATAAGTCTTGGATCTATCCGAGGAAAATAATAGCCCTAGAGGGAAACGAAAAAAAATACCAGGGAATTGCTTTGACGGAGAGTTTCAAAATCAGAGGGTTTCAAGATCTGAATAATACAATCTCATCTTGGCGCAATGCTGCAGCACGGGATTCAATCAGCAGCAACAGCACCACCAAGCGCACAGCTTGCAAACGCAACGACTACGACTACGAAACCCCATTATCTCGCCGAGCAACTATGGTTTCTCCGGATCAGTCGGGCCGCTCATCATTGCCTCGCACAGGAGGGGACCGCGTATGCAATCAGCCTTTTCCTCTTACCGATGCCTGCCTACTGAGAGCTAGTTGCTATGCTGAGCCACCCAACAGAAGTTTATCCAGCAACTTGGCGACAGCACAAGCACAAGTACCAGCAGACCATATTACTACAACGAGCGTGACCTAGAGTGACACTGTCGGTAGTTGGCCTTCTTGGCAAGACATTCTACGTGGGTGCTAGTTTTGCACATTCTAGAATACGCATTAGGAAACTATTGGCAATCCATGCATGTGTTGCTTCTACTACTGTTGCTGGCGTCGTATTCGCGGTTATCTTCATCACATCTCGTCTTTTCTGGAAGAGCAATCTCATCGACTGCGATGTCGGCCCGCCACATTCCAGCCACTTAGACGCCGCCGATAAACCCCAGAGGCTCCGCAACGTTCCCTAGGAGCAAACCTAGCTAAAGGATTGGCTGAAGAGCTTGCTGTTGCTCTTTTAGGGGAGTTGGTTCTCCAAAAAGGCCGAATCTGCATAAATCAGGCTGTAATTGGGTGGTGCCATCTTCCCCAGTATCGCTGGTAGCTCGGTGTTGGAGACCCGAAGCAGCTTAACAGTAGTGGAGTACACCAAAGTAAAGTAGCTGCTGGCCCAATTTCGTGTTTTCAACCAATTCGAACAATTTCTCTTTTGCAGCGCAGCTGCTTGCTCTTCTACTTTTACTAAGGGCAACCAAAAATACAAGACAGTATGATTTTCACAGTTCTTCAAAGCTCCGCTCCTCCAGAGGCAGAAGCTGAAGCTGCTGGCTGCCTTTGTGTGACCCTCCTTGGGCGTGGGGCGACTACTGTGCGTCAGTGAGTGCCTGCCTTTGCTAGCACCGACAAACCTACAAACGCCTTTCACCTCAGATCCACAAACTTTTCAGTGACGACTTCACACCTGCTATTTACCAACAAGATCCATCATCCGACTCCCAGTCACCAGTCAAGAGTCGTATTTCACAACATTTTCTCCTAGCCTGACAAAAGGGAGAAAAACTCTGCGTTGGTTCAGACTGCTGCCAGCTCTAGTCGTTCACCTGTATATCCGCCGTTTGGCAAGACCATCGCTGCGTCCGGAAAGCTCTAGCTAGCATCTCTGCTACTTATAGTTGGTCATTGCTGCACCATATTGAAGGCACCTTTGTTCTTGTTGGCTATAACCGGCTGTAGCCCTGGTCACGGCTCAAACTGTCCTTGAAAATGGCCACCGTACTTGACCAACCTCCAACGGAGCCCCAGACATCTCCTCCCGAAAGCTCAGCCGAAGAAACCGCGCCCGTTTTTATCAATAGAGGCGTTGTTTCAAATCCTCTCATCAACAAACTAAAGTCGACCCATACCGACAAGGGCGTCTTGATTCCTCTCAAAACCACACAAGAAGTTCGACAGGACCATACCGTTGTACAAGCTTGGGTCACCCGGGCTCCAACTAAATGTGCTAATGACGTTATTGGGTAAGTTTCGTCCTTTGCAGTTGTATACCCCAATTCTATACGCCAGTTGTTGCTAACACACATATAGAGCCCTACGTGACATGAAGCCGGATGGCGCTGCTAATCCCTTGCCACATCTTCGCCGCTGTGCAAAACCTGCTGATCTCCCGCCACACTTCAAAACACAATTCATGAATGATTCTCCCGAGGGAAGGCAGATTCATACATCAAAGTCGACTTGGATTTACATCATCATTGGTGAAACAAAAAATATCGACAAGGAAGAGTTGCTGCAGACCCTTGGTGCTGTGGACGGACTCGAACAGGATGTATTTTTGACTAGCATCCCAGTTCCCTTGTTGGCTCCCACCTCGCAGGTCCAGGCTGCCATGTGGTCGATGCAATTTTGGCCAACTGTGTATCGCAAGAATAACCCTCTTGGACCTCACCCTAGCATGGTGGCTCGAAGCACGGACGAAATCAAGAGTGATGCTTCCATCTGGATGGCTCTCGCATACGATGTAGCCGCAAAGGCCAAACAGTCTGGTATTGGAGAGGCTATCGGTGCCGTTGTTGTTCAGCGAGATCCGTCTGGCGTACAGCTCGTTGCCGTTGCTGGAGATGCTAGGTGGCATAACGATAGTCCTTTAAACTTGCCCCATAATCCCATGACGCATTGTGCCCTTCGTGCTATTAGCATGGTGGCTCAAAAGCTTGTCAGACATGAAAGACGCGCCGCGGGCTTTGATATGTCGTTTGCCAATCTGGAATACGATGCCTTCCAGGATGCGCCACTCTTGGACATGGAAAAGGTTTGCTTTGAGCAAGAACATCCGAACAAGGATGGATACTTGTGCCATGGGCTTGAGCTGTACATGACACACGAGCCTTGCATCTCATGCTCTATGGGCATTTTGCACTCCCGCATGGGCAAAGTCGTCTTCTCCAACCACATGCCACGCACAGGTGGGCTCAGTTCAGACGACCGACCTGATGATGGAGGACGTGGCTTGGGTTTATTCTGGAGAAGAGAGCTCAACTGGAGTCTTCTTGCATGGGAGTGGGAACGTGATGGAGTTCCAGAGCTTCCAAGACTACACCCGACCACTCATGTTTAGGCGTTGTGGTGGCCTTTCAGCCACAAAACAAGAAAGAGGAGCAAACGGTATCAACACACAAAGCATTGGTAATGGTAGCAACCGATGGGCGCTGGGCGGCGACATACATAATGAATAACATGAAAGACTTTTCAAATAATATGCTGATTGAAGTATTTTTTACCATGATTAAGAGAAATACGGATGTAAGGGGCTGAAAGTACTAATGCGAGAAAGTCTACCCGGTAGGGGTTGGCAGATGCAACGATTGTGTATAGCTAGCAAGGAGGCAAATTCACTGCGATTAAATATCTGATTGGTTGCCAACTCTTGCCACTGCTGGTACATCAATGCGAAGCTGGGCTCAGCTCTGGGCTGAAGACGCATCGTACGGCTGGACGAGGTACAACAAGGCTGTCTTGTTCCTCTTGAGGATGCATGCCTTGTTCTGTACTTTTGTAGGGGTGGTGGGCAAGACCCGCTGGCAAACTGGTAGGCCCCCCCCCCTCTCGTGCTTGTTTTTTTCTGTTTCCTTCGCCCTACCTTTCATGCTTGAATTTCCCACCCTGAATCAACGACTTGCTGCTCTGCTCCTGGCATAATTCGGCTTCTCGCTCTGCTGGAATACAAATTACAATAATTGAGCCGTCGCCGACGCCCGAGAGTAGCTTGCTTGGCCCAGTAGCAGCTTCAGCAACAGCACCACTTGACACGCCAGCGCCTACTGTATGGTGACATTTTGAATGCGGTTCGCGCTGACTTGGCTATATTCACCAGTAGCGACAGAGACAGCTTCCTTTACGGTTTCCAAGCTTTACCGACGCCAGTGCCACCGGCTTTCACGCGCGTACACTACTGCAGCGAGCATCCCCCGCAGCCCTCGTCCCCCAACTAATTGGCATATTGGTCTCCTCTCGTTCGGAACCACTCTCTACAATATGAACAGAAAACGAACGGCGCCCCCCGCGGCAGTGGCCTCTACAATGGGCAGCACACCGAAGAAGAGAAAAGTAGAGAAGGAGCAGAAATATTACGCCGTACAAGTCGGCTTCCGGCCGGGTGTGTACTTGACGTATAACGAGTGCTCGCAACAGACGACTGGGTTCAAAGGAGCTGTCTGTAAGTCTTTCCGAGAAACTGATCCCCCATTACAGGCGCAAGCAAAGTGATTGCTAACCAGTTCCCTGCTAGTCAAATCATTCACCTCGAAAGACGAAGCACACCTCTTCGCCGCCGGCAAACTCAAGACCACACCCAAAGAAGGGCCACAAAGATATTATGCCGTCGCCGTAGGCAATCCAACAGGCATTTATACCGACTGGGACGATGCAGCCGCCGCTATTAAAGGCATGAAGGGCCCCAAATATAGGAAATTTCTGGATCGGGCAGAAGCCGTCGAGTTTATTCGCGAATTCGGAAGCCCCGAGGCTCTCGCAGCGCTGGGCGCGGAGGGGAAGACCACGGCAGCTCGTCCTGCAGCGAAAAAGGTTACTGCCGTACCCCCGCCGCCTGCTGATGGCGTATTAAGAATATACACGGACGGTAGCAGTTTAGCCAATGGGCGAGCTTCCTCCAGAGCGGGTGTTGGTGTCTTTTTCGGTCCTGGCGACCCTCGCAACATCTCGGAACGACTCGTCGGCGAGCCGCAAACAAACCAGCGCGCGGAGCTGATGGCCATGCTGAGAGCTCTCGAGAACGCCCCTCGAGCGCAGCCGGTCCAGATTTATAGCGATAGCCAATACTCCATCAACTGCGTGACGCAGTGGGCGGCTGGCTGGAAGAAGAAGGGCTGGGTCACGGCGACAGGGGAGGAGGTGAAGAACCAAGATATTATCCGGTCGGTGCTGGACAAGATGGACGAGCGAACAAGAGTCGGCGGTATAACAACTTACCAATGGGTCAAGGGCCACTCGACAGACGCTGGCAACCAAGCAGCAGACAGACTAGCGGTGGCCGGCGCCAAGATGTCGCTATAGCGGCACTCGCTGGTTTCGGGGCTGGATGGCGGCTCGATGGCGATTGTGTGTCTGCCGCTGCTGCAGCAGATGATCATATGGCGGGAGGGACGATCCTGCAGAGCAAGGCGGCGGGTGTGCGGCGTTGCAGGGCCGGTACCGTATGGCTTGAGGCTGCGGGGCCAGCTCTATCAGCTTGTTTCTACAGTCATTATCCGTCCTGTTCTCTAGTCTATGGAAATCTGCTGGCGCTGCAGCAGAAGAAGCATTCTGGATCCGGCAACTTCTCCTTTGTCTTGTGCTGGTTCGAGGTCAGTTTGCTCTTAGGCAGCCGCTGCCAGACACAGGTGTTTATTTTTGGTGGGTGTATTTAGGTGCTCTTCTTCGTCTTCTTTTTTCATTTATCCTTCTTTAGCGTTTTAGGCGTTTTTGGGTCAGCCAGCCACAGCCACAGCGGCAGTAGCAGCCAATATAAAAAACAAAAACTACACTACCAATATGCATGTCTCTCGGCTTCCCCCAGCCAGTTCGCTCGCCAATGCCTGCCTCCCGAGGTCTCGTGCGCATGCCACCATAGCCATGCCCATGTTTCTGCCATGACGCAGTCTTTTTCTGTATTTTCACGGGTGAATTGTGCTACAGTACATACTACATTGCTACTACTATCCGCTACTATAACCCTGTCAAAGAGGCTGCGCTGCATCTTCAGCTGCCTGCCTGCCGCCCACCGGCGTAAAATGTGCCCGGGAAGCCGCCAGAGCCGGGCATCACGGCCCAATGTGCGCTGCAGGCCAAGCCGCTAGACGACCGCCCGGCGGGGACCGTAGGGGCCCTGTTGACGTATTAGCAGGCCGCTCCGGGCATGGGGGATGTCACGGCGACGGGGGGCGGCGGCGCAGCGAACACTTACCCCAGTAAACCAACGGAAAAAACCACCCATTAGGTGCTTTTGCCCCTCCTTCCAGTGGTCATGCCCCCCGCTAACCCCCCCCCTCCAAATGCTACAGTAGCCCCCCTCCCCACGGAGGCGAGCCCGCTAGAAACTGGCGGACGAGCAGCGGGTTTAGCGGCCTGATCCGCTGCTGCACGTCATGGAAGAAAGGAAAAAAAAACTATGGAGGCGCGCGACCCGGTGGATTTTCGCATGCTTTATTTTGCCAAGCCTACGTCCACCTCTCCCTCTTTGCAAAAAACACCACCATTATCTGCTTCGACAAAGCACTCTTTGCTTGCTTGCTGAAAACGAATCTTCGAAAACCTTTCATAGGCACATTGTCTCTAGACAGACAGCCTGAAACCGAAAACAGACCCTTCGTCGACAACAAACCACCGAGGACGCTATGATTTCCGCTGCCTCCATCGCCTCCAACATCTTGATCGCTGCCTTCATTCCGCTTTGCTAACGTTTGCTTTGCGGGGTGTATTACCTCGATCACATCACCTAACGGAAGTTCTCTTTCGCTAGCTACATCTTCAATCTCTCTCTATCTCTCTTAGCTGTCGCCAAGCCTACGATCATCGAAAGACAATCGCCGTACCGCACGACTTTTGCCAAGCCAGGCGGCCCGCTACGAAATGGCCAAGAATATCTGGCAAATCCCACTGGAGCTCTCCGACTTCAACATCATTGTTGCTTTGCTTGGAGGCTTCATCTCGCTGTTTGGCCTTGTCTCGTATCTGCTCAAAGAGCACTGCTACCTTTCTGAAGCCTGTATGTTTGCCATCACATGCCCGTATTCAAAATGCGTGGCTCTTCTTTTTTTGTCTTGGCTTTTGTGCTAACCATATCTTGCAGTCATCTCGCTCCTCGTCGGTGTTGCTTTTGGTCCCCATGGTGCCAACTTTATCCGGCCTACCGCCTACGCGGAATGCTACCAGGAAGGCGTCACAGCCCATCAGTGCGAAGACAACCTCAATGGCATCACCCTCAACTTCTCTCGCCTGGTCCTCGGTGTCCAGCTGGTCTTGGCTGGCGTCCAACTGCCCAGCAAGTACCTGAGACGCGAGCTCATTCCCGTGCTCTGGCTCGTCGGCCCCATCATGACGCTCATGTGGCTGGCGACCAGTCTGCTTGTCTGGGGTCTCATCCGCCCTCCGAGCTTCCTTCACGCTCTTGCCGTCGGCGCTTGCGTCACACCTACCGATCCGGTCTTGTCTGCTGTCATTGTCAAGGGTAAATTTGCCGACAAGAATATCCCCAAGGAGCTTCAGAACTTGATTGTTGCCGAGTCGGGAACAAACGATGGGTTGGGATACCCGTTCCTGTTCTTTGCTCTCTACCTCATCAAGTTCGTCGGCGCTGGTGCCACCTCGGGCGACGCAAAGGATGCCATGGGTCTCTGGTTCGGCTTGACTTGGGGCTACACCATCATTCTCAGTGTCATCTACGGCGCTGCTGTCGGATTGCTGGCAAAGTGGTTGCTGCGATGGGCCGAAGACCGAGGATTTGTCGATAGAGAGAGCTTCCTGGTCTTTGCCATTTCGCTGGCCCTCTTTGTCTTGGGCACCTGTGGCTTGATTGGCACGGACGACGTGTTGGCCTGCTTCATCGCTGGCAACACGTTTACCTGGGACGACTGGTTCCGCTTGGAAACAAAGGACGACTCGCTCCAGCCCACAATCGACATGCTTCTCAACGTGTCCATCTTCCTCTGGTACGGTGCTGTTATCCCGTGGCACGAGTTTGCCAACAGCACCGTCATTCCTCTGTACCGACTCGCCCCTCTGGGCCTGTTGGTCTTGCTGCTTCGACGTCTGCCTTGGGTCTATGCCCTCCACAAGTACATCCACCAGATTGAGCAGCACCGTCAGGCAATCTTTGTGGGCTTCTTTGGCCCCATTGGTGTGTCTGCCGTCTTCTACCTCTTCATTGCCATCAATTTTGTTGAAGAACACTTGAGCGATGAAGATGGTACACCCCGCAGCGATGTGACCGACCTCATTGAGACCGTTCGCATCGTCGTGTGGTTCTTGGCCGTCTGCAGTATTGTTGTCCACGGCCTGAGCATCCCGCTTGGCAAGATTGGCTATCTTGCGCCCCGAACCCTGAGCAGAGCTCTGAGCGAGAACGTCAGCGAGGACGGTCTCGGCAGCCGTCAGCTCAGCCGTCAATTCCTTCCTGGCCTTGGACGTCGCATCACGTCCCGCAAGAATGAAGACGGCAACACTGCGGTTCTAGGAAGCCGCATTCATACCCTCTCTCGCCCCGCGTCGGTCAAAATCTCTCGTCCTCCATCTCGCCTCCGCGATGTCGAAACCGGGGATGACTCCAACGGCGAGGAAGTCTCCTCGGGAGGCGGCTCCCGCAGCCCTCTGGTCGATCGGGGTGTCAAGCCTCTGAGCCGTCGTGAAATCCGTTTCCCAGACGAATAGCACTGAACCTAAGGGCCGATCATTTGTTCTTACCTGCATTTAACCGCTGTTGAAGGACTCAAATTGGTTAAAACGATATAGTGTGATGATTTATACATGTTGCATATTGCATGATTTCCAACGATAGCATTTGTATTGCATGGTTTGAGTAATAGTGAGGTCGAGCTGTTTGGCACGGCCTGGGGATATTTGTAGCATATTTGCCTTGGCATTCATCATTGGATATACGTCGAGTTCTCTCAATTTTTTTCTTAGTAGTCGAATGCTATATTTTTGTTTGAAGAGATCGTATATGCACTCCATAAACAATACACGATCACCGTGACAAAAGAACCCGGGACCAACCGGGATATTTACTCTTATCAAATCGTGGGCAAGGCCGAGATTTGCCTTGCACCTCGGGCCGACATGGGTCCAACGGGAGCATATCAAGATCCTCGCTTGCGCCACCAAAAACGGGCGTAGAGGGTGCAGATTGAATCATGAACCTGCTGATGCACAGTGAATTCCGTTCGACGGAGTAAAGGCCGGTGTGGTTCGTGGCTTTCATCCATTATCTTTGTACGATTGGCTCCCAGACAGCAGAACACGTTTTGATACGGGCAGCAGACAGACAGCCTCACAGAAGAGGAAATGCATGACGGCTACAAATACATTGATACACATGCATGCACCCAGATAGGGGAAAGCAGGCGGCTGCAGATGGCTGCAAGAGGCAAACCAATGGTAGCCAGCACCAATGGTAGCCAGCGGAGGCTCCGGTTGTCAAGTATGCACGCATTGATAGGCATCCTTTTCGTTTCTTGTCTTGCAGTTTCTTGGCTGGCTCTAAGGCGCAGGCTATTATCTGCCTGCAGTCAGGCCACGGAGAGACCAGGGAACCAAATGATACGATGCCAGTACCCATGAACGGATGAACCGAGAAGGCGAAGACTACTACGAGAGAGACAGACAGGCAGGGAACCCATACCGGGGCAAATCGGTTCTGTTTGGTGTTAGTGCGAAGAGGTAGCAGCCGATCAGATAGACCCTAGTCCGGTACAGGTCTGGAGTTGGACAGGTGGCATGTGTAAAAAGGCGGGATGTCGCGGGAAGCCGGGATTATTTCACGGTTCCGTCTAGCCCGTGCTCCGTGCCGCAAAGATGCAGACGCCGTTGTGCAGGCAGAGGGGAGTGGGATGGCGTGGTGGGAGAAGAGAAGAGAGGGAGACGGCGCGGGGGATCGTGGGTGGCCGGCCGCCAGTTTTACTGCCACGGTTTCTACTGCAGTTGGTGGTGGTGCTTGCTGCAGGATAAGTGCATGTTTGTTGAATCACAACACTTGGAGCATTAGAGAATGATGAAGCTGCTGCTGCCTCGGTTATTGTTGAATAGCCCGCTTTCAACACATTCACAAGGGAATGAAAGGACAGATGTCTAATAGCTTGCGCAATCCCGTGACGTCGCTGTCGTGTGATTGGCAGCGTGGAATGTATAAGAAGCACACAGAGAGGATTAGCAGGCGCCCAACTATGACTGTGTTGTGTGTGTGTGTGTGTGTGCAGCAGCAGCAGTAGGAGCAGTACCAGAGAAAGCGTTCCCCAACAATTTTTGGACGGCGTATGTGCGCGTCGTGCCAATTTTTCCCTGGGACGCGGTTACATGAGGCCAAGGTACCGATAAACATCGAATGGCGGAGTACTGATTGGCTCAGATTGGACGATGCGCAGTGGCATTGCGTATAAACACACTGTACATTTACGCCTGATACACGCACAAAGTCTACAGTGCGCAGGGTCATTCTTTGGCCCCACCATCTAAAAATCTGCTACTCTTCCAGGTACATCACTGCTAGGTACCCATGGACTTGCCCCACCATCCTCCTTCCACCACAGACAGCGCCACGCATTGTTTTAGTGCATTCGTACTGCATCAGGCCGCTGTAACTCACACACTTGGCGCCCACCGCCTCCTTCAACCCCAGCGAGGGGTCCCCTACCAGGCCCAGCATCCCCTAACCCAGCACGCGTTGCAGCGGCGCAGACTCTCCAGGTTTTAGTGGACTCGTGCAGGGTTCGCGGGTCCATTTCAGTGGGTTTAGCGGTGCTGGATGCCGCTGGAATCGACCCTAAAAGGGGGCGGCGGTCGAATCAGAACAAAAGTAACATCAAAAGCTTTTTCCGTTTTGTCTTGGCCCAAAGGAGGAAACAGACAATCCGCGCTGAGAAAACATAAAGCATAAAGCATAGACGCTGGTAAACTATAGAGATAGAGTTAAACTGCGATATCGCACACCCTCACTACACACCACCACTGTGATACTGCGCAGCCTCAAAGGCCGACGGGTTCCCGGCTTTCACCGCTGCAGCAGCGCCGTTTTCGTACCTTACAGCGCCTCCCAGCTTCCATCGGCCTTCTATAATCCCCTACCGTGCTTGCTGCAGAGGCCACTCTGTGGGGCCCACACCCACTGTGGCAGTGGTAGAGCGCCCCCCCAGTCCAGCCCAGCCCAACCTAGACTGGCGTGCTTTGGTACCGCCTACAGTTACGTACACTGCGGCGCTCGCTGTGCAGAATTCATCTCCTTATCGTTTTTGCCTCTTGGCCTTCTTTTCCTTTCAAACACCGCATGCCACGTCCCCCGACCGTCGCCATCCCCAAGGTCAACCCCATCAACTGGATCCAATAAGGCTGCGGGACGTATTTTCTTTGTGTTTTCCTCTTTCTTCTTTCAACGACGCCGCCTGTTGCTGCAACCACCGAAACACCACCCGCCGACCGTGTGTGTGCGCTGTTGCAACGCTTTCCAACCCCCAACTCCGCCGCTGTTGCGACTTCCTCAACCACCAAAACGCAGCACAACCGCACGAATCGCACGAATTGAACGCCGTCTAGGCAACCAGCCGCGACCAAACCTGCTTTTGGGTGCGAAAAACACCCAAATTGCCCGCCTCTGCGCTGGTCATGACATCAGCGAGCGGTCCCGGCCACGGCAGCCCGATGATCGCGGGGGCTCTCCATCCCAACACGGATTTCCACGACTTTTCCGAGGATGAGCTTGCTGCTTCCAACGTTTTCAACTTTGCCGATAGCCCCGACACCCTCCAGACCCTAGAATCCGCCGCCAGCGCCAACAGCAAGGACGCAGCGGCCTTCCTAAACCCCCAGCAGCTCGCGGCGGGTCCGTTGCCGGACTCTCCCAACTCATACCACGACGACTCGTCCGAGTCTGCTGAGTCTTCTAAGCGCGCAGACAGCTCCGTCTCCTACAAGACGCCCGCGAGCACCACAGACGCCAGCATGGCCGATACTGGCGATGTAAAGATGGAATGGGGCGCTCACAACGGCTACGGCTCATACGACGATGACGATGCCGCCTTCAACTTTGGCTCAACGGCAGACTCGTCACACATGACGGGCATGTACGGCTTCGACGCCCAGGATGACAGCTTCATGGACCAGTCCTTTGACTTTGAGAGCGCCTCAAGCAGCCCCGACGCCCTCGCCGCGGGGCCTCCGCTCAATGTCGCCTCACCAGCCATGCCCACCATCAAATCCAACAACACGCCCAACAATGCCAAGCTTGCGAACAAGCAGAAGCAAACACAAAAGAAGGACAAATCTGTAAGTTTCAAGAAATAAAAAATTAGCATTTGTTTTTATTTCAACCCTTAGGCTATGAGTACTAACAATTCATTCTCACAGGCGGCACAATCAGATTCCAGAGAAGTCTCGCCAATGTCGACGTTAGTGGCCAGCCACAACTCATCGCCGAGCACAAATTTCTTGAACTCGCCGCAGTCCAACATGGGTCTCGACTTTGCAGTCATGAGTGCCAACAACATGTGGCCCAACGGCACCGCCATGCCTGACGGATTCGCCAACGGTTTGTCACAGTCGATGCCCATCCCGCAGCAAATGCCCCTCTTCAACACACCCTTCAACTTTACCGGTGGCTACGAACTTCGAATTCTGCCGACGCCGTTAAAGTCGAGAGTCGAGACCCAAATCCCCATTAAGATGACCTTGTCACCGCTGCCTCCGGGCGTCACCAAGCTGCATCTCCCCGCTCACACAATCTCAAAACCTAAGCTCCTGGCAAAGCCCCCTCCAACGCGGACGCCCGACACACTCGAGCTGCACGTCAGTCTCGTGTGCACAAGCGCCATGGAGCAGCCTGAATTGAAAAAGGCTGCCCTACAAAGAGCTTCCGTAGCCCCGCAAGGCAACCCACCCATGCCCGACGAAGAAGACGGATCGGGACAAAATGGAGGTGAGGTTCGCATCTGCTCAGGTTGCATCACCAGAGAGCGCAAGAGAGCTGCTCGCAAGAAGATCAAGAAGCCTGATGAGGAGAAGATGTGGAGCCAGGATGAGGAGCGCCGAGTCATCGTCTTCAACACCCAGGAAGTGAAGGAGTGGCAGCCTCTCAGCGGCGTGATGGACTCCAACGGCCAACCCGCTGGATCAAACCGCGCCATGCAGATTGATGCGCCCATGAGAATAGCCTGCTACTGCCGCCATCACGGTGAGAAGATGGGCTTCAATGTCATCTTCACTATTAAGGATCATCAAGATCGCGTCATCGCCCAAGCCATGTCTAACCCGATCATGATTACTGATGACCACAAGACGCACCCCATGGCGCAGCTCAACTCTCAACCTCCCATGTCCGAAACAGTCACCTCCTCCACTATCCCCTCTAACCCTGGTCCTGCCATGGACCCCAACGCCATCCTCGCTGCCATGCAGAACGGCGCATTCCCTATGCAACAAAACGCCGACGCTGCGTCGCTGCACCGAAGCAGCCAGGCTTCATACGCTAGCTCAGTTGCCTCGGGCAAGACAACACCTACGCTGAGCAACAGCAATATCCACGGCAGATCCATCTCGCGACCCAACTCGCCGAGCCAAGGCGGCCCTACAGCCAAGCGACGAAAGGGAAGTAGCTCAAGAGTACCAAACGGTCTGGAGATGACCCGTCTCGATACCTCTCCAGCTCCTACATCGCAAGGAGGCCCCGGTAGCCATATCTCCAACGCAGCATCGCCCTTTTCACCGCACTCAGCGTTCCCCGCCGATGCCTTCTTTGGCCCTAACGGACAGGCACCATTTAGCAATGGACCTCCTACGCCAAACAACGAACAGCCCTCGTTGTTTGCTCCCAACAGATCGACGAGCATGGACAACCTGGCGATGTCTCACCTCTACTCTGCGCCTACTTCGTCACACCCTAGTCGTGCTCCCAGCCCCAATGGCCTCCGCAACTCCGCCGCGCAAGCCCAAATCTCACAAGCCCTGGGCACAAACGCCATGTTTGGTATGCCGATGGGTGTCAACTCACCGAGAGCGCCACCAGTCATCCACAAGATTATCCCCAACGAAGGACCCAAGATTGGTGGCATCGAAGTCACTGTTCTTGGCGCCGCCTTCTTCCAGGGTCTGGAAGTTTGGTTCGGAGAGCAGCGCGCAACCACGACCACTTTCTGGGGAGAGTCTTCGCTTGTATGTCTCTTGCCCCCGTCGGCTGTCGCGGGCACCGTTGCTGTCACGTTCAAGCACCAGGGCGTCCAGCCTCAGAGCTTCCCTCTTGGAAAGTCGCCGCCTACCTTCAAGTACATTGACGATAACGAGGATAAGCTCATCAGAACTGCGCTGTCCGTCTTGGGCCACAAGATGTCTGGACAAATGGTAGATGTCAGTGACTTGGCACGCCGAATTTTGAACGACGGCAGCTCAGGCTGGACAGGCAATGGCGGCGGTTCGTCTGGCGGCCAAAATGGTGGTGGAGCTGGCTTTACTCAGGCGTCTCAAGAGCAACAACACCATGAGCATCTCGAGTCACAACTTCTTAAGGTGCTGGATCTGATTGACCTTGACGATAGCACCCACCGAACTCGTCTCGATCTCCGTCGACCAACCGGCCACACCATGCTTCATCTTGCATGCTCGCTGGGATACCACCGCTTTGTAGCCGCTCTGCTCGCTCGCGGCTCAAACCCCGATGCTCGTGACAAAGGTGGCTTCACGGCGCTGCACATGGCTGCTATCCAGAACAACGCCGAGGTTGTGCGCCGCCTGATCATTGCGGGAGCCGATCCTACTATCCGAAGCTTGTCTGGCCTGACCCCAGCGGACGTTACGCAGTCTCGCGGTGTTCTTCGTGCCATCCGCAGCTCTCAACGCCATGTTCGATCCCGCAGCGGCGGCTCGATTCACAGCCGCGCCAGCAGTGCAACCTCATTGCGATCACTCTGGGAACCATTGGCCCGCGCAAACACACATGACGGCCCGCTGTCTGTGGATTCGAGTGAAGAGAGCCTTGAATATACTTCTGGCGACTTTGAGGACGAGGATCCCGATGAGAACAACTACCTGAGCATGCGCCGCCCAAGCGGTATGTCTCAGGAGATGAGCCGACCCGAGCTTTTGGATGAAGAGAGTGACACGGATAGTGCAACTGCTTCGCCTACAACAGCTTTGACGACTGTTCTTAAGGACCAGTTCCAGCAGCAGCTACAGCAGTTGCAACAGTTGCAGCAATCCATGACGATGCACCTACAGAACCTGACACAGTTGCCTCAGATGCAGATGCGTGTTCCGGGAATGCCCAACCTGCCCGACTACCAGTTAATACAGCGACTGATGCCCCGCAGAGGTGCCCGCCCTGGCTCCTCCGACTCTTCCAACGACGGTTCCGAAGGTAGCCCAGACGCCCCCGGCAAGATGGACAGCCGCTGGTGGGATATCTCGTCGTACATTGGCGCTAGCAACAACAACAACACCACTAACAATAATGTTTCTGCGCCACCACCTGCGTACGACGAAATCTTCCCTCAAAAGGATCTTGATGAGAAGCAGCGTTCGGCCGCAGCCGCAGCAGCCGACGCGGCAGCTGACCAAAAGTGCGCGACACTGTACGATACACCGTCAACAACCACCAAGAGCAAGAGCAAGAGCAAGGTGGCTACCAAGACGGAGCAGCCCAAGACAGAGATGCTCATGATTGGTCGCAAGAACGCGATTACCAAAGAGCAGCAGGAGCAGTTCCTCCGCGCTCACGAGCAGAAGCTCAAGGGCATCAGCAGCGACCGCAACCTCTTCTTCATCTGGATCCCTCTGCTGCTAGTCATGATTTGCGCCATGCTCTACAGCTACTTCCCCGGTCTGTTCCCCTTTGTGTGGACATCGATCCGCGCCGTCGTGCAGGTTGGCAGCACAAAGGCTAGCCGCTACCTGCAGCTGAACCAGCAACCAGCAGCTGTACCTGCTGTGGAGGTGTAACCAAACTATACAAGAATGGCGTTGAGTGTTATTCTATTTGTACCCTTTCTTTACAAAAACCAACAACAACAAAGTAGCTCCCTACTTTTTTGGTATTATTGCAGCGGGCGGGGTTTGGATTCTGTTCCATATGATATGTTTCTGTTGTGTTCGTCATCTTCATGTATACCGGAGGGAAAGATTCTCCTGTACCTCGCAGCGGCAAGTGCTTTCTTGCTAGACGCTGCGTGTTTGTTGATTCATTTTTATCCGTTTTTGGTTTCTGTGTCCTGGGGTGGTGGTGCTAGGGTTGTTTTGTGTTTTTCTTTCTTACTACATTGTGTGTCTTTTATTCCTCTCTCGGAGCAGCATGTCTGCATTTTTTTACCTTTTACTCTCGTTGCGATTTGGGAATCAGCGAGTCACGGCTTACTTTACGTAGATATATAGGATTAATTCTGCCGCTCTACAAGCGGCTGTACTTTAAAAACATTTCGTCTCCTATCGTGTGATGTGTCGAGCATGTATACACAGTTACTTGCAGTAGTTACGATGTCGAGCTTGTATACACATTCACTTGCAGTAGGTACAATGTAAGACTTGTGATTTGATCAAGATGCAACAGCTCTCATTATATCCGATCCATCCATTCCGTAGTATGCTCCGAGTTATATACAGTTCCAAAAAACATGAAAAGACTTTCCATAGAGAAAAACACACATCAAAGACATATCGCCGTACAACCGACCGTCTGTGTCCGCAGACCAGGGGTAAAAAAGCAAAGTATATCGTTAAGAGTCATAAACACATGAGTGTGCGTGCAGTGAGTGCAGCAGCAACACGGCGCCTCCCGTCTCCCTTTACCAGTAAGTTGTCTCTACTAACACAGTGCTAGCGAATGCGAAGACCTCGCCACGGCCCATTATTCTCGCGATCCTCGCCATACGTAAACTTGGGCGGCAGAGCAGGAATACCTCGATTGGCATCGGGCACCACGCTCAGTGGCTTGCCGTCGTCCGAGCTACTCTTCTTGGAACAGCTGCGACCAGTCTCGACCGTGGCTGCTGCAAGTCGATGCGGCGTAGGAGCACGCTTGGTCAGCCTGTTACGCTGAGATAGTGTGCTCGACGAGGCAGAGACGCTGCGGCGGCCGCCACGACGACCCATGGACCCTGTCGACGACGCACTGTCTCGCGTCTTGGGCATGAACATGAAGTCGTTGGACATGATCTTCCTCAGCTTGCGCTTGGGGCCAATGTCCTTGGCAAGGATATAGTTGGGCGAGCCCACTTGATCCATCATCTCATTGCCGTCGTCATTCTCCTTATCAGAGCCAGCATGATCGGTATCGTCATCGTCATCGCTATCCGCCGCAGCTCGCTTCGTGCCTCTGGATGACGCACTGGCTGGAGACCGCACTGCAGACGGAACACGGACAACAGTAGGTGTAACGGGGGCCAAAGATAGTGGCCACATGGGCGGGGTGTCGGTGTTGATGCTGCTTGCAGTCGAGGGTCGTGGTTTGCGTCGCGGCAAGTCCTCGCGCTGCTGGGGCGTCGGGGCCGGAGGAGGCGGGACACGAGGAGGAGGACCCGGGGCAGGAACTCGCGTAGAGTGGATGGCGTTGGCCTTGAAGAAACCCTGCGATACAAGCTGCTTGTAGCTGGCAAGAACTTCGTCTGGCGAAGCGTAGCCCGAGTCGTTGCTGGCAGCAACAGTGGCTGCGGCTGACAGGTTTGGCTGAGAGGCCTTCTTGGCTGCTCGCTGGCTTCGTGTGCGTGCCGACGGAGTATCGCCATGCGACGTCTGCGGTCTCTCCAGTGATGAGAGCGGTGGGTTCGTGAAGCCAGCTGTCCATGCGGAAAAGATGCGCTCATCCTCGATTTGCAGGTTTTGGGGTTGCTGCTGCGTCTGCGACTGTCGCTGGCTCTGTTGTTGCTCTTTGCGCAGTCGCAGTCTTCCACGGACGCCCTCCCACGCCTGAGCAAGCAACCTTGTGCCTGATCGCCGCGAGAATGTCTGTCGTTCCTTTTCCTTTTCGCGGGCACCGGCACTCGAGTCGTCTTCGCTGGTTCGCAGCTCGGCCAGAGGCACCGGCTGCTCGAGACTAGTGCGCTCGTCAGGGCCCAGGAAGCTGACGGGCGGTGCAGCGGAGATGCGGTCATTCATGGAACCCTCGCAGAAGCGGGAACGGTTGATGACGCGGGAAGCGTTTGTTTTTGCCTTTGGTGGCGGCATGGTGATGTTGCGTCGGTAGAACGGGTGTAGATAGCTCGATGGTACTCGTATGAGTGAATGCTCGTAGAATGTATTCGTTCGAGTAATAGATGTATGTACGCTGTCTTGGATTTGTTTGTTTTTTGCTAGATTGCTGACCCAGACAAGATGCTCGTATGCGATTCTATCGTTTTGGTGTTATATGTGCAGAAGCTGTAGTGGTAGTGACATGCAGAAATGCAACAAAACACCCGACTTATAAAATGCAAATGCAAAGAGAAAATCCAAAAGATGCAAATACAACAAAAACGGAGCAAGAAAAACAAGACTCGTTTTATTTCTTTGAAAAAAGAAAAAAGAGTTTGTGCTTTGTAGAAGGAAAAAGATAACAATACGTCTGCGAGGTGGCCGTGGAATGGGCATTGTTTCGCGCCTGTTGACATTGTTTGCGCGGCAGCATGCGCCAGTAGGCAGTTTCTCACCACAGCAACCGGGGGGCCGCCAAAGACACGCAGGGACGCGCTGCAAGGACGACGCGCTATAAGGTCCCCTGTGTTGGGGCACCATGCAGGTATAAAAAGCGAAGTAATATCAAATAATAATAAACCAAACAACAATACAAGACATGCAAAAAAGAGGGCTACTGCGTCACAAGTACATCGTTTGCATTTTTTAATTTTATCGTTTCTTTCCCCCCTGCGCCCCTAGACCTGAACCTGGTCTTCCCTTCTTCCCTGCTAGTAGTACTAAGTTAGTGTTAGTTGGCCCATCTCAACGGCCAACTTAGAGTCTAATCTAATTTATGGTGCTTCAAACACATAGAAGCACACAACAGCCATGTACTACTACTACGAATCCATAATACACAAGTAATACATTCACATACATCAGTAAAGCAAAGGACATGTATGAGAGGAAAATGGTGTCCTAATTGTTGTTTTCGCCTATTCAAAAATCCACGGCTCTCACATCACGCGCGCGTGTGCTTTCTGACAACACATATCCTAGCCCGGCAAAAAGAAACCCAAGCCCAGATATATACAACTCCAAACCAGATAGCCCGCTCCCTTTTTTTTGTTCTTGTAAAAAGGAACTCCTGCTCCGCGCTAATATTTTTGCCATGCATAAACGTTGAATAAAGAAACCCAGAAGAAAAACATGTGAGAAAAAGACTGACCCTGCCATTGACGGCGAGGGTTGCTGTAGTTTGAATAGAAGAGTGTGGCTTGCATGCTGTTGCTTTGCATGCCCAAGAGTCCAACGGGATCTCTCGTGTAGAAACAGAATGAAAGTACCGCCCATACAACGCCAGTGTGTTTTCAGATAGAGAGTAAGACAAAAAATGCGCCGTGTAAGAAAGGAAAAAAACTCCACCCAGATTGCTGCGTGTTGAAACAGCATAAATCAAACAGATAAAGATACAACGCCTGAGTCATTGTCCTGCCACTTGCTTTCGTCAGGCGTCAAATAAAACAGTAAAGCTGTCGCTCATCTTTCATGACAGCCTCTACTGGTACTGGTTGAAAGAAATCACGCCAATCTTACCGTTGGCTCGAGAGTAGACTGCCCGCGAGTACAGCTGCTCGGCAGGCTCCATCTGAGAATGGCCGCGAGGGCGGAAATGGGGATCTACCGGGCGGTTGCCGTCGTAGAGTGGCTTGGTGCTTTGGCTGAAGACGGCATCGTGGTGACGCTTAGCTCCAACAGCAATGTGAGCGGAAGAAACAGGAGGCACGTCTGTGTCGGCCTCGATAGGAGGCAGAGGAGACATCAGAGAGGCAATCTTGAGAGGTGCAAGAGACGGTTGCGACGAAATGGAACTCGAGTGGTGATGGGATGGAGTGTAGGACGTGCGACGCGAGTCGGCTTCCATGCTGCCGTACGGCGATGTCGACGAAGACCCTTGGTGAGAGTGGTGGACAGCTGCTTCCTGAGGTTGTGGTGTAGCGCGGACAGACTGGTAGCCAGAGTACGATGCCTCCTGCTTGACATACGGCGACGGAGGATAGCTGCTGTTGAGAGGAGGATAATGACGAGGAGCGGCGTAGTGAGGAGCACCGTGGTCGCCGGCAAATGTCATGGGAGTGTGTTGCTGCAGAGGAGGAGCCTCGTATACAGGAGGGAGAGGAGCGCCATACGAGTCCACGCCAGCATGACGGCGGTCATCTGTCTCGTAGCCACTGGGGTTCTCGCTGGAGTTGCTTTGTGAACGGGCGCGTCCACCGGCAGAAGGAGGTGTCGCCCTGCTGCGAATACGGTCACTGTCGTGCCCATCGCGGCCAGAGTTGGATTTGGTGTCGCGCTTGCGCATGCGGACGTCTCTTCGAATGCGGACGCGGCAGCCTTGGTTGGCCACCGTCTTGCTCAGCTCGGTGCTCTCCATCAGACCGGGGAACTTCTTGGCACTGTATACGTTGAAGGGAACAGTCTTGATGTTCATGCGCCAGTCCACTCCCGAGTACGCATCGCCCATGGGTTGGTCCATGTCGAAATCCTTCTCCTCCTTGCACGCCTCGTATAAGCTGAAGGAGAGGCGGAAGTAGCCTTCGTGACGAACCGACAAATCGGGGAAGATGAAGTATCCAGCGGCGGTAGGACGGTCGAGATAGGCGACACCAGAAGCAGGAACGCCAGTCAAGACGGGAGGATTCGAGGAGAGAGAAGTGTGCATGCGGCCGATGGGCTGGGCCATAGGGCGGGCTTGCTCGAGGCTAGCGTAGAGGAAGAAGTTGGCATTGTAGTCGAATGTGATGTCCTTGCCCTCTTCAATCGAGGGGCCTTCAAAGATGCGAATCTCAACAACTGGTGGCGGATCGACTGGACGTCTATCGCTGTTGGCTACGAGATTGTTAGTAAAGTCTTACGAGCAACTGATAAACCTGACTACGAACCTTTGAATCCAGAGCCGCATGCTCTTGCGCACTCGGGCTGCTGGAGAACTGTGAGTTGATACCAGAGCACTCTGCCGTCTCTAGTTTCTCGTCGCATATGGTGGACGTTCTCTTGTGAGTCGGTTGTGGTGGCAGGCACCCGATCCACGTCGAAGGTGGTCATTGTGTGAGAGGGGTGGATGTGTGAGTAAGTTGCAAGAAATCCGGTCAAAAGCCTTCCGAGTAATCGTATTGTGGTGTGTTGCTATACCCGGTCCAAAAACAGAGACCAAGGCGTGGCTGTGATGCAAGCAGGAGCAAATATATCGAGGGACGTCGGTGCCGCGTTCCGTCTCACACGTAGCGAATTGACTGGTCTTGCAATGCAATATTTGCCGTAGATCGAGATGTACAATAGCAAATAAGGCCAGAATAGGAGGACTAAAACGAGTTCGAGAGTTGTTGTCGATCAATCTTCTATGAGAACAAGGCGAATGGCAGTTGGTCAGAAAGGAGGAAGCGAAGGAGCGGCGTGTGGTTGCAAATTAGAGAAAAGGGCGACAGGCAGCGTTCGATCAAGCCAAATTAAAAAAAAATCACAAGACGAGATGCCGTTGACAAGTGTCGAGAAAGAAGAAAAACGGTTGTCGGAGGAGGGAGAGAAGAAGAAGAAAATGGTAAAGGTGTAGTTGGGAGGAAGACGAGGTGGTGAGAAAGCAGAAAACGAGACGGGATGGCAAAGAGGAGAGCGCAGAGGCTAGTAAAAGAGGGTGGTGGTCGTAGTGGCAGTGGTGGTGCGGCAGCGAAAGCGCCTGGGCGTGTGGATTGTTGGCGCTGGTAGTGGGCGTGTGTGGTGTGGGAAAATAGTTTTAGTGGGTGTGGGTGGTGCCCGGCAGGCGGGTGAGCGGCGGGTCAAAATCTGGGAATCCTCTGCTCTGCGCCCCCAAAAGGGACTAGACGGAAGCCGGGGACGGACGAGGAGAGAGGGTACAGTACATCGGTATTGGCTACAGTACAGTGCTGTGCCGCTGTAGTGGTGCTGGTGCAGGCAGGGCCACGGGGCGGTACGTACCTCGCTGTGCAACGCCACCACCCCCAGCAGCAGCGCCCGCTGTGGTGCTTGACTTGACTTGCTTGCGCCAGCCAGCGAGACAGGATGCGCTAGCGGGATCCTGACTTAGGCACTTGACTTGACTTGACTTTGGGCAGGGGCCCGGGAGCCTGGGTAAAGCGGGTACATCACCAAGTGGTGTAGGGGGGCTACGCTACTGTACCAGTGTGCTGTAACCTTTTTTGCTACAGGGCAGTTAGTTGGCGGCGCTGCTGGTGTGTGGTGGTGGAGACGGGCGCGCGGGAGCGAAGGTACCTGTGACATTTTTTGGGCCGGTGGGGCCGTCTCTCTCTTCCGGCTCTCTTAGTGGACCAACCAGCAGGGGTGTCAGCCCCCCGGTCGCCGCCTCTGGTCCGGTAAACTGGGCTAATTACGGGGGATACTTCGATGCGATGCGCAATCCTGGTTCGTACTGTGTTGGCTACTAGCAGGCTTAGCTTGGTGCTTGCTGGTAGTGGTGGGCATAGATTATGCAGGCCGACAGATGCGCCATCCTCCACCATAATATTGGGGGGAGCAAATAAATGGATAATAAAATCAGCACCTGGAAGGAGGAAGGTCCCTTTGTTCTGTATGAGGCGCACAGGAAATCATCCTTGTGGAAAAGGGGACGAGGCGAGCCGGTACAGGGCAAAAATGACAGAGACGAAGAACCACTACTGCGACGTCTCGACGCACAACGGCACGCTACTGTCTGCAAGGTCGCTTTGCCCACGAGTCATCAGTGCATCGACAGCGGCCTAGCCTCTGGCAGCACGGGCGCTAGACCACCACACGCCGCTAGACAAGAGAAAAACCTGGCTTGGGTTACCAATAGCGCCAGTTGACGGTTGGCAAGCAGAGCTGAACATCGGCCGATGGCAAGATGGCCTGCGACCTCGTAACAGATGAAAGTACAGTACTTTCCAATAGCAGCCTATTCTTTTTTGGTGGCGGCTTGCTTTTCTCACCTGGCGTTCCTGAAAACGCGGAATTTCGCCTCGCGGCACAATCAGAGCGTGGCGGCGGAACCCAGCGCACTGTTCTGGGACCAGCAGCAGCTCCAGCACACGAAACGCCCACTGGTGCTTCTTGGCTGCTGCGTGCCAGTCCCTCGGAGCAAGGCCGGTGCGGCTGGCTGGGCTGGCTGGGCTGGCTGGCTGCACAGTGTTGCCCACACAGCGTTTCGCTGGTGTAGCAAGTACCGACACGTCGGCAGTCCAGCAGCTGTGGCGTAGGCAAACCATGCTCTTACCGCTGTGCCATTACCGGCTGGTACATGAATCACAGTGCGAACCAGCTGGAACCGAGAACCTGGGCCGTTATATTGTTTGTTCCCAAGGATCGAGTCGCACCCCCAAAAAAAAGTAGCGGGAGGCGTTTTTCTGGTTAGGTGAGCAGCGCCAGCCGCAGCAAGCAACAGCAACGAGGGCTGGTGCTGGCGCATGCTCATCACGATAAGCTACATCGTAGACAGCGTACGATTGCGCAATGTCCGAAGGGATGCAAGGAAGAAAGAGTAGAAGACGAAAAAGAAAAAGGGCCAGAAATAATAATGCAATGGCTAAGCCAGCCGAGATATAGCGCACGCCTCGCCTCGTGGCATTCTCATCCTCCCTCCACCAGAACAAAAAAAAACTGCTCTGTCTTGTGCTGTGAAGGCGCTGGAGCTCAGCCCTTGCCGCATCACTAGTGAACCGCCGCATGGCGCTAACGAGACCCTAGCCCACCCGCGGAAGCTGTCGCTGTTTCTGATGACTCGTGGCCCCCAGCCAAGCCAAGCCCATGCGTTGGTACATGTTGGCTCGCCGTTTAATTTTTGAGACTGTGATCGTTGGCGATGCGGCGGCAGAAACAAAAACAAGAAATGAGAAGAATAAAATAAAATTGACAGCCCGGGGGTGGTGGGAGACGGAGCAAACAAACACGGCGATAGGCTTTGCGTGGCTGGCTTTCTGTGCTGTCATCCCTTGAGAAACCTTTGATCCCAACACTCTGTTTCGGACACGCATGCTCACTACGACAGCTAGAACTGTACCACACCATGTGCTGTCACTGCATTTTATTGCTGCTGCTATTACTGCCATTGACAAAGGAAGACAGACAAACAGACAGACCCAGGGACTCGGACCGGCCGTGTATGGTGCCATTACTGCTACTGTGCTATCCTCTGCTTTACACCAGTTGAGTTGAAGCCTCAAAGCCGACACGGTGCAATACAACGCCGCGCAGCACTCAATCGGGCCAGGCGGAGAATAGGCCGGGGGTGCCTGCTAGCAGCTGTGGAGGAGTGTGTGTGCGTGAATGCCTCGATCGGGCAAGCAGCCTCTGACATGCTTACACCACCCCCCCAAAAGTGATGCTGTGTAGGCAACAAAACAGGCAACCAGATTCGGGAACCAACAGCACGCAGGACCAGCAGCCCGGCAATCACCGAATACTCCTGCGTGCTGGTATTGCAGCAGCTGCTATTGCTGATCTTCAGATGCCACTAATTACGCATCCGCCCATCAGTGGTCGTGCGCTGCTTGTGGCGGCTGTGGGATGCGAGCCTAGAGCGTTTCGCAGACAGGTTCCGTGTGCACAGTCATCAGCGTGCCAAAGGCGAAACTAGCCTATCGCTTCTAGGAAAACGCCACTTGCAGGGCTCGTGGCCCATCGCTTGTGATAGTTTGATGTAAAAATAACCCTTGAGAAAAGTGGAAGAACACAGCCAGATTGAGGTGCGTACTGAACAGGCGTGGTCGATGGCTTGGTGCAAGATTCACAACCACCACCACACCACCATGATACGATGGATGGGTTAGACAAGGCACAGCTGTCAGAAACCTCCAAAAAGCCAGGGCCAATCAGCAACAAGAGTCATTCAATGCGTCAGACTGGCTGTCGTCTTCTCTTTTTTACACTTTTCGCTCCAGATGGACTGATGCAGTCGGCCAACAGAGCCAATGAGGAGGCTGCAACGACATATTGGCGCATGGGCGTGCGTTCGGACCCGAGCCAGCCAGTCACTGGCACCTCATGGTTGCTTGAGTCTGTAACAGAGCGAAGCATCCAGTTTTTGGCAATGCAAAATACGGGCTAAATAAACTAAAGTGGGCATTCTTCTCTTTAGCTTGGGACTAAAAAGGAGGCGGCCCCGACAACGTAACGCTAACTGAACACGGTAATCAGGCGATCGAGAAGGGGAAGAAAGGCAGCAACAGCAAAAGAAAACGGACTGGCAGCAAAAGGTCGTCCCACAACACACAATGTGGACAAAAGCGACAAGGAATAAAAAAAGGGAAAATGGAAAAAAGTGGATGTGGCAGAATGGGAGAAGAGAGCACAAGACGCAGGTGGAGTGCCGTGTAACGCAACCCTGGTCATATCGCCTGACGCGGCCAATCATCGGGCTCTGTCACCTGCGTCCCCGAGTGGACAGGGATGCTTGATGCACAGCAGCACGCTTCTCACAAAGTGCCTACTGCTGGTTGTGGCATTTCTTCTTTCTGCCTCTTCTTCTTCTTCCCCCGTCCAGCTATTTGGTACAGTATCACACTGTGCGCAACAAGCCCATCTCACCACCGACCCTCCCTCCACCACCAGCATCCCTGGTCCTAATCGCAATAGACCTTTTTCCACTTGAAGCAGGGCCGCCGTTTCTGAGATGTGATGGAATATGCGTGCTCCTCTCCCCCGGTACAGCACAGTGCAAGGTTGCCTTATGCCAAGCTGCGCAGCACAACGGGCTAATTCGTCCCATCCAACAGCAACCGCATTCTATCTACCCTTTTCTCCCGCCGTTCGTTTAATCCACTATTCTTTGCGCTATCCTCCCTTGTGGGAAAAATGCCTAGCCTTGGCTTGGGTCGACCGTTGGACTGTCTTGCATAAAAATGGTATATCCGGGCATCCATGTGAAACACCCGCCATTCCGGACGACGGCACAAACACCCAGCTCTACCAGTTTTATGCTTTTCCACTTCACCCTCATCTCGATTGCGTGCCAGAGCTCTCTGCCCCGTGTGCTCACTGAAACACAAACGTGGCCGCCTTACTCGCGCGGGTTTGGCGCCCTAGGCGGCGGTTCATCGTTTATGACCAACCCTTTTTAGGGGGGTGTCTACGGTAGACAATGCCCAAGATGCCGTCTTGGAATTTGCCATTGGCGTATACACTGTGTTGCTAATTGCTGCCAACTTGCATGCGCACGAATGCCCGGCACTGGTGTGAGTGGGCACGGCCGTCGTGCTGGTGCTGCTGCTGCTGGTGCTGCTGGTACTGCTGCATCTCGAGAAATTCTGGCTCGAGGGATCGGGATCAGCTTAATGCACGATCGATGTGCATACGCAACCGCCGACCAAGAATGCAGTGCCTAGTTTTGTTGGCTTGCAGAATAGACCGCATTCACGCGCTGAGATTTTAAGATGTGAGCGATTGCCCCAGCATCGTCGTCGTTGTCGTCGTCGAATTGTGGTTGCGGCTCATTCATCCCCACGCTTGCACAACCCGCCCTCGTGTTAGTGCACAGCTACCCCAGACCAAGTCGTCGAGCACAAACGTGGCACCGTGTCAACGTGCAACATAAAAGAACATATGCGATTTTTTGCCAATGGTCGTTCTATGCATCGGTATCATCCCGTCCGGTTGATTTTGTGACAAAAGGCAATGCTACGGCAGCACTGGACGCAACGCGGCATGTTGATGCGCTCAGGTTCCTGTCCTTTGGCAAAGGG